GCAAAACAAATTACAAATTGGTTTGTATAAATTTGTAAAGTTAAGTTGAAGTTGTACCCAAATGAGTTTGAATTATCCATTTTGCTTCTTTAACTATTCAGAATTGATTTTTTTATTCTTTAATTTGCTAATAAATAATCATTTATTTGATTTTAATGTTAAGGAAATCAGTTTATATCTCTAAATTATGTATTGAGACATCTGAGACAGCCTTTTAAGGCATAAATTCTCTCATCTAGCTAACTGTGGAGTGCTTTGTCGCTCGAGCAAACCCAGCAGCTTAAATTTGATTGCGCACTCGAATTCAGTTTGCGCAACTGCTGCTATAATTGGATTACATTATTCCGCATTCCCATTAGTTTAGGGATTTCTCTGGGACAAAGTTGCGACTCGGTACTTGCCGTGGGCTCATAATTCGGTTTGTTAATTGATTTGTGAGGCTCGGAAAATTACATTTCGCAGACACGCTTTCAATTCCTTATGAGTTGATTAAATTGTCTTGTTGGGTGAAATTCACTTTGCTGATCAACATTGAAATAAAATTGTGCCAACCAAAGATTTCCGTGTTTAATAGAGATTAGAGGACCAAGAAAATAAGTCCACTTCTGCAGACTTTTTAAAACATTATGATGGTAGTTCAAAACCATATTCTTCTGCTAATCAGTACTCAATCTCGCGCTTTTGATAGATTTTCAACGCCTCTATTTTTATTTCAAATAATACTGTTGATTTACATTTACCCTATAATTATATAATTCCAAATATCAAGACAGTAAAGAAAGAGCGTAGAGACCAAGTAATTTATATTACTATCTATATTCTATCATCTCCTTAACAATTTTGACAGCAAATTTTTATAATAATATATAATAAACATGATACCATTTAGAATTCATTTTAAATCAATGCAATTCCTCAAGTCAGTATTATATCAATTAACTGTCAAGTAAATAATTTAATTTTTCATAAATATAACATAAAATAAGTAAAATTAATTCTCATATTTAAATAACAAATTTAAATGTATTTAAAGCTCTGAATTTAATTAATACATCCCTTCACGTCCCTTAAAAAGCATATTATTATTATTAACTAAAGGTCTAGTCATAAACCGCACAATTTGTCTCCTTGAAACTCAAATGATTATGCTATTTGTCGCACATAACAAACAAGCCGGTTGCATAAGTCGCGGAAATCAAGGAGCTGGCCAAGCAAACAACTCGGCGGTGGCTGAGGTGGAAAATTTATCGCCATGACATCTAGCAAGGTGGCAAAAGTGGCTTGGTAAATAAATTCTCGTCTTTGCTGTCACTTGAAAGCCTATTATGGGCGTCGATGTGTGTTATAGATTGGCCGGGAGCTCTTCTTGCTTTGTGCCGACAGATAACCCCGAAAGTGGGATTTCTGATCAATACACGCACGCAGAGAGGGTCTTTCTCGGCCGCACCGCACAATGCACGCAAACAACTACTTGACTTTTGTGCGAGTAAATTGTGTGCCGTGGCGAGGATTTTCGATTTAATTGGACGCCACCGCGCGTTGCGCCTCCCGCAACTTAATTTCCGAGTTTGCACTCGGCTAATCGGATCAGCCGCGCGTAATTGCGCAAACAAGCCGACGATTTCCAATTACCTTACAATTCCGATTTGTATGGCTTGTGAGTGTTTATTTATAAAAGCAGTGGCGCAACGTGGCGCGGCGAATTTATAATTATTAAGCCGGCTGACAGAATTAAACCGAGACAAAAAGCAGTGAACGTGTCTCGTTTAATTTGGCGCGGCACTGGCCGTTGTCCAACTCTGACGACGACCGAATGCACCCGAATTAAATAACGAGTCCAGCACCAGTAATGAAACGAAAACGCCGGCCAATTAAATTGTTCTGGCTTGGCGGGCGTGCAATTGAGAACAGCCCGCTTCTCAGAAACGGCTCGTCTATAGTTGCTATAATTGCTTACTTAAGCCGGTGACTTTTGCGGAAACAAAATGTAAATGAGGTTCTTGAACCAACGAACTATGAGAGCAAAAAGTTGCTAAAATAATAATCTACGTCCAGTTCATAATATTATAATAAAATGAATTTAAAAAAAAAAGTTTCCTGGTTTGAATTCCTTTTAATATTGATCTACTCTAAGAAATACATTTTCTGGAGATTCCTGGCAAATTAAAAACAATAATGAATATATTATTGAAAACTTGCTACTCTCTTTCTTTTGTCAAACTATTAACAGACATTGATATAATATGAAAGCACAAGAAAAAAATTATTATAAAAGCTATTGAGTTAAAATAGAAAATTTTGTATTTTAGCCTTTTGTGTGGTTAAAATTTTTTAATTATGGCACACTAATTGTCATTATTATCTAAAATAAAAAAATTAAAAATGATTTCAACGTTTTATATTATGCAAATATGAGGGAAGGATTAATATGGCAGCCTGGAAATTATTAACATTAATTTACAACTTTACTGACGTCTAGATTAGGATCGGCACCGTGCGAGCATTAATAATTTACACGTCTCTCTCGCAACTTGTGCAACACGAAACCGTTCTAGAAGGCGCCCCTTCTCACTGACCTGCCCATTCAAGGAGTTTTGAAACCCATTGATCAAAAACGTGGCATTATTAAAATGGCCTGACGCGACACGCGATTGCTCAAACGTCAAAAGCGGCGGCGTTTTCTACAACGTGCAACGAATAAATCGCACACACACACGTCAATACGGCGATCTCTCAATCAAGCAGTGCTTTATTTGAGTGTTTGCATAATCCCGCCGGGGCCCGACTCGTTCACGTAATTAATTAACACTCTGGGAGCGGATCCACCGTTGGCCGATGATGGACGATGACGTGTGCGAGAGGTGTTTGTGACGTTTTTACAGGTGTTTGGTGCACCCGTGCCAGAGCACCAATGACGTCAGTCGCGACTCGAAATACACTCGTTGGCGGACGGCCTGTTTGTGATGAATAAATCTCTTCCCGCCCGCCTGGCAGATGCAACCCGCCAGCCAACACACTCACACACCTACCTTTGTGATTCCGATCAAGCGACTCTGCCAAGTTATGCAAACGGGGCGGAATCGTTGTTGTTGTTGTGAGGGTGGCTTGTGTGAGGGCAAACCACGTGTCATATCCAGACGAAGTTGATAAAAGTATTTTGCTAAAAATTATAAATATATTAAATTTAATTTTCTCCTCATTTTTAGAAAAATTTCAAATTTCAGTGGAATTTTTGAGAAATATTTATTAATTGATTATCACAGAAAACTGTACAGGAAACACGGATTTTCATGGACTGAAAAGAAAAATATTCTAGGAATTATTTGTGTTAATATTAAATTCGCGAATAATAATTACAATATTGTCCTATAAAACAAGGAGGAAGCAAAATACATAATTAAATAACGGAATTATTCTGAGAATAGAAATTTTATAACATAAATCTATTGCTGGCTTTTCTCTCTCGGCTAATTCCCTGATATAATCAGCTTGAAATAGAGAAAGCAATCTGCCCCTCTGTTAAGGGAGCGGTTGCCCTTTGAGAGAGCAAAGAGGGTAATGAAATTTGTACGAGAGCGAGCGGCAGAAGGAGGCAGGTAGCAAGGGAGCGGTTGCATCACGCGGGAATCCCCTCTGCTCATTAATAATTCAGCTTCGCCAACAGGGAAACCGCGATGATGAGTATTATTGGTGTACGGGAACGCCGGGCACTGACGTCAGTGCGGCTCCGAGAAGTGAGAGGGTCGCTCGTTGGCAAGAGATGTGACAATGCAGGAAAGTGGACCACCACTCGTTCTTCTCGCATCTGCCTACCCCTCGCGCGCTAATTGAATCCGGCTATTCAACCTGCCGACTTTTTACCCGACTGCCAAAAACACACACAATTGACGCTTTTTCAATAGGAATCCTTTTGTTCCATCAAAACGCTCAGTCCGCTCTTTTTGTTTTGCCCCTCGGCCAAATTCTCTGTAATTACCATTTCCATGATCACTGAAATTTGACCGGCACGAGCTCGTTTCCTCCCAAATTATACAACATTTGACATTTTGTTCCACTTTCATCTCATTTCACTAAATTTTAAATAAAGAAAAGGTTAATCATTTCTACTGTTTTATTATAAAATGCATTAAAAATTTAAACCGTTTGAACCTCGTTACAAAAAAAGGACAACTGACCCCAAAAGGCGACCTGCAGCCTGCTAGTACTTTAAGAACTTAGGGTTTTGTCGTTTTGTCGTGTCCGAACTAAAACTAAGTGGGAGGAATTCATAAAAAAAAAAATCATTATTCTTTGCAACGAGGTTTGCCCAGTTTCAATTTTTCATGAAAACCACCTCTATTGTTACCATTCAATTTATAAAATGCATCTTTAATTAATATTAAGATTTAAGAAAAATTTAATTTCTCAACTCTAAACATCAGTAATTCTTACTGATAATTCTTACTGATAATTCTTACTCAACAAACTTGTTGTCAGTTTATTACGTTTATTATTTATTATAATCTAAATATGGATTAATAGCTGGTCAAAATTAATTTTATAATTATTGAAGTTTATTTTTGATTAAATTAAAAAAAAATATTGTACATTGCACATCATTTGTAAGAAGTTCATATAGATAATTGCGCCATTGCGGCAAATGTTTATTAATAAATATCTAGCGACGTTTTATAAACTTGAATCCAATAAAGTTTTCAAAAGCTTAACAACAGTATGTGTATTTTAAATTTTTTTAAAATATTTAAGGAAAATGCTATACACTTTAATTATTTAATTTGTTAAGGACTCCTTATTGACATAGTCAAATCAAGTCTTTACAACAATGGTTTGTTAAATTTATATTAATTGCCAAGTAAGGCTTAAATTGTTGTAAAGACTTGATTTGACTATGTCAATAAGGTGTCCTTAACGTTATTTAAATTTAAAATTTATATGTTGTGAATTTTTAGTAATAGTATTTTTAACAATGGAATTAAAAATGCAAATGTAATTTGTTCCAGGCGGATCACTGCTGGCGCGGTGGGCAGTGCCGCGTGCAAGTTGGCTCAGGGGCGGCGGGCAATGGTGACCTTGCAGCCCGCGCGGGCCGCCACCACCGCCTCCGACCAGGACCCCCTGTTGGTGACCACGCCACCCAGCGGGATCATCCCCGACCCCGGGGGCGGCGGCGGTGATGGCGGCTTCGAGGAAATGGTCCTGGTGGAAGGCGTGATCGGCGCCAACGGGGGCAGCATTTCGGCCAAGTGTCGCCGGGGGCGGCTCAGCCTCCGGTGCCGCAGTCCTCGGGGTCCGCCACCCAAGTCTCCGCAGACTCAGAGACGACCCTCGCCCCCAACACTTCTCATCCGCAGCGCCACCGCCGACTGCATGGGGTCGCCGCCGGGGGTGGACACGGTGGTCACCATCACGGACACTGAACAGGTGCAAGTAGCATTGGCCAGCCCTAAACAGATGGGGCAACTCAGGAACACCCCTGACCTCAGGGTGGACTTCTTTTCTGAATTGAAGAATCTGGTAAGTTTTAAGTAAAAATTTATCCTTTATTAATACTTATTTTTAGTTATTCCAACTAAATTAAAAAAAAAGTTCTGCTAAATTTACTATATTTTCTTATTAGAAATTTTCAAGTGGCGTTGACTTGTTCAAATAAACACTGATAGTCTATACAAACGGTCAAGCAATTACATTAGTTTAGCCATTCGTGAAATTGAAATGGTTATACTACTTGAAGTGCCACTCATCGCTCAATTTCGCTGCTCGTTTCCTTGTTGGCACCACTCGGATCAATTAAGTAACAAATCAAGAGGAAAATGACACAATTTGCAGGGGGAGGCTGAGCAGAAGAAGCACCAGGAAAAGGTGGCTGCAGACGCGGCCGGTGAGGGGGAAGTTTTCGCTGAAAACTGTGCAGCGTTGTCCACGAGTGGGGGCCCCGCGGGTTTATATATACCGGCCGGCTCGCCGTGCAGATCACCAAGCAGCGTGGTAGTCACACCGGCAAGCGGGTCGTCTCTCGAACTGCCCAGCAACTCGCCCACTAGCATGAAGCAACCTTTGCAGCAACTGCCCGACGTCGCCAACCAGCTCACCCTCCAGGCACGAGACACCTTTTAGTGCTTCTTACTTAGTTTTGTGCAGTGTGTGCTTTTCAAATAATTAGGAATCATTTGGCTTTGTATTGTTTTTTTTTTCCATTTTTATAAATCATTTTCAGACATCTTTCATTATTTCACAAATAACTTAAAATATTAGTTATTCTTAATTATTTATAATTTGCTCATGAACTAACCTTTAAACAATTATTCATATTTAAAATTTTTATTTACAGCAACTTTATAATTACTGCATGTGTGCACTTTTCTGTAATTTAAATCTCTCAACACAAATTTTAAAGTTATAATTTCTTTATTCCAATCAACTTTTGGTCCTTTTTTAACTTTTATTCTTGTCAATAGTCTCATTAAAATTTGTGTTGAGGAAAACAAAACAATGATTCAAAGTTTTGTAAAAGCTTTAATTTAATTTTTTCCACACTCTCGACTCATTGCAGGAATTGCACGATTTTGATATGCGTTACGGAAGTCCACACCACAGCCGCTCTCAGTCGGTGAAGACGGTGAAGCGTCCCAACTTCCTCAGCCTGCCGCAGCAGAGGTCCAGGGTGGCCTCGATGCCCAACACCGGCAATGAGGAGGAATACTACAGACTGCGGCACTTCAGCATCACCGGAAAGGGAGTGATCAACAGAGGAGACTCGCTCAAGAGCAGGAGGTCCAGAAGCAACACCAGCGTCGCCTCCAGCAACTCCAGCCACACACACAGGTCAGTCACCCCTACTTTCTTCCACAGTGTTTATTTAAACAACGGGTGGGTTTGTTAGTGCGTTGGAAGTAACAAACGGTAAAAATAACTGTCTTCGCTATGAAAGAAAAACTTAAAAGTAATGTATTGTCAGAAACAAATTTTTTTTACTCTTATATTAAAGTATTTTTCAATTAAATAATAAATTTATAATTATTATATTTTCATATTTGGAATTGGAATTGAATTAAAATTAAAAGTACCCAAAATTCAAAATAAAATTCAACAAAGTTGGATGGTACAAACACTGAAACAACTCAAGTGTGGTTTCCATCAGTCAAAAAGTGAACTCTTGGCAGCTACTTCCGCAAACAAAAACAATCCTAATAAATATAGAAAAACTTTGCTTGACACAAACTCTCACGGACACACACTCGGCGAAATTCCCTGAAGTTTCCTCTCTGCATTAGAAACAGAAGACTGGTTGAGAAAGTGTTTGTTGGGCCAACAAAGTTCGCCGGCAGCTATTACGCCGGCACAAAAGTACAGGCAAATCAATCAAAATGATAGAATTGGGCTGTTCGCACTCCACAGGCAGCTCCCTGGCGAAAAACAGTGCAATTTCACACCCAGACGATTTTATTGCCACTCATTCCAGCCTACGGATAGTACGGATTTTTCATTTCAGTCACGCCCGCAATAAAGATATGGAGGGTGAGCAAAAAAACAACAAGAGTCTGGAGCGAAATTCAGTCTCTCTAAACCGAAAATCCGCTATGCTATTAGCCCTAATATTGTATAAATCACTCAGAAATATTAGCCTGTCACTTTTTATTAGGGCAAATTGTAATTTATTGCCGAGTGTGCTGAAAATCAATGCAGCCCGCTCTGCCGCCGCTCGCGTAATAATTTAATCACTTTGCCGACGCAGCCGCCGACGCCCGCGGCTTTGCTCATATTCGCACCTCCATCTTTCATCCGCCAAGATGGAAAACGTAATTATGGCGGAGAGAGAGAGAGAGAGGAAAATGCAACAAAAAGAGTTTCGGTCGGTTTTTCATAAAGCAAAGCTCTCCTTAAAATTTCTAGAATTTCCTCACTCTCGTTACAATTTGTAACTTTTTGCTTTTTCGGAGATTGTTCATCTTGTTAATCAGATTAAGCACCATGTATAAAAACCGCACTCAGCAGCTGCCCTCACAAATTAATACATTTATGGCCGCGAGCAAAAAGTCCATGAGTACGTGCGGAATCCCCTGATTATTTTCCTCCCTCTTTTCGCGTTGGCGGCGAGGCAAGGGTAATTCCACAATGGATTTTGCCCGAATGCAGCCGAGTTAGCTTATCGTCATCAGCACACAAAAAAGGGAAAAAACGGCTGGTGTGCGGTATATGCGCGCCAGCAAATTTATTGCCGGCATTTTTTACAATAAGAGACGGCAAAAGTGGATGAGCAGCAGCTTTTATATTAATAGAAAGGCAAGGGAAAAGTTGCGAGAGCAAACGTGGCGGCGTTTTTGGAGCGAGCGAGTGTGCTTTTGCGATATCTTTTTCTCTCATTTTGAGGCAAAAGCGCTGCCCTTTTGCTGTCGCTGATAGGAGACGTTTCATACTCTAATTAACTATGGAGAGAATCAGAAAGAAGAGAAGAGTAGATTTTGATGAAATGCCTTTGAGAAGTATAATTTTATTAAAATAATAATAAAATATCTTTCGTAAAAATTTTAAATTTTACATTGTTCCAAAAAATTTTAACAAAGGCGGATAAATAATTTCAATGGAAAAATCAATTCCAGATCGTTTATTTTTTTGTAGGTTACTTTTCAACATATAAATTACCTATCAAAATCATTTCAATTGTTATATAGCTATAAATAATTAAGACATAAAAGAGATTTTTTTACAAATTTAATGTAAACAATGTGATTAAACAATTGCATAAATATGCAAAAAAAATCTATTGAAGTACCAAAAAAAATTGAATTTAAGCTAGATATTTTTACTAAACTTACAATTAGTAAAAATTTAAACAATAAGCTGCGTTGCCTGTTAACTTAAAAACTCTTTCAATATCTCTGTTCACTTCTTTTACGTACAAATCCATAATATCTCTTATTTATTTTTTCCATCTCCTATCCGTGAGGAGAGCCGAGTTTTCTGCTTGTTACCTCGAAGAAACAGTCATTTCCATATGGCAAAAAGCAAACGATATCGTTGAGCGTGTTTGTGCACACACAGCGGATCGGCTAGATTGAAGGGTAATAAAATTGGAGTCACTCAGGGGTGAGTTCGCCATATCTGCCAGTCAAGTGGTGAGGTAGAAGCAAGTGCATCCCTTGCGAAATGACACCCTTCTCCTGCACATACATACATTATATGTACATAGCCGTGCGTGTGTGTTTGTGTATGTCACTTTACTAACGCTACCAACTCGCTTCATCTCTCTCGCTGACGTCACGAAGTCACCCTTCTTCCTTCCATGCACATGGAAGATAGGAACCGCCTCCACCATCAAAACAGTAATTGAGTTGATCTTGCCGCTCTCTCTCGTTTAATGAGGAATTTCGTGTCATTAGTCGGGGGCCCATCAACGCGCTATTACCGCCGCATTATTTGGAGCGCTGCAAACACCTGAAGTAGAAACCGCCGAGCAAATTGGAATTTGAGTTGCATATAATTCTCCCAGGGAGACTATTCAGATCGATTGTAATAATTCCAAAGTACTGCAATATCCATTTCCATTAAATCTGATAGCTGCTGGCACGTGAAATTACATAAAATATCGCATTGCTAGAAGGCTCAGGTCCGTTTCAAATTTCCACAATTTGATATTGTTGGATGGATATCTTTCTTTTATAGGCAGAAAATAATTTATTTTTTGAAAATAATGACAAATTCAAAATAGCAAACAAGATTCATTAAATTAAATTACTTTTCACGAGATTTTAATTAATAAAATAAATAATTTTCAAGGGTAAATAATTATATTTGGTATTACTGCCGCCGTTATGCCCTCCCATGGCCTATTAAACTGAGATTTAGCGGGAATGCAGTAAGAGGATTAGGACCGCGTGTGTGCTTATTTGTCTCTCCAAAGTTTATCTGGAGCGGGAATAAGCCTGATGTGATTTATGCGCATGTAGTCAAGTGCACGCGGCGTGTGTTTATGTATTCATTACATGGTGCGAATGTGGATTTTGCGGGTTGGAGTGAGAGGAAGTTGTGCAATTACAGCGCCCCTCAAACAAAATTTTGGCATTAGGCTTTGAGCCGCTTAGTGTGTCCAATCCTCAAAGGAAATCCTTTGGGGAAAAGTGTCCTGGAAACAAAAACTAATTAAAGAAATAATTAAAATATTTTTGAAGTGAAGTAAAACGGGCTTTGACTTTGTTTAAAAATTGCTTTTTATTAAAAACAAAAATCAGCTTTTTTTAGATATTTCTATTTAATTTCAAACCTAATTTTCACAAGTACAATTGTAAATGTATCTTTGTATCCTTTTTTTACCCAAAATTAATAATCGTCTTGCTTTGCTTTTTGTTTCAGCACGGAACACATAGGCGCTGGAGTTCCAAACATGGTTTGCCTGGGCGCAGGAAGCTACCCTGGATCAGCCAGGACAAGCGCCGAAGCCTCCTTGGCCAGCTCCAGGGAGTCGAGCACCAGCGGTGTCGGCAACGTGCCCTACAGGGTCATCATGCTCGGCTCCGCGGGCGTTGGAAAGTCGTCACTCATCTCGCAATTCATGACCTCGGAATACCTGCACGCCTACGACACATCGCTCGGTGAGTTGACATGAAAAATTCATTTCCTCCGTTTCCCATCAAAAGTCAGAAGGTCGCATTTTCCTTTACGGAATGCATTCTGCGAATTTCCCCTTTAGAAAATCATTCGCGGAAGAAAATATTTTCACAAAATGTCAGCATTCAAATCGAGAAGGGTAAACTTGAGAGCGAGTTTAACCTGCTGGCGTACAATTAATTAAGCCACCTATTCAGACCGGCTTTTGCAAAATAACTTGTTTGCTGCAAAAGTATGGAAGCGAGCGTTTATTCAAAACAGGCAGGCGAATTTTGCTGAAAAGGTTTTCTCGAGACCAAAGCGGGCGGGGGTGCGTTGCTTGAATTCAGCCTGGCAGCCGAGAAACAGAATCACTCGCTCGGCGGAGCACATTAAATGTTTCCATTAAAATTGCGCGTGTATTTGGATGCTTCGAGCTCACGGGAACACTTCATTATTTGACAAGTGTGCGTACATGCGAGGCTGCTGGCAGCCAGTGGCAGTGACAGCAACATCTTGACGTTATTTCGCCAAGCAAACTTTTTTCCGGAAAGTGGAGTACTTCGATGTCAAGAGGTTATTATTTGTTTGGTCTTCCTTTCAGATGTATTTGATCTTGTTTTATTTTTACAGTCAAAAGATTCTTATGAAGGAAAAATTTTAAGTAAATTAAACACAAAATGTTTAATTATCAAAATCTTAATTGAATTAAGTAATAGCTCATTAAACATATTTTCATTGATGAATAAATTAAAAAATAATAATTTAATAATTAGTTTTTATCTTAATTTTTTTATCTAAATAGATATTATTATTTTTCAATAACATGGGCAAACAAATCAAACACCAAAATATAAATGAAGCTTTAAAATTCATAGTTCTTGATAATATGAGTTTAAGTTTAATGCAAAAAATGCATGGATTTATCGGATTTATAACAAAGAGATTGTGCCCAACGTAGGTGCGTGCAAAGCGACGGAGGTGACAAATGCTTTGACATCAGCCCTCGTCTATAGCATCATTTACACGCGAAAGTCTTTCAGTCGGGATTTCTGCGCGAGTTATTAGTCAACGTCACACATCAAATGCACTCTCTTGGTTCAGCTCGTCGGTTGTGTTTGCACGCACGTACGTAACATTCTACGACAATCCATTGTCGCATGCGATCTAGCAAGAGGGCCGAAAATATCCACCGCTAAGAATAGCACTTGCTTCAAAGTCAGCCGCTTTTAGATCGCATGTATGCATTTATTTATCCAGCGTTTGTTTAAAGTCTGAAGTTTACACTTTCTAGTAGGAAAGAAAGGTCATTCGTCTTCTCTCGGCAATATTAAACTCGCAGAAAGTAAACTTGATTTGCGTTTTGACGGGCCATCTTGATTCAGATTGAACTTCTTTCCTTCTAACTTTTGACCTTTGACTCTATTTTAAACAAATGTTTACTAATAGAAAATGATTTGCGCGCGTTCGCGGATTTAATTTGCATAAAATGTAATCAATTTTCATTAACACGTCGACCTGAAATCCACCAAATCTGCGTGAAAACAAGCGTGGGCGTCGCTAATGCGCAATAATTAATCTACCAAAGCCGGCTGATTTGTTTTTTCAAGCTAATGCTGCGTGCCCTTGCCAAACGAGTTCATTTAACTAAATTGAAAAAGCGGCAAAAGCCAATTACGAATGCAATTAATTTTGCAACGTTCATTCCTGCTGTTTTTTCCACTTGTCCAACGCACAAAGGTCGCGCTTGGAAATTGCGTTGGTTTTTAAATATGGTGCACGCGTGCACGCTTTTATTTGCAAACAGAAGTGAGCAAAATTACACTCTCCAGTGCGTAATTGGTGCTCGTATAACGAGAGTGCAGCCTTTCGCGACAGCAAATTTAATTGTACGCATGGATTAAAAAAAAATAGGTAAGGTTTGCGAGTGACACTCCCTGGAAAAATGAACTTTCGAGTGGGCGGGAAGTAGGTCAGTTGGGAAAAGCGAGTTTACTTTTCAAGTTTCACCATCGCAGGGAGGTGAATTGGTGCGCGAAACTCGCAGCAGGATGCATAATTAAAAATGTACTTCCACGCTGAGTGAGATGAGAAACGGTTTTTTTTTATAAATGAACACAGCACGCTTATTGCTCAGTAAATTTTACCGTAAAAGCGTCACACGGACATCAAAGTTACGAGTTTTTTTTTCTTGCGGCAAACAAGTATTACATTTTTTTAACAATAAATAGCATATGAAATATTCAACATGCATGAAAAATTCAAATTGTGCAACCAATCAGGGAACAGAAATCAAATTAGATTATCCGTGAAATTTTCTTTCAATCTCTTCTTTTGTAGAAAAAATATTATCAGCAGAGGCGATGCTATTTTTTTGTATCCCAGCCTTAACCCAAAACGATCGATTAGTGGTGAAACTGCGTCTAAATTTCAAGTATCTAGAACGGGCTGGGGGGTGTCAAATTATACGGCGTCGCCACAGCCGATCAAAAGTCATCAGTCCAGGATTTCGTCACCGCGTGTGACACCTCGCGACGCTGAAACGCGTTCGGTCTGTCAGTCAAGTGCGTCATTTGTCTGAAGTATTTATACACAGACTTTCGAGTCGCTTGTGTGTCCCCGAGTTGATATGATACGGGTTAGTAGGTCGCTCTGGGCTGCATCTCCTCTCGTTGCATCCGCCGTCCGCTGTCACTCATTTCAGTGCAAACATTTAAACTAGCCTCCCTTTTAATGCGACGGTGTGCATTGCGCATATATTATGTGCATACAAAGCGAATGCTGTCCAGCTAATTAGATTGCAGGTGCTGTCAGTGAGCTGATTAGAAAAAAAATTGTGTTCCGCTCACAAGTAGGATTTAAAAATGTTTAATAATTCATTTCGATTTCCAATACAAAATCATGCAAAAGTATAGCATAGCTATATCCAAATTATACAATAAACTAAATTATATATTTTTTTTTAAATTTTATTATATTTTATATTTTCCTCTGAATATTATATTATTTTGTAAAATAAATTTAATTTAAATATTAGCAAGTTTCATTTAATTTAAAGTGAAAGATTCCTAACAATCTTAAACTCTTAAAATTTTTTATTTTAAGATAAATTGAATAATCTAATAAGTACGTAAGTACATTTCATTTTCACAAATATGAAGAAAAATAGAAATAAATATAAATCAGAACTACTCTATCACTTTCAATTCACGTAATACTTTTTCTACTGATCACTTAAAATTTCAAATATTGTTCTCAAAAGTTTGGTTTAAAAAAAATTAAGGTTGAGCTTCATTTCAAATTGAAAAAAGAAAATCATTTGACATTTTCTGAACGGCTGATGTATTTTTTTCTCTCCTCTTGGCAAATATATTATGCTTGATAGTGCAGTGTTTTTATCGATCTGACTTTTGAGCTCCACGTGAAATCTTTGGACTGTCGGTCCGTCGCCACTGAAGTTGTTCAGCTTCTATCACTAATGGCCAGTTGTTTGACACGGAAACACAAGCGCCGAAGCACGCTTCTCATATCGTGCTCCGCAACCTGGCAGCCGACTTTTGAGTCTTTGCAAAAGACAAAACTGCCACTTATCACTGACGTTTTCCTTCTTTCGTTGGCTCGGATCGGCCGCCAAAGTAACGAGGAAAAGCTTTTTCTCTGAGGAGAGCAGCCCGGCGGCGTCGTCGGTAGCAAAAAATTAAAAGTGCGAGGAGAGCTGTTATTCCCGAGGTGGCGTTGCAACTTCATCAAAAGTGGATTCGCTGCTTGTTTTTATTTCTTTTTCTCCTCGTACGTACAGTAGCAAATAATAATAATTTGTCTCGTTTGAGCTCTGGCGACGAGTGGAGGCGGAGCAGTGTTGCGTTATTTCATATATTGCGACTGCTGTGCACACATATTAACGGCGCTGCTCAAATGGTCGGCTCTCGAGTGCCTCAGAAGTATATGTGAAAAGCTATTCAGGCCTGGACCGGAACCCTCTTCTATACGCCCAGGGGCCACGTGCTCTTGTCCCAAATTATTGCGGACAAAAGAAAATGCTGAAACCGCCAGAGGCGGTTTGATCGGTGCGGCGAATTTTTCCGCTTTAATAGGGCCGAAGCCTTTGATCTGGCTTGAGGGTCTGCAATTTGAGACGAGATATGTCGACCGACGGGCAAGGGCCTAAATTTTGCATTAATATAACGGCCGAGGAAATTTAACTCGCTATTTTGGGCTTCGATGCAGAAAAAGGCCAAACTTATTCAAGTTTTCAACTTTCATCCAAGCGGAAAACATCTTCAACAATTAACGGAGATGGAATAAAAGAATCGGGGATTGAAAATTTTTTAAATGAAGGGATAAAAAATAGCTCCAATGCGAAGAGACTTTATTTTTTTTCTATTCCAGCAAAATCAATTTAGATCTTCAAAATAAAAATGTTAAACGTAAAACTGACTAAAAATTATTCTTAATTTTATAAAAATCAATTATGCCAGCAGTCAACGGCAAGATGAAAATCATAATCTTTATAATAATTATGTTCAATCAAATCAAGGAGTTCAAATAGAAACTATAATTATTACAAAAAGCTCCATTGCCCGGCTTTGAATCTCTAGAGTTTGATATAAATTCATCACGAGTGCCTTTTTGTCATTCGTCAAATTTATTGATCACGACATCAGCAGTCGTTGCACATTTTTGCTGCCGCCGGCAAAAATTCTCGTCGCTGCTGTTGATTAATAAAGTTTAATTGGAAAAGTTTCAATTTCGAATGAGCTTCACATTTTCCGATTACATATATTTTACGTTAAATATTATAACACAGAACAGCAGGGATCATATAATTCCATCAGCTCCCAGTGGAGCGTGAAATAATAATGCGTGCCTGTTTGCTTGCGGCCGGTCAATGTTTAAACGGCCCAGCCTAATGGCTTGGCAAAATCGTAAACAGCAACCGGCAGCAAATCAAACACTGTTCGCCTCTCTCCGCAGAGTGCGTCGGCCGCGATGAGCACCAGATATCAATTGCAGACCTCACAAATTTATGACCGCGATCGACCAGAGCGCGTAATGGGCTTTGTCCTGGTATATGAACAATGGCGACATTCGGGGGACAAATATTTGTAATTGAACGCAAAGTTCACTCTGCAAAAACAAAAAGCAAGTGCTTTTCAATTATGATAACAAAATCATCCATGTGAATAGACCCATTTTAGCCCTGCAATTAAATTTGTGATTTGTGGGACGGTTTTATTAGTGGATTTGCCATTCAAAAGTTAACTCTTAAAGTGCCTGAAATATTGACGAATGTAGGGGTCTGGCTAAAACTGCAGGCGACATGCGTTTTAGTGTCCTTTGTCATTATTATGCAGATAATAGGATTATTTTGAAAGCATCCGGCCGTGAAGTACAAAGCAGATCATAATTCGAGGGAGAGCAAAGCCAGTGCCAGAGCAAAAGGGACACCAAAGTTAATAACTTAATAAACTCTGCGCTCGTGTACACAACACACATACACACGCACCTCTACACACACAGCTGGCGAAGTTTGTCTTGCGCGACAGAGGAAATCTGCCGGCGGTAATTTTGCAGCGGAAATCGTGCACTAGCATGCAGAGCAGTGTGTTTGTCAATTTACATTTTAATGACACTCGTAAAAAATTATGATTTTGACAAATATTAAAAACATAAGCTTGCAAATTAAAAAATAACTTGATTTTTTCTTAATGTAATTATAAAATTAATATTAATAAATATTGATTTCTTAAAATAAATCAATATAGTTAAACATTTATGAGATAATGAAGCAATTTTCAATTTTAATACTTTGATGCAATGCTTGCGTACATAAATTAATAAATTAAACATCTCACACTACATATTATCGTGTGCTCGACATAAAAATATTAATTATTAAGTATTTTTTTTTTAATTTTCCTCAATTAAATAATATTTTGATATCCCGCAAGAGCAGAGAATAGGGAATCATAAAAACAAAAGGAGATGAATAGTGGGATTATAAAATAACAGCCTCCGTTCCTAAAAGGAATTGCGTGCGGAGCAAATTTATTTCACTCAGCGAATGTTTTGTGGATAAAAAAAAGCGCCCGCGGCGGGTTGGACCATTTTTTGTACGCGTCTGGAAACAATAGGACCCAGAAATGGCGCCTAATAAAAATGTTGATTGAGGGCCAAGAAAGAAATCTGGCAAAAGCAGCTCCAAGACCAGCAATAAAATTCAGTACGAATCGCTGGGATTCGATTTGGCCGCAAAAATGAAATGCAAGAGCCTCGTTCCGCGTTTTATGAGCAGCATAGCCTGTCTGTTTCTTCAGCGAGTGTGCTGTTGTTTGAACGAAAGAGCAACCAAAACACAATGTAAATACATCGTGCCAGGACCAATATTTTGATAATCCGCGCGCTGATCAAATATTGGCATGCCGGGCGAATCTGCCCGAAAACCGCAAAATCCATTCTGAAAAACAAAAACAGCCGTTGTAATAAAGCCAAGCAAGCCGAGAGCGAAAAATCCAATTTCGGCTAATCTGAGTATGATCAAATTACAGAGAACTTTTTCCTGCTGAGCCTTTTTCATAAGAAAAGTTTTGCACAAAAGATTTTTAGGGTTTCTCTTGTTTTTATGCGATTTTGAGGCAGTTTAAAGGCGAGGAAAAATCTGAATCCCCTAACTCTTGTGTTATTTACGTCCTTTGTTTGGTAATACGTGTTTTCGCTGCTTTATTGCCAGGTCGACTCGCTCCCATAGAATCAAACTCGGCGCTGCTCTTTTATTTTCTTTTCTTTATTATTCCACGGCCGTTTTTGAAGTAGCTCAAGTTCAGCTCTTTCTTTTGCGTTTGAAAGAGGACCGACGTGGACGGTGGTGAATAGGATAAGAAAGAGAAAGAAAGTTGCTAGGGCCGCGTCCAAAACCAATATTTATTTGCTTGCGCCGTTTCTTCAAGTTTGATCAAATCGTGAGCTGCAGTTTGTGCATCCGCTCTCAAGGACAAACTCGAAATGCGTTTTATGTTTTTTGCAATGGCCCATTTTGAGGAATAAAAGTTTGGACTTTTCTGATGGCTTGTCACAACAAAAACATCAGCCGATCAAAGCCGCTGCCAGATCGTTTCAACAACCTTTGAATTAGGTGGTGAAAGAGAGGCATCATAAACATCGGAAAAATTAGGTCAAGTGATAAATTGAAGTTCAATGTTACATAGTAAAATAATAAAATAAAATATTACAGCAAAATGATTGAGAAAATTTTTAATAATTGAATCTTCTAAAGAAAATTCGAAATTTGTATTTGTGTCATGTTCACAATAGTACCGCCGAGTGAGGTACGAGATAAGTCGAATAATAAGTCAGTCGGCGCGTCGGACCAAATCCTTTGAGGAAAACCATTCCCTCCGTCTTTTGAAGTGCGGCGCCGAACAAAGGAAAAGCACAAAACGCCGCCGAAGCGGGCGAGCATTTCACGCCGCGAGTCGGGAAATCGGGCACGTGTCAGAAGCAATTCGAAGCCGGATTATCCGTCCGCACGCCGTCTTATCCAATCAAACTGACCGGCAAATTGGATCGATCCTCTCCTCCTTCTCCCCTGCATCAGGAAATTTTAAGAACTTTTCCATGCTTTTGTCAACAGATGATGAGTTTGGCGAGAAGGCTGTGTCTGTGTTGCTTGACGGAGAAGAGTCGGAGCTCACTTTCATCGATCATCCCACATCTGAAATGTCGGTGAGTACTCGTCTGTAGATTTATTAACCACCCCGTCGCTTCAGCTAGAATGGCCCACATAGAATATTTTAGTGCAAAATCTTATTTAATAGAAATTATATCTTATTTTATAAAAAAGTAAATAGCGTCAATTGCAAATTCCACTTTTTATATAGAGCGCAATTTTGATTTCAAAGGCCAGGTGGTGTAAATCGCTACATGGGAAAATCAATGGCCCCGTGACACAAATCGTGCCGACTGGTCGGTGCGGGCAATAATTCTTCTATAGTCTTTCTCAAGTTGCGTGCCCCGCGGTCGCTCTACTCCTGGTTTTTGTAGAAGTGGGGAAGCAATCGTAAAGAACGCATGCCGACAGCTCAATTAACTCGGCTGCTGAATAAATTATAATTACTACGGGATTTGCGGCTGCGGAGCCAATTTCTTCCTCGCTCGTGGTTACGCCACAGAGTTAATGAAGAGTATGATTTATTCGCCAGAAAGTTCAATCTTGCAAAGATTGCTTTGTGAAGTAATTTTAATTGCGCGGAAGTATTTTCATTTTCTCTTATTAAAGTTAACAGAAGCATTCGGCTTTCCATGAATAAATTCAGTTTTTAATCTTTACATTGATGATAAAAGTCGTTTCTAGTAATTATTGTGCAAACAAGTTATGCAACCTGTGCGACTTACGAGCCACGCACATTGCTTACCTAGAAAATCCACAGGCGTCGTGTCACCAGTTTAATTTCTAGATTTCAATCTAACCCAGAGCATCTCTGAAGCTGCATCGACCGCACAACTTTCTACCTCAAAACGTGTCTCCCACTGCAAAAATAGCCGGACCGAATTCATTTTGACCGCGCGTTTAATACCGTTAATGCATGCACGTAGGACCAACAATGATCAAAGCCTGTGACCAGGAGCACCTTTAAAGTTCTACTTTGGTGTAGTGCAGGTTGTCATGGCAACAGATCAATATGGCTCGTGTGTTTCAAGTACATAGGTGTTGCAAAGGTGGTCCATCACGTGCAAATCATGGTAATTTCTCACGTGGATTTGTGCGCCCGACCGAGTTGGTCAATGCGAAAAACTCTAAGCTGTAAAATAAACTGCAATAGTGTATACAAATTTTTTGTTTCGATTTTCCACTGCTAAAAAGCTTCCTCCTCGCTCAAGAAAATCCATTTTCGAGAGGCTTTTTACTCGCGAGCAAAGTCGGCGCAGATTTATTCATCTCCATGCATATGACAGTTTGAAGAGATTTCCCTGAGCGCGCGGTGGCAATATTTCATCGCGCTCTATGTGGGCCACGTCACTATGTTTCCCCAATCGTGCTTATCTCCGTCTTCACGTTGCATTAAATTTGCTCAATTTTGTTGCACAGCCGGAAAACTGCATCACAACGTACGAGCCGCACGCCTACGTCGTCATCTACTCCGTGGCTGAGCGCGAGACGATGCTGGCCGCCGAGGAAACCCTCCAGTTTTTGTGGAAAAAGGCGTCCGTCGGAACCAAGGCTGTCATTCTCGTCGGCAACAAAACCGACTTGGTTCGCAGCAGAGCTGTCACGACTGAAGGTTAGTGTATGAATTTTTTATTTTTTAACCCTTTCTAAAAGATTAATTGGAATAAATTGCGCAGCAGTTGAACAATAGTACAAAAACTTGGAATTTCATTTATTAAAAACGCGCATTTTAATGATAAAAATTAAATTCCAATTCTGAAGCAATTCCTCAAGGGGAAAAAAACACGAAAATCAAAACAAAGGAAAACGTGCACTTTCCTTTGTCTGCAGTGCAAACACCCAAGGGCAAAGTTGCTCGGAACAACGCACGCTTTGCGTAAACAATTTCCTTTTTTATATGAAATGCAGCACACGAAAAAATATAAACGCGGCGGCACTTTGCATTATTTACATTTCTCGTCATTTATTTGTTCAGTGCGCGGCTGACGCTGCGATAAACAAAAAGCGAGAGCGTGTTTCTCACTCTGCATTAATTGTGTTTCGTTGAAAAAACGCTTTTTATAGCTCGTTATAATATTTTGATGTGGCCATGCGGGCATTATATAAAAATTGATAACTGCGTAATTCCAGCTGATGCTTTTACCAAGCAATAATTCATATTTTTTAATATCATGCATAATCATGCCTGCGAGAGAAATTTATTCTTTCAAATGTATTCAACAACGCGATCAAAATCAGTTAAAACACCATAATGAGACCCAAATGAAATTGTTAACTGCCCAGCATTTTTATTTAGCTCGAATAAACTGACAAATGATAAATCGGTTCGATTTTTATCCGAAGTAATTATTTTTTAATTACCTTACACGTAAATTTTCAATTTTCAATGAAAATATGGACAAATTTTCCTAAATAATTTTTTTCCAGCACTGTAATTTACTTTATTTCAAATTTCTTTGCAATTTTGTGTTCGCAGAAGGAAAAAAGTTGGCCACCTCATATGACTGCAAGTTCATCGAGACGTCGATCGCGATCAACCACAACGTGGACGAGCTGCTCGTCGGCATCCTGACGCAAATCCGGCTGAAACTGCAAGACCCGGAGCGCTCGCAGAACCTGATGCGCAAGCGGTCATCGAGGCGGAAGTACCGGGGCGCGCGGACCACCGCCAGCCTCAAGGTCAAAGGTCTTCTGGGCAAGGTGTGGTGTCGCGACAGCAAGTCCAAGAGCTGCGAGAATCTGCACGTCCTCTAACCCTGAGCCTAGCCAGGGCCGACAAAGCAGACTTGAATGATTTATTTTTTTTTTCGTTTCGTGTCGTGGGCCGATGATCTCGCACTTTCCAAGGGAAGAAGCTTTAATCAATTATATATATACACACGCGCAGAAAAGGGTTAACCTTTCGTGCTCCCTCTAAACAAAACCAAATTAGATGTCTGGAGTTATACACATGCTGTCTGTAACCAAATCTGAACCAATATTCATATATATCAAATAGTCGTTTGAAGTTAATTTCAAAAAAAAATATTGGTTGTTTATCAAATATTTTTTTCCATTTTTGAAATGGTGTTTTCTTTTTATTATATAATGCTATAATGATTGCCCAAGTTAAATAAAAAAAGTAATAATCATTTTACAACAACAGTTCAGAACCAACAAGGAAAAAATGATGGCGAAATTGGGCGAAATGTTGATTATTAATCGATGAGGTTAAAAGACTGTTAATTAGCGAAATTGAAGGTTTAATTAGCTTTTGTATTCAAAGTAAGTGGGAAAAGGATGAAAAATAAATATCAATTAGTATTTCGGGAATAACTGGCCAATTAGGCAGTGCGAAGCGCATAACATAGCTGATGATTTTTTATGTGTAAACAACTAATGTGATAAGGTTTTTAATTTTCCATTTGTATACTCTCTGTAGGATGAGATTTTTGTATTTTCACAACTAACAAACTCCTCCATGCAATTGGTTTACTAACAAACAAAAATTCATGTAACCGCAACAGCTTTTCATTTTGGTTCAATAAAACGTATGTACTCTTGAAGGTTTATTTGCAAAAGCGAGGAGCGTATATTCCTTTGATCAAATATTTACACGGGAAAATCATCAATGAACATCAATTCAGAGGACTGTTTTATAGTACCATGAGCTTGTAGAGAAATTTGAGAGGCGAAAAAAGTTGAATATCAAACCAGTCATAATAATGAAGCGTACATTTTAATAAATTCCATTTATTATAATAATAAGAGAGCAACTGCCAATTAGTAGTTGAATATAATTGCTTTGCGCAATAATTGAAAAATTTACATATAATATATCACATTGTTGCATAAATATACAAAGTCAAAAAGGTCCAAGTAGTTATTGAAGTGTAGAGCAAGTTGATATATTTGCCGTTGTGTTGCCTTGCACAACACCAGCACAAGTACGGACGTCACTTTATGATTTGCGTGCATTTTGACTGATGATACATGAGCCAGCTATAATAAGCAGCACATCATAGTTCTGATGAGATCAAAAAATTATATATTACTAGGACAAGGAAACCGACCGATTGTCATATCACAACAAATAGTTGAGAATTAATAACGCACTTTCCGACAAATTTTCTGGCTTCCTGTACACAAAGCGCGCACAATTAAATAACTAACCGTCAGTCGGGCGCACATTCTTCCCCTTCTGCAGTTTTCGGTGCCAACTCAAAAAATTAAAATATCTTCCCGCTGAAAAATGAAATCTCTCCTTCCAATTGCATTGCGTTAATTTTTGCATTTTTGTACTGACAAGAATATTTATTCTCAATACAATATCATGAGGTATTACTCAAGACCAAACTCATTGCGTAACGCACTTTACGTCTATTTTCAACATCTGATCAACTCTCTCATATCTATAAATATGAAATCTCACTGTTTGCGAATGTGCTGGACTTAAATATCACACATCTCGTCCAGTCTGCTCTCTTGATCTATTTCAACCAAAAAAAAAAAATAGTAAATTAATTGTTAATAGTGGCCATTCAAAAGCGCCGTGTGTGAGTTGACGGACAAAAATAAAATGTTTTTGAATTTCTGCGCTGTTGGGTGTTTTTTGAATTTTGGATGTCACATCTAAGATATTAACTAATTGTATCATACGGATGATGTGTTCCTCTCTCGCATCATCAAACACACGTTTTTGTTGTACAGAAAGAGCTCCCATCTCTATTGATGTTAAGTGTTGCAGATCGTTTAATTGTTGACGAATAATGTTTTATGGTTGAGTTGATCATTCGCGAACCGAGCATCATGAATCAAAATATGAGATAAAAAGTGGTTATGCAATACTAATGATGTACATAAAATGAATTTGTGTTGAATGTCTCTCCCGGTGTATTTACATAAATTACAGAAATTCGCCGTTTGGTCTAAAGCGGGACTTTGCTCGCCCAAATGATAAATAGCAATGTAAATAACTCGATCAGCCCCTTTTTCCAAAATGTTTAGTAAGAAAAATTTAATTTCAATAGAAAATTAAGCGGGTGGCCAAAGTTCAAGGTTTAGACGTTTTAGAAAGAAAATATTATTCTCTCTTGGGGCCGTCAGATTTGAGACTTTTAACATTTTTTCTTTCATTGCATAAAAAATAAAATGTTGGGTTCCATAAAATTGGCAAAGCAACTTGAGATTTTCATAAAAAAAATTGCTAATGTAAGTGAATGTATCATAACTTGAGCTTGGGGGACAAGAAAAATCAATGAATTAATTTTGTTAATTTTTGAAATTATTAGCCGAGGTGTAGACGCAATTTATTGAGTGTAAAAGAACATGATCGCCCATGAAATATTAATTCTTCCAAGCTCAATTTAACTCCAAAGACACAGTTTTCAATGTTTAAAACCTTTTGAAGCGTTCGGGCATTTCGGGTAAAATTGTTTTCAAAAAAGCCGCATGTAATGACAACGGTTTTAGTGCAGAATTTACTCTCTTTGTCTAAATATTACATAGGACTAAATTAGATACTCGCCAGTGAATAATAATAAAAAAAATACGTGTGCAATACAGCCAAACGCATAAAGTTTAAAAACCCCGTTTGCTGGTTTAAAAAAAAGATGAGCAGAATCTCTGTGTAAAACTGAACTTTAAATGAAAAAAAAATGTATAATTTTTTCCTCGCTCGTTAAGGCGATGAACTCAAATGGCATTTAAAGGAGAGATGCTAGAAATTAATTAGTAAGCTCACAGTTTAAATCATTACTACGTTTTGTGTTTAAATGTAGTTTTCCGATATGTAATTGATGAATTTTAGATTTGCTATGATTATTACTTATGAGACGGAGACGCATTGCTCACTGCAATAATACCTATGTAATGTCACACAAAACACACCACCACACAAAGAACACTATAATCATCACCTATATAAACATGAATGTATCACCAAATGAGATGTATCATGATGGCAATGTGATTAAAAACATTATTTTACTAACGAAACTTGCTTTTTCTTTCATGACCTCTAAAATAAGTAATAATTTCGGAATTAATATACTATTATTGTTAATTCTCCTTATTTTTTTTTAATTTATCAATTAAAATTTTCAGCGTTGAACTCGTCATCTTCTTTCCCGCTACTTTAGATAAAAAACTTCGGTGCTCCGAATTGCGCCGAAACCACTCGATGTCTATCGTGTTGTAATGTTTACACTCATGGTACTGAACAAGTAAGTCTTTTTCATTGGAAGAAAATTAAAAGACAGAATTATGGAGACGGAATGGAAAAATCACAATCGTGACCGGACCCATTATGGCTTTGAAGGTTCGTGGACAAAATAGCATTTTGCAGTGGTTCATTATTTAAAATTTTCAGAAAAAGAGAAAAAATGGCAAGGTCCGTACTTTTTCATTCAAGCCGCCGACTGCCAATTAGGGCTGATTCAAAGGTACCTTGAGAAGAACCCAACGCCTGGCTGGCAACAGGAAATTGCTTTGACAAAACTGGCAGTGGAAAAAATTAACAAAATGAACCAAAAGCCAAAATTTTTCGTCATATGCGGCGACCTCTGTGACGCTTTTCCTGGTAAAAAAAAAAAAAAAAATAGCTCGACTTACGTAACATTATATTTGATTATATTGTTCAATAAAAATATATAATTAAACCAGCTAAAGAACCGGCGTTGAGGGCAGAACAGGAAAAAGATCTAAAAGATATATTGAGTCGGTTGGACCCTTCAGTCCCTTTAGTTTGCGTTTGCGGAAATCATGATGTAGGAGACCAGCCAACGAAGCAGGACCTTTTATCGTAAAAATTAAAATGTGTAATAAATAATTTATAATTTTCAATGTGTAAAAATAACAAAGGTATCAGTCGTCATTTGGTGACGATTTCTACTCCTTCTGGTGTGGAGGAGTTTTCCACATTGTGGTAAACTCGCAGTTCTGGTTCGACAGCACTTTGGTGCAGGAGGAGGCCGAAAAGCAAGACCAGTGGCTGGAAGAGCAGCTGCGCATTTTGAAAACTTCTGAAGCAAAATTTGGGCTGATTTTCCAGCACATTCCCTGGTTTCTGTCAGATTATGAGGAAGAAGCAACAGTTTACTTTACGCTGCGGCCGGAAATTCGCCAGAAATGGTTGCCCAAGTTCAGAGAAGCGGGTATTTAATTAAATGTGTTTTAAAACACGGAAATGAAAATTGATTTCAGGTGTGAAAGCGGTTTTTTGTGGTCATTACCACAGAAATGCAGGAGGATTTTTTGAAGACTTAGAAATGGTGACCACAACTGCGATTGGTGCTCAGCTTGGGTCTGATGAGTCCGGAATGAGGATAGTCAAAGTTTTGTCCGACTCGGTCGAGCACGAATACTTTCCCTTTGAAAAATTCCCTGATAGTGTACAATTATAAAACTTATATGAAATTTTACAATGAGCTAATTTTTGCTTTATTGCTCTCAACATTGAAGTTATAACAATTATTTTACATATTTTAAAGTAATATATTCACAAAATGCTTATAAATCACAACTTCTCACTAAACACGTAACTTCTAAATTTGCGTATATGTTTTAAGTTCTCTACTTCTTTAGAAGATCTTGCATCACAGAGCTTTAGAAAAGAAAAATTGCCAAGGAAATAGGCAAAGTAGCGGCTGTAGCATAGGAATGACTAGGAAGTGGGCACATTTAGTTGTTTTAAAGCATAATTAGAGAGTTGAAACTTGCAAAGGAGAATAGGAAAATATTATAGGATATAATACATTGGCTAGTGATTAAGACCTTAAATTTGGTGCTGTGAAGTGTGTAGAAGGAGGGACTGAATATTTTGATTTTCGAGTGGAAAAATGTACGAGCTAAAAAGTATTGCTCAACATTGATAAGATACTTTTATAACTACATAATAATGTTGAATTAGAATTTAGCGTTGTTAACACTTTGACAATCACAGTTTTGATGCATTGATTATTTATCAAATTTTGTAACACTGGGTGCTTTAAAAATTATAATCAATAGATTAAGCCATAGAATGTATATATCTGGCCAAGTTAATTCAGTCGTAGGATTGTGTGCAAAACTTAGTGTCAATTAACAATAATCAAATAAATTGGTATGCCCAGCACATTCAAAAGCTCATTTTTTTTTTACATCAAAGCAGACGGATTAATTGCTAAAGAAATCACGCTAGCAATGGAATAAAATAGATATTGCCAGCAACATCTGTCACATTGTGTGTATAATAGAACTATAAACGCACGCGGCGCTCAGAATACACAATTAAAATTTTTGAATAAAAAGTATAATTGAGCTACAATAATAAGCAAAGCCAACTTACTTTGGACATTTTTCAAGCAGCTGAGGTGACCATTTTCTGCTCTTCTTGATCTTCTTTGGCAACAGAAAGACGACCGCCTGCAGATTTGCTTATCCAGACAAGACTTGCATCACTGAAATAGACAAACAATGTAGAAAAAAATTTTGTTTTGGTAAAATCTTCTTTCACAATACCTTAAGCATTTTTCCTGAAGAGATATTGCTTGGAACCAAAGAAAAATGCCCAAAATAACAGACCAGGTGCGCAAAGGTCCGAGCACAAAGGCTAGAGTGCCGTAAGCAAGCCAGAAGAAATAAGCATAGGCCATCTGGACAGCTACGATGAAGATGAACGGCAAATGACGGTACAGGTAACCAAGCATGGAGCAATTGTCAAAAACATAAAGCATTTGGAACCTAAAAATAAAATGATTAATAATAATAAATTTAATTGCCATAACAATTGACAAACCTCTTGTCCGCTGTGTGAGCCAAATAGAGTGTCAGAGGAAAATGGTATGTAAACAGCTAAAAGAGCAAAATTTAGCAACGGTTTTTATTTATATTATTTTGCAGGAAACTTACTTGAATGAATCCATAGGCGTAAGTCAAGGATCCAGGCAAGTAGGATCCATTGATTACCATTCCCCAGGCAAAAATGATACCAGTGTGATTTTCAATCACCTCGCCAATTGACCAAGGGCCTGCAAATGAATAACAGAGGTTGAAGTTTAAACAAAAACTCTTAATAAAATATACCTATTGTCAAGTAAAGAGCATAAATTGTGAGAGGAAAGAAAATTCTGTCGACAGTGGAGAGGATCCAAATCTTTCGCAGCCAATCTTGCAGAAAACCAACACCCAGGCGAGGTCGACGCATTTTCTTGTCTTTGAATAATTACAAATAAGTTAGATTAAATTCATCAAAATATAAAGTATATTACTCTTTACAAGTTTGTGCATGAATCTGGTTAAGCACATCGGCACAATGCACAAAATTAGCATTCCTCCAAACATGCACTGGAACTAAAGGGTTAAAATGTAATTTAATTGTCAAATAAATTTATAATAACTTACAACAACACTGATATTGACCATCAGAGCAATTCTTGGCAAAACACTGAAGGCTAGTCTTGTGCCGTCAAGAGAAAATGGCTGAACCACAGTTTTGCTCCGGCCCAATTCATCCTCAACTTCCACCTATCAATTTGTTTTAAAAGAAAAATCATTTTTTTTTTTTTTAAGTTACTGTCAAGTGATGTATTCCTTTCTTAAATCTGGTGGCATTCCACTTAAAAACGTAAAGTGAACCGTTGACATTCTTGCAAACACCCCATTCGCCATTGTTTATTCGCACCCGGACCATCTTTATAGCTGCCGTAGAAAAAGCAAGCACCCTGATGTGGCTCGAGTTGAGCATGCTTGTTGTCGATTCTTTGCCTGGCACCATAAACAGGGCATGCTTGGGGTTGGTGGGCAGGACGACTGGCCAATCGCCGTGGAGGACGTCAACAAATGAAAACAAGCCATGGTCAAACGCTAGCAGCCGGAACCTTTAATAATTTTGGTTAAGAATATTCATAGATATAGAACGTTGAGTCGAGTCTATAAAATAAAAAAACAATCAACTCACATCCTGTTATCCTTCCAATCTCCAAGTTCTAATTCCAGATTGCCGCTCTTCTGCAAGGTATACATATTTGGCACGATTCCTCCGAGTTGATGGAGGTGGCCACACAGGTAAGCGACCCCGGAGCTACCAATCAAGGGTCTCATCCCTGGAGAGGGTGACAAAATGCATGAAGTGGGATAGTGGCCAAACCAGATGGTGAAATTGCTCTCGGAGTTAGCTTGGTGATCAAATTCCTTCAGCTGCTCGTACTCCTTCAGACCAACCACGCCGATAAAATTAAACGGCCGCTTTGGGCCTGGGTCGAGGCAGGCGTCAACCGCAACAAACGAGTACACGTCTGAATCATGCCTCACTTGGATCATGTACGAACGCAAGTGCTTTGTTCCCTGCACTGAAAAGTTGCGGTAAAAGTTTTCCGAGCTGTGCAAGCCAGGAACGTTGAAATTATCTGAAAATTTTTTTCATTTAATAATTTTTTGTTTCTCCAATAATTAAAGTAAAATTTCAACACACAAAAAGCCATACCGTGATTTCCTCGAACGTCTAGCCACAGTGTTTTCTGCTGCACTCTGGACTCCTCTAAAATAGATTTGTAAGTTTGCCACTCTTCGATATACTGCCGAGAGCCCATGTTGTCGAGCATCTTAGCATCAGTCAGATCACCTAAATTAAAAAATTTATTTTAATCATCCTATTTATTATAGGAAAAATCATCTACCTGATGCAAGGACAATTTTTGGTTTAATGGTATCGATGGTGGTTCTGCAAAATTCTCTCAGGTCGCTCACTCTCGAAATGTCGTGGAAAACACTTATGTGTAAGTCAGAAATCTAGAGGTCAAAAATAAATTTTAATTTAAATATAAAAACACTAAATTAAAAATATTACTTGCAGGAACCAAAACAGGTTGTCTGCAAACTCTCCGGGAATTCTGTTTCCCGGCAAGTGATCATCCTGATATTTTAACCTTCTGGATGCATGTTTATCGTCGTCACTCTGGGGATTGGAAGAAATTTCTCCCTCAGCAACATCCACGTTGATGACACTTGAGATTTTGCCGATGATGACTGAACATGCAAGGCACACAGCCACCAATAGCAGGGCTGACATTGACAGTCGCATTTTAGGACAGAGAATAACTCGGTGTCGTAAAATACGGTGTGTATTTTAAGAGGTTATCGATCGGTCGGGCGCTCAATTGTCTTGAGAAAGCTCCAAGAAAACGAAGACATAATAAACCTAAAAAAAAAATGGTTATTTAAAATACACAATTTAATTATCAAACAAACGAGTAAGGAGTCAAACGGAATGGAAATTGCATTTTCTAAAATGTGGATTTTTTTTTCGTAAATTCATTAATTTAATTCGTGAGAGGGATTATATAATTTCAAATTTATTGTATTGAATGTAAAAAAATATGCAGAATCTTTTTAGCAAAATAATTAAAATTAATGTTTTATACACGTCCAAACATTCCAAACATTATAATCAAAATAATTTTATTCATTTTAAAACTTATTCACATAACCAAAACCAATACCCACATAAATGTGTATTAAAAATTTACCTCCGTGTGTATTCTCAATAGAGCAGTCGTCTTATCGAGGGATTTGTCTAAAACAAATTTTGTCTCGTCTTCAGAGTTTCTTTACTTGCGATAAGTCTTGTTCGCGTGACGAAGAAACTCGTCATTTAATTACTTTTGTTTGGTAAAGTCGCAATTTTGGTGAACGAGAAACGACGACGGAAAAGATCGCAAAACACGGCCCAGCTGGATTACGCGCCTTTGCTGCCATCTATGCTTGTTTTGTCTTGCGAAAAGTCTCACGATCAGCCATTCAGCCGGCAATAGAAAAGTAAGAGACTAAACAAGTTTCCGCAGTTTGTTTGTAAATTGTATTTTGAGCGACCGAAACACAGAAAAACAGGCTGTTCAGAAGCGGATTTAGCCTTATCTGTGGTTTTTCAGGTTTTGCTCAAATATTGAGGTATGTATAACTGACAACTCGTTAAATGTTTGGAAGAGAAAGTCTTTGAGCCTCAATCAGTTTGCAACCTGTTGTGTTCGTTGAGAGCGAAAACTGCATTCCTCACTTATTAACATGGCTAGTTTCAGGCTAATTTATTGCTATCTTTTTGTTATTTATTAAATATTTTTATCTCGTTGTAATAAACGACTTCCGATGCATCTCTGAATTGATTTTTGTCGATTTATTACATCATTATTGAGTGCTTCTTTTTGGTTCTTCCCCAAAGTTCCCCAAGCTCATTGGGCAGGGCACAAATTATCTTATGACAGTATGACTAATAATGAGACCATGCAACAAAAATTATTTTTTATCTAAATAATCTGCGTACTATGTTGTTTTTTCCTTTTTTTCAGCTTGTGCGGTATAGACAGACTCTATACAAAATCTTTATTTTTAAATAAATTATTCTGTTTTTTGCCATTTCGTTGTGCAGAGATATAATCATATTTAGTACTTTTACATAAATCTTTTAAATGATCCCCCTCAAAGAGGATAGATAGAGATAATGTCGGCTAATTAGTAATTTTGTTATTATTTCAGCCCAGCACTTTTAATTACACAGCTTTTAACATAATTACACTTAATTAAGACTTTTTAATTTTAAATTTATTTACATGTGTGTGTGTATTTTTACATTTTATAAATCCATAATAAATAAAATATTTTTGTCACTTTTTCACAGATAATAATAATTTCCAACACGGAGATGATGGCAATGTTGCTCTGGAGTCGAGCCTAAGATTTTTGCTGCACTTCTATCAACGGTATTAAAAATAAGCAATAAACATTATTCGCCTAGTAAAAATCAAAATGTCCCAAGTTTTTTATCAGGGGATGTCGGATCCGATTTTATATGTATGGAGCAGAGAAAGAGAGGAAAGGTGGGGACACGACTGCTGGTGCATTGTGCATACCATCTTCCCTTTTTCCTTTGCGCTCACTGCTGACCCAGGTCAAACAAGCAGCCAATAGAAATTTGGTGCCATTCGAAGCATTGCTGAGGCGCCGTATGGCTAAAAACTATATGCGGAAATATTTGTCCAATATCACATTCATAAAATACAATGGGAAATTATTTTACCACTTTTTTAAGTGAAAAAACAGTCAGAGCTATGTGGATCTTCTCTGATTCAAGAAATTTTTAATTTTGAATTCCTTATCTTTTCCTACAGATATGAACCCTGAAGGCCCTCCTGGTGATGGGAAGAGCTGGCGAGGTCGAGGCAAACGGCAGCCAAGTTCCGCTAACACAGACAGTCCTCAGGTTTATGCAGGCAGAGGCAGAGGTTTTGGTGGCCAGATGCAGCAGCAGAACTGGAGACGAGGTGGAAGACCCATAACATCACTGGATGACGACCCTCCTCCGCGAGCCCCTGGTGCGAGCGGTGCTGGCAGAGGACACGGCTGGCAGAGGTGAACTAAAATTTTGTGTTTCATCATCAAATATCAATATTGAAACTTAATTTTAAATGATAGGAATAATGAGAACCCTCAGAAGCGGTCTTACAACTTGTCATACACTAGACTTGATGCATTGTCCAAAGATCCGAGCAACAACAATGTGGTGCTCACCCTGTCCAACAGCGACTACAATTTCGAGACCTTAGTGAAAGATGCCCTTCGAGAAGATCTCTTCTTCCTGGTGATCAAAGTTTTGGCCAAAGTCTGTCAATCCGACTTTACTGAGAACAAAATCAAAATCATGACAGCTGCATGTTCAAGCTACAAGTTCATGAACCACTTCCCTATTCAGTTGAATAACTTGGACGAGCGTCCCACTGACCAGTTGAAGGAATTGATCTACAACATTATCATTTTCTTTGAAAGTGCTTCTGAAATGCTGCCTTATGCTTGTTTCGAGGCCTTGGGTTCAATGAAAAGCACTCACTTCAGTATGCTCGGACTTAGTCATACAAAAAATCTGGGCCTTGAAACAGACGGCTCGCTTGCAAAGTTCGAAACAATCATCAACGAGGTAAAGACAAAAACTGAAGAGCAAAAGCAGCCCTTGAAGCCAAGGTCTGAAATCTGGAAGGAGCGGAAATTGAAGGAACACGACTTTGCTCCGCCAAATGACTTCCGAGAAATCCAGGTCTACCCCAAGCCCGAGGAGGTTCTGTGCCAGGAAAAGCCATTCCTTAGAGTTAACCTGGTTGACCGCACCTACGCAGACGTTGATCACTACCTGGATGTGCAGTTCAGACTGACAAGAGAAGATTTCATGAGGCCACTTAGGGATGGAATCGACGCCATGAACTCCCAGGACAGAAAGAAAATGAAAGAGGTAACATTTTTGCAGTAATTATTATTAAATTTTAAAATTAAATTTGTTTTTGAAGGCCAATGTGAAAATGTATGAGCACATCCAGTTTGTGCGTAACAACAGCCGCTTGATTCCGCAAGAGTTGACCAAGAAAAAGAAGGACCGAGATGATGAAGGCGTCCTGATATACCTGAACTTTGAAAAGAACAAGCAAATGAAGAAAGTTGAATGGGAGCACTGCCGCCGCTTCATGTACGGTTCCCTCTTGTGCTTTACAAAGGACAAGTTTCAGAGTTTGCTGCTTGCAACCATCATCGACCGGGACCTGGACTTCCTAAGAAAGGGCTTCATCCGAATCCAGTTTTGCGAACCTGTTGCTGAGAATATTTACATGGCCGAATACACAATGATTGAGAGTGAAATTTTCTTTGACCCTTACTACCATGTGCTGCGAACGCTGCAGACACTGCAGAAAGAAGACTTTCCCCTTGCTGAATACATCGTCCTCTACCAGAAAGACGTGTTTCCTCCTCGCTACCTGGAGGTTGAGCCGCAAGTCCAATATCGATTCCCAAACTTTCGCTATCCTGTCAATGTCCTAGACGCCGAAACCTGGCCTCAACATGAAGATCTTGATTTGGACATTTCTCAGTATCGAGCTCTGTACATGGCCCTGACTCGTGAGCTGGCAGTCATTCAAGGTCCTCCAGGGACTGGCAAAACCTTCATTGGTCTCAAAATTGCCCAAATCCTGGTTGAAAACAGAGCTGTCACATCAAGGAAAACTCCAATTCTGGTTGTTTGCTTAACAAACCACGCCCTTGACCAGTTCTTAGTGGGCATCAGCAAGTTCACCAGCAAGATTGTCAGGATTGGAGGGCAGTCTAAAAATGAGGAAATCTCGAAATTCAACCTACGTCTGCTGAGGCGGCACTCGAAACTGCACTCGGCTCGTTATGCAAATAGCAAACAGGAAATTGCTGCAAACAAGAAGCAGCTGAATGACATTGATCTGAGTTTGAAAGAAATCACAAAAGGCATCGTTTCCTATGAGCATCTGCACAAATTGGGCATTGCACCGGCAATGTTCCTCAATGATGCCCAATTCCTGATCTGGCTTCTGTGCAAGCAAGTAGAGGCCAAGCCGAGCTGCATTGGTGCTCTCAATTTCACACTCACACTTAATGAGTTGGAATTCCAGCTGGGAGAGCTGGAAGATCAGAGGAGCAGAGAGCGTGACCATAAGTTGCTGGGCAGTTTAAACCACAAAATCAGAGATGCAGGGGTGTTGATTGAACTGGTGAGGAATAGGTTGGAGACGACTGCGCCCATGAGTGACAAGGAAGCAGAGCAGGTGAAGAAAAGGAAAATGATTGAAATTCCAGTGGACCAGCGCTGGCAGTTGTACAAGCAATGGCTTCGGGTGCTGGAAAATGAGTTTTTGCAAAGGATCTCGGAATTTGAGAGAGACATAGCCATTCTTGAAAAGCAGCAGGGCGAACTCCAGGAAGTCGAAGATTTAGAAATCCTGCGAGAAAATGAGGTTGTTGGAATGACAACCTCCGGCGCCGCTCGCCTCCATGGGCTGCTGAGGAAATTGGGAACTGAAATTGGTATTTTCTTATAAGTCAATATTTTAAATTATTAACATTTGATATATTTTATTTAGTGATTGTTGAGGAGGCTGCTGAAGTGATGGAGCCACATGTTATTGCCTGCCTTACAAGCAGCTGCAAACACTTGATCCTAATTGGTACTAAAATTTATTTCATATCATATCAAAAATAAAAATAAATTTTAATCTAGGCGATCACAAACAACTGAGACCTAATATTGCTGTGTATCAACTGGCTAAGGATTTCAACTTTGACATCTCTCTTTTTGAAAGAATGGTGAATAGAGCTCCTGAAGAATGTGTCACTCTGGAGGTTCAGCATCGGATGGCTCCTGAAATTGCACAACTAATCGTCCCTGCTATCTACCCAAAACTCTTGAATGACTCGAGCGTCAAATCGTACGAGACTGTAAAAGGCGTTTGCAAAAGGCTCTACTTCATTGATCATAAAAACATGGAAGAAATGACTGTGAGTCTTGTAACCTGATTTTAAACTAATTTAAGTCTAAATACTGTTGGTCTTCAGGACGTTGACTCTCACAGTCGAATTAACAAGTTTGAGGCAGAGTATGCGTTGGCCCTTTGCAAACACCTTGTTATGCAAGGTTACAAAGCGTCTGAGATCACCATCCTGGCAACATACAGGGGTCAAATGTTCCACATCCGAAAGGTAGAATATTAAATAATATTTTTTGCTCTTTTTGCAAATATTAATGTAAAAAAAAATTAAAGGATAAGAGTAAATTCCCAATTTTGGACGAAGTGTTGGTGACTGTGGTCGACAACTACCAAGGCGAAGAGAATAAAATTATCATTCTCTCTCTGGTCAGAAGCAACTCGGAACAGAGAATTGGTTTCCTCAAGATGGAAAACCGAGTCAATGTGGCTGTGTCGAGGGCTAGGCATGGCCTGTTCATTCTTGGCAACATGCAGTGCTTGGCTGGCCCTGAAAATGGTACAATTTGGAAGGATTTTAGGAAGACGTTGGTTTCCCAAAATGCAATGGGACATTCTCTGCCTTTGCAGTGAGTATTTTTAATTTAGAGAAATTATTAAACACATTTTAAACTAATGATTCCAGGTGCCAAAATCACCCCGATAAGAAGTTTTCTATCTCAGACCCAAAAGACTTTGCCAAACTCTCTCCACAGGGTGGATGCAACCAGATTTGCCTTGTGCCTCTACAGTGTGGTCATCAGTGCCAATCTGTCTGTCACACACTCCACCAGGATCACAAAAACATGAAATGCACTGCTCCTTGTGAGCAATTGTGTGATGCCGTGGTGCATAAGTGTCCCAAGAAGTGTTACGAGGAGTGCGGCACATGCCAAGTCATTGTCACCAGGAAGCTGCCTTGCGGACATGAAGCGTCCTTCCCCTGTCATGCCGACACCGATGGCTACAAGTGCCAGATCAAAATGAAGAAGCTTTTCTCTCTTTGTGGCCATTTCAATACAGTCAAATGCTGCCAAGATCCTTTGAGAACTCCTTGTCCCGAAAAATGCGACCGAAGACTTGACTGCGGTCATAGATGCGAGGACAATTGCCATGTCAAACACGACCCTGACCATCTCAAATACCAGTGCTCAAAGACATGCAACCAAGTCAACCCTAATTGTGCCTCTGGGGACCATAGGTAAGCAGACGCAAAATAATTTATTTTTATGTTCCTTCAAAAATTCAATTTATTTAATTTTTTCAGGTGTGGCAAGAAGTGCCATGAGGATTGCGAGCCTTGCAACGTGATGGTCGTGAAGCTGAGGAAGTGTGGTCATGAAATCAAAGTGTTGTGCCAAAGTGACCCAGACAGCCATGGAATCTGCCACAAAAAGTCCTGCGAGCGGACTCTTAAATGTGGCCACAAATGCAGCAAGCCTTGTATGGAGAATTGTGATCCTTGCATGACTGAGGTTAATGTTAAACACCCCATCTGCGGTCATGAAATTACTAAACGCTGTGGAACCTCCTTTGCCGACATCATCTGCAAAGAAAAATGTGGCAAACTGATGACGTGTGGCCACGTCTGTGAGGATGTCTGTGGACGACAGTGTGACACATCCAGGTGCTCCAAGGGGGTTGCCGAAGTGGTGGCCGAGTGTGGTCATTATGTTGATCTTTACTGCTCAGAGTACCGTGATGGTATTTCAGTAATTATTTTTACAAATGAAGGTATTACTCTTCTTGCTATTTGATCAGGAACGAGGCAGCCTAGGGACAACTTGAGATGCAAAAACCCTTGTGGAGCTGAGCTGGCTTGTAGCCATCCATGCCCTGGAACTTGTGGAACTTGCTACCAAGGAAGGTTCCACGTGCTATGTGACAAGCCCTGTGGCAGAAACTTGATTTGCAATCACACGTAATAATAACTTACGTAGAAATTAATGTGCTGGTGGTCTAATTTCCATAATTAGTTGCAAGGAAATGTGTGCAGAATCCTGTCCGCCTTGCCATGAAAAGTGCACGTTCAGATGTGAGCATTCCAAGTGCCCAAAAAAATGTGGGGAACCTTGTGTTTCTTGCAAGGTAAAACTTGGTCAGTTGTGAAATTTTTATTTTTTATATTGCTTCCATTTTTCAACAGGAGCGTTGTTCCATTGGTTGTGTGCACCGCAAATGCAAACGTATTTGTGGTGATAAGTGTGATGTTGATCCTTGTAATGAGCCGTGCACAAAGCGCCTCAAGTGTGACCATGAATGTGTTGGCCTTTGTGGAGAGCCGTGCCCTCCACTGTGCAGAATTTGTGACAAAGAAGAGCTAACTGAAATTCTGTTTGGAGATGAAGATGAACCTAACGCTAGGTAAAATATATTTGATTTTACATAATTTTTTACTTTAATTGTTTATTTTCTTTGGAAAATTGTTTGTTCACATCAGATTTGTGTACTTGCCCGAGTGCAAACATTGCATAGAGGTGAAAGCTATGGACAAATTTATGAAATTGAGCAAAGCAGATGAACAACAGGAAGGTGGAGAAATTGGAGTCAATGTTTGTCCCAAGTGCAAGTCGAAGGTTACTGCGGTTCGTTACAACAACATCATCAAAGCGAACTTGGAAAATGTCAACAAAGTCAAGGAAAAATACTTTGGAGACCGTGCCAGCAACGATAAAAAAAGAAATTTGCTCGTTGAGCGTACTACAGACATTCTGTCAACTCATATTACTTTGGAAGGTGCTTAATATGATATTTTGAACTTAAATTAGAAACTCAAATTTTCTCAATCCAGACGATTTCCTGGAGCTGCATTTCTGCCTGACAGACCTTCTCAATTCACTTATGCCCGAGGTGGCAGGTCGCAAAAATGTGCTGCACGCCTACAACCTCAATGCAAGGGAGATTGAGGTTGACATTCTGACAGGAATCTGCAAAACATGGGGCAAGTGCAAGTCACCAATCGAGAAAGAAGGAATCACAAATCAGATCAACTTCCTGTTGCAAATCTTTGAATCAAAGAAGAGACGAGTAGGTCAGCAGCAAGTTGACGACTTTCTTCCAGAGCTGACTCGACTCGAATACATGAGAGTATTCCTCTCATTCAAAGACAAAGTTACTTTCTACAAAGAAATTGAGCCACTCATTAGAGAAGGAATGGCAGTAGACAAGAACTCAAAATTCACAAAATCCAGCGAGGCTAAAATGAAAAATGTGAGAGATAAACTGGCAAACGTCTGTAAGAACATCCCTGGCTTGGGAATCACGGAAATTGAGCGAGTCCAAATTGTACAGGCTATTGGGCTTACCCCAGGGCACTGGTTTTCATGCCCCAAAGGGCATGTCTATGCAATCGGTGAGTGTGGAGGAGCCATGGAACGATCCAAATGCCCTGAATGTGGCTCCACCATTGGTGGTGGTAATCACGCTCTAGATGCAGGAAACCGTCACTTTGGAGGCATGGATAGGTCCCGTCACGCAGCTTGGTCCGACCAAGCCAACATGGAAAATTACAATTTTGATTAACGGCTGTGCCTTTTTACAGGCTGTAATTCTACATCTAAATATTTCAAAATAAAGTTTATATTGTAATATGGATGTCGCACTTTTTAGTGAAGTATTAAAAGAAAATTAAAGAATCTCTCTCCGAGTGCTTAATAATTATATTTTTAACGAAGTACACAAAATTTAACGGCACGAGGCCATGATGGCAGAAACATCCTCAAAGTTGATTTTCTCAGTGATATTTTTTGTCTTGATGTTGTCATCTTGGTTGGCAATGAAGACCATGTTGTTTTCAACCTCCTTCCAGCCGTACTTCTTGATCCATGCACTCAGGGTATTGTCTGCAGCAAAAATTCATAAGCACACCCACAAAAAAATTAAAAATTATAATCTTTACCATCAATGTCTCCAAGCAGTCTAGCCAAGAGCGGTTTCTCGATGGTCTGGAATGTGATTCCAACAACATGACAGACAAACTTTCTGATGGAATCGTTGAAGCCACTGATGCGCGAGCAGACTTCAGACATTGAGCTCACTCTGGTCCAGAATTGCTGGAAGTCGCAGCGCTCCAGAATGTCCGCCAAGTAGACGATGTTGCTGATCTGGGGGTCTTGCAGCTGAAAGTTCCATACAAATTTTGAAATTTTATTTATTATTTGATTATTTTGTTAATTACATTTCTGTCGGTGAGAAGGCATTTGCAGAGTACGAAATCGGTGTGGGGGAAGTTGGTGACGGCTTTTAACATAATTTGGCAGACGATGTCCAAGTTGTACTTTGTGGAGTCCAGCTGGTACAATTTTAGAATGGCAAGGTTAGCCTCCAGGTCGTAGGTGTTTTCACGGGCCTGCATATCTACGTACTGCTCCAAGAGAGCCAGATTTTCAGGGTTGTATCTGAAATTATTTGAAAGTAAAAAATAAAACAAAATTTTTATAATCTAATAATCAGATTTTTGTATTATTAAGATTTTTATGGAAAAAATTTTTAATTTTTAACTCGTAATTTTTCCTCACCTCTCGATCCCCTTCAGTTTTGATGCAACCATTTGTCGCATATTTTCAACTTGGGACATCTTCAAGCCTTAAATCTGCAGCTTAGAAAAAAAATATTGTAGAAAATTGATACTTTCAGGAGTTTCAGGTGCCGACAACGTGTGTCTTCCAGCCAAGCCTAAACAATGCAATAACAATCAGCAATCATTGGAATCATTAACAACATCGGAAGTAAAATTTTGAACAAGAATTTGAACACTGCCATTTTTTCGATAATTCCCATGGCACAAAACCTTTGAAGTTGTTAAAAAATATGGCCGCAATTCTTATTTGCCTTATTTTCAATCCACACTCTTTTGAACTAGAGCGGGAAGAACGAAAACAGCTGCACAAATTTTGAGAAAGAGCAAAGTTAAAGTTTGTTGTGTTTATTTTCGGGAAACTAGTAATATTGCGTGATTTTCCGAGCTAAATAGCTCAATACATATCCCACTTTTATGGTTTTGCTTCTCAGTTGTAAAAGGTATGTATTAATTATTAATTATAATTGGTCATTTATACAAATATGTAATGCACAAACTCATGACAATAGTGTATTGTTTGTTTTAGTTTGGACACAGAATGATTGGTATCAACCGACTTGTCTCCCTTGGTGTGACTTTCTGCAGGAGTAGAAGTGTTTCTACCTTGGTAAATTCAAGTTCCTTTGCCACCACTAGATCTTCTCTCTTCCAAAAGGACTTTAGCTGCAATCGACGAAGTTTTCAGACAAGTTCTTTTACCTGCTGCAGCACTAAAAAACCGTCGGACAAAAATGCGTCTGATAGTGATGGTAAAAAAAAATTAGACAGTCTTATATTGGAGATATGAAAATTTTAAATTTAAAAAATTTATATATTTTCAGACGATGGTGTGACAGCTTACTTGTCAACTAAATATAAAATCCTCAGCGAAGATAACGCACCTCTGATACTGGATTTAGAATTGGAGAGGAAAAAAGCAGCGGACGAAAGTACTCAAGAAGAGACTTTTGAAAAAACTCAAAAGCAGGAAGAAGAGGAGGAGGATGAATTTTCCCGTTTTGATTTAACAAGTTTGTTAAATTTTAATTTACTTATGCTCATAATTAATTAAATACAACAGGAGGAGTGCGCGGTGTTTATGACATCGAACAGCTGGTTGATGTTCTACACTCGGAAGGGGCCATCGACTTGTTCGTTTGCAAAATTCCCGAAGAGCTTTGCTACGCTGACCATATTGCCATCATCACTGGTAGATCTGTCCGTCACAGAATTGCTTTGGCTCAGCTCGTGAGGAGGGTTTATAAGAGAAAGAGGAATACCAATGATATTGTGCCAAGAATAGAAGGAGAGGCTGACAGTGGGAAGGCTGAGTGGCTCGCAATGGATTTAGGTATTTTAATTAATTTACGCCTAATTAATTGTTAAATTTAACTGTTAAACTACATGTTTTTAGGAAACATAATTTTGCATATTTTTGCAAGAAATGCCAGAGAAAAGTATGATTTGGAGTCGTTGTGGAGTCTGGGTTCCAAACATGATGTCCAGAGCAACCAGAAAAACGACGAACTTTTAGATTTGTTAGCGAGCAGCGAATTGTACTTGGAAGACTTGGAGCCAGCTGAGCCGACTATTTCCAGCAAAGAAAAATAATAAATTAAATTGAGAATAAAATGTAATAACTAATAATAAAAATTAAGATAAAGCGGCATAATAGTAGATCAAAGAAATTATTATAAAAAATAGAGGTCAATAAATAACTGCTTTTTTCTATGAATAAAATTAAGACAATTTTAATCATTAAATCCAAATTTTCTAATTTTACTCTATATTTATTTCTCTAAGGTCAACTTTTTTTTCAATATAGTTCAAAAGCAAGGGTAAAAAAATAAAACTTTCGCTTTCAAAGGGTTGGATGTGCGGCCGGCAGGCGCGGCGGTGTTGCGCGACTTGCCAACAGGGAGCAGGCAAGTAGACGAAAATACAGGGAGTGCAAAAAAAACAAACGAGAAATAATCCAAATCAAAATCGTGGTTGCCGAAGCATTATTTTGTATAAACAGCATGGAGTAAACAAATAAGACAAATTGGTGCACACGAGGCATATTGAAAAGTCGGCCGATTTTCATATGGTTGCTCAGATTTTATAATTGCATTAGCTATTTTCTAGAGCGAAGAAAGTGAAGACGTTCAGTCCGCTTACACTAGAGACGTGTGTAAAATCTTGAGTGGTTGGAAAACGCGACTTGCCAATCAACTTTTTGGCAGAAAACTTTCCTTGGACAATTTTTAAGGTTTCAAAAGAAGTAAGCATAAAAATTGTTGAAGCAGAACAGAAGCAGAAAATAATAATTAGTGATTTTCAGCTTGTCTCATTTTTTGAAAAGGACTTAAATTGTCCTGCAAAAATTTTAAAACGATTTTGTTGTGTTGTAAATAATAATTTGTTACATTTCATTTTTTATTGAATAAAAAAATTGAGACAAAGCTATTAAATTAAATGAAGCAATAGTAGCAATATCTATTTATTTCTGATCCTTTTTCTATTTATTGATGTTACCATCGATCAATTTAAATTGTAACAATTTTTTTAGTGATTGAACCTGAGCCTGAGCCCGAAAATGCAATTTCTGAGGAAGAGAGACTTGCCCGAGAGGCAATTCTCACTGAAAAGATGGCCAAGATGAGGGAGAAAAACGAAGCGATAAGGAAGCGCTACAATGAGGTGCAAGAAGACCTGAAAAATGCCCAAGCCATCAGCAGCCAGGTCAAAGTTGAGTCCGGCAGCGGCGATGATGACGAGGACAACAAACCCATCCGAAAGGTTGTTAACAAGACGCCACCTAGAGAGAAAGACCGCGAGTCCAAAAGGTTCACACCGAGGAGGCAAAACTCCGAGCCAAACGCCGAAGGCACCGAACAGGCTGTTCCCGCAAGATTTGTACACTCATTTGGAGATGTTAGAATTTAATTATGGAAATTTTAAATTTTTTAAACAAAAATTTCATAGGGTGGAGGACCTCCTCCTGATCCTGGGTACAATTTTTTGGCAGACGAGGAACGAGATGGTCCCAAGGACAACAAAGATCAGGCTAGAATGCAAAGACCGGTTCGTTCGCCCTAATAAAAAGACGGTTTTATTTCAGAAGGAAAAGGCTGCTAACAAAAATAACTCTTCATTTTCGGGTCGTGGTGGAAGCTTTAAGGTTCTTGAATTTCTACACTTTCTTACCAATATAATACTCTTCTTTTAAAAAAGCGCTTACTAACAAATAATCAATAAAAATATAATACAAGGGAAATGAAAATATGTCAATTTTACTTGAAATTAGCAACAGCAAAGAGGCCGTTTTCCAAGGCAAAGGGGTGGTCAAAGAGGAAACCGGCAGTACCAAGGAGATGACGTCGGAAGGCCCCAGCGGGAGGGCGGTGGTGTCCAAGACAAAGACCAAAAGTGGCGTGAAGAACGTGCGGCCATAGACGAAGCCCGAATCCGTCGACAACAGAATTCGGACGGCAACTGGCGACGCGAGTGGGACAACGAAAAGAGTGATGAGCAGGAGCAGCCACCAACTCACACCCCCAACCAGTTAAAATGAAAATCAGAGAGGAGCAAATTTGAACATTTTGATTTGAAGGTTCCGAGGTGGAAGAGGTCGAAGAGGAGGACCAGGGGAGAGAGGCGGTTTTAGAGACCAAGGCCAACCCCGAGGGAACGGCACAAAATTCTTTTATCAACAAAGAGGTGAATGATTTATTACTGGATTGGTTAAAAGCTAAATTTGATTTTACAGGAGGAAGGGGAAATTATCAATCGCAAGGCGAAAACCGTGAAAATAATTTTCAAGCAGGGGACAGGTGGGTCAGAGACACTTCAGCAGGACACCAAGGGCATGGTGCTCATCCGGGTATTGCAGATTAATATTAAATTAAAAAAAATGCTAATTCCAATTTTAGAAGGAGCTCCTGTCAGAGATCTCAGAGATGTGTTAAGCTCTAGAAGAACAGGAGGTGAGTGGCAAAAATCTTAGTTTTAATTTGTATTCCAAGTTCTGAAATCTACAGGCACAGGGCGGGTAGCAATAGAGGGAAATCATTTTGATCATCAGCCAAAGCCGAGAAGGGAAAATAGGGCGCAAGGCAGCAGCCGCCATGGTAGATTATGAAATAAAAATTTGGCTGGTCTAATTTTGACTCGTTACAGCTGCTGACGATGACGAGTGGGAAGACGTTGAATGAGTGCTCACAACTAATTGATCTTACAGCTTTTGCCGATATCTCACTAGAGATAGATTTTCTAACTACTTCGTGTTGTAATCTTATGGTTTTATAAAATTAAAATCGAACTAACGCAGCAAAATGATGTTATTTATAGAAACTCAAGAAAACAATTTACGTAGCCTTTGCTTCGATTTCCACCGGCTCCCTGTTCAAAGCTGCCGCCTCCTTCATGGCTGCGTTTTCAGCTAACGATTTCTGCCAGCAGTGCTCAAAAGGGTAGTGATTCCTGGGCTCCTGGTGGGCAAGCAGCTCTTCGTCCCTCTCGTACTCGGCAATTTGCTGCTCAAGAACCGCATCTTCAATGCACTTGGTTGGATCATCGGTGAAACCAGTCACTTCCTTGAACAGCTCCTCTGGAGAAGCCACGTTGGGCATTCCCTTGCGCCTGAAGAACTGCAAATTTGAATTGAATAAATAAATATTTTAAATAATTAGTACTTTATCATCAATTTTTACAAAAAATTTTTTATATAAAATTTTTCTTTTAGTAAATTTGTTTCCCTCTTAAAAAATAAATAATGAAAACAAAAATCATTAAGATTTTTAACAAAAAGATACTTACTGTGGCAATGTTGGTGCAGTCTCTGAACAAGAAAGATCTGGCGCCTGGATGTCTTGGCTCAATGGCTTGGCCAACGTCGATGAACCAGCAGTCGCCCTCACACCAAAGGATGTTGTACTCGGACAGGTCAGCGTGAATCAGTCCAGCTTTATGGTACAGAATCTTCATTGTCTACAAGATATTTTAAATTGCCAAAAATTCTACAACTGAAGTTATTTCCTTCACCTCCACAACCTGCTCGTAAGCAACGCACACTTCAGCAGCATTCAGAGCTGCATCTTTCAGTTTCAGTGCTGGACCGTGCGAGTCGGCAATCATCTCCATAACCAAAATGTGCTTCTTCAAGTGCACTGCAGATGGACACTTGACGCCTGGAAATAAAAATCAGTAAAAAACATTAATGCAAATGCAAGAAAACAAACCAGCATTTCTCATGCGAATCAGGTTTCGCAGCTCTTTCTCAGCCCACAATTCAATCATTTTGCGGTTGTTCTAAATTTAATCAGGTTTTTATCTATTGCAAAATCCAATTTATAATAAACTGTCTAAAAATACCTGCTTAGTGAATTTGTCTTTGAATCTGTGATCATCCCTGATGTACTTGTCTCGGTCCTTAAATTCGTTTAGGGTCGTCTTGAAAATCTTGATGGCACAGTACTTCGGCAACTCAGTACCATCCTCTTTCCTACAATTCCATACTTGTTACAACTTCCAATTGTAAGTAAAAACAAATATCGTACTTTCCACCCTCCGCATGCAGGATGACGGCCTCTTTGCCAGTGCTCAGAATCCCTCCGACATTCTCAAGCAGCCCAGCGTCAATCCACTTGTGCAGTACGATACGAGTCCGAGGGTCAACTGCCTGCTCACTAGTGGCCAGTTCAGATTTGTCGTGAAGTCTGGCCCTGCGTCCTTGCTCAACTTTCGAGTGCCGCTTCAGGCTGTTAAAAACCTAATTCTCCCGATGACATAATATTTTCAAGCTTAGTATAGTAAAAATTACCTGATTCGACAGTTTCATGTCAAATCCTCCTCCGTCGCCAGTGTGAAATTCAGGAGGGAACTCCATGACACGACAAGCATTCCTCCTGTTTGCCATATTAATGTCGTGCTTTGTCACAATTCCTGGGCCTTCAGGTGCTCTTCTGTATCCACACCTTGGAATCGAGGGGAAAGCGGCCTCTGAAGCCTGATTTTTTTTCATAAATATTTAGAAAATTATAATTAAAAATTCTATTACTTCAAAATTGTCCCAATGCCTCTTGGTGTCATCCACGTCTTCATCATAATCAGAATCTTCTTCTTCTTCCTGGCCACTAAGCAAGTAGTTATTGTAGGAAACGGTCACTGAAAAAGATAGAAATATTATAAAAAACTTTTATTTAAAATGATTAATTTATTTAAACCTTTTGATGTTCCGTTCCACTTGGCCTCTGTCCTCTTCACCACCTCATCGTGCTCTTTGTCAAACTGCATCTGCAGCATTCTTGCGATCATTTGGTCACTGTCACAGCCACTGGACTCGACAACAAATCCCGCAGCAGCATCGTTTCCGTCGGAAAGAAGTGATTTTGTGTAGCTGTCCACCTCCCTGCAAATACATAAAACTTTAAACCTAAGAATTCAATCCTAAATTGCTTTGCGAAAACTTACTTTGAGTGAAGGTCGATGGCCAACTGTTCGGACATGATTTCCGACAACGACGCAGTTGCTGGCGGCTGCGAGACTTTTCCCCACGGCGATTTCGCTGCAGATATGTTGCTTTCTGAATTGACTTCCATGATAATGTTACAGACTAAGTGTTCAAGCGTATTCTCAATAAACTGCAAAATAAATATTCAAAATGGTTAGTTAAAAATACTGCAAAATACGAGTGGAAAAAGAAGACAAACTCGTTGTGGCAATCAATGACTTACTTCTAAAATGATCCAAAAACGGACGGAAACTAGAATTCCTGGAAGTTTCCAAGTAAAAAAGTGGAAGAGTCTTTTGAAAAAATATCGAGCTCAACCACCTTGTTGAGCAAAGTGAGGAGTATAAAATAATTATCGACTAATTGGAGTTGTTTCGCGAATTAACGAAAACTTCTTGACGTAGATTGAGAAATTTCATGCAATTTTGTTTACAACGAGGGGGCGTGGCGGTTGCGATTCGCTGCAATCGCAGCGCCAAAATCTGATCAGTTTTGAAAGTTGCGAAAGGAACGTGCTCGATCAATTACATTCAGAGGTTGCTATGGTGATGAAGAAAACCAGAAAACGTCAGACATGTTCTGAAGAAAAATAGAGAATAAAACGAATCCGTAAATTTTTAACAAAATGAGCAAAAAGACGGGTAGAAAAGTGATCTGCTTGTCAAAAAATGATATTTTGCGTCTTCAGAACTGCGCCAGCAGCAGAGACGACAAAGAGGTAAATTTTTAATTTTGTTAGTGGTATTTTATTCTAAGAAATTTAAAATTTTATCGATCCATATAAAATTGTGCATTAATTTAACTAAAGATTCAGTATCAAGAAGACGACGAAAATTGTGTCGAAAATGAACAAGTTAAAGTTTTGGCATGGCCAGAAAACAAGCAAAGAAGTAAAATTAGCACACCTGAGAGTTTGGAAGCGCAAATCGAAGCTGAGCACTATTTAGCGAGAGCCAAACAAATGCAGCTAGAGCAGGAGGACGAGGTCAAAAGAGCAAATAAAATCATCCTCGCTACCAAGTGTCAAGCAATTCGCGACGCCCAAATGGCTGAAAAAGAGCAACTTATGTAAATAAAAATAATAATAATTATATTCAAGAGAAAAGAATAAAAATATTTTGTCAAAAAAGGAGAGATTTTCGAGCTGAGGAGGAAAGACTTGACAGGATGATGGAGGAAGATAGAAAAAAAGGGGTGCAGTCGTTGGCAAAGAAAAAAGAGCAAGTGAAAATCCGGCGCGGAAAATACGTGCAAAATTTGGTCGAGCAAATAACTGAAAACGACATGAAAAAGTTGAATGAACAAGAGACTTACTTGAAGGTAATTTTATTTTTATGACATAATATTTCACCTTTGATAATATTTTTTTTTTAAATTCTTATTTAAGGAAAGTAAAAAATTGCAAGAGCTGCATAAGCAGCTTGACATTCAAGAGTTGGAGAACAAAAAGAAAAGGGCCGAGGAGCAGTTGAAAATCAGGAAAGAGCTCAATAAAATGAATGAAACCATCAAATATAGAAACCAGCTGGAAAAGGCTGAAGAAAAATTAGCCAATTTGAGGGTTGATTTTGTTTTTAATTTCATTATTTTTATTTATTAAGTTGTTTGCAGATTCAGCAATACATGCAGGAAAAAGCTGCGCGCGAAGCGGAGCGGGACGAGAAAAAGCGAAAAGCGAAAATCGCGCAGGAGCTGGAAATCGCCAGGTTGAGAGCCTGTCAGGTTAGGCAACAAGAGGTACAGGCGAAAGCAGTCGCAGAGGCAGTTGAAAGGGAACAGGAAATCGTAATTTTATTGAAAAAATTAAATTTGAGAAAAAAAATTGGCTCTTTTTTAAAGGTCGCCAGAGCTTGGAGAGCTAAAGAATTGGAGACTGCAAAAAAGAGGATGCGAATGGAGCGAGATTTGAGAGAGGCCAGAGCGAAACAGGCTGAAGAGAAAAAGAGGCTGAAAGAGTTGGAAATGGAGAGAGAAACCAAAGAAGTAGAAATGTTGCTGAAAAAGATGGAAGAGGACAAACAGAAACAAAGTGACGAAAAAGTAAAACACGAAAAGGTAAAAATTTTCATTCTAAATATTCAAAACATAAATAAAATTATGTAAAAATTTCAGGAAATGCTGCGATATAGAAAATCTTTGCATGAACAAATGCTGGAAAAGAAAAAGAGGATGGAAACGTTGCGCGTGCAAAAGCAATTGGAAGCGCGAGAAGAAGTGGAAAGACAAATGGCCAAGAAATCAGATCTGAAAGGAATCCTTGAAATGAAGCTCAAAGATTTAAAGTATGACGATAAAAAATTATTTAGAACTTTTCAAATAGGCTGAATTTTCTAGGAGTCACAGGGTTCCTGAGAAATATGTAATTGGCGTGCAAAAGCAACTCGGTCTATAATAAAAAAATTCAAATTCAAGCAGTTGTGGAAAAGTGCGACTACCAAATTATAATAATTATGTTTGGTTTTGGAAACTTCCGTAGAGCTTTAAAATGACACAATGAGTTTGCAAAATAAAAAAAAAATGCTTTTGAGAAAATTTATGTGTAGTTATTAATTTCAAAATCACGATTGTCGGACACTTTATGAAAACTTTCTCAGCCTTGGATAACGACAAAGGACAAAAGGACACTCATTAATTAACAGTGAGTTGGTGGACTCTGGGAAAATTCACTTTATATAAGAATAGAATCCTTTTGCTAAAAATTATACTTTGCCAGGCAAAATGATAACATTTTCCTGTGACCTTCAGGGTTTTTAATGAAGGGTGTTTAAAGGGCAGACCCATTTCATTGAATTTAATTAAAATTTATGATAAGCGACAGAAGAGTGTAATGAAAATTGATGAAGGGTTATTTTGGTTGCAATATTTTTAGCAGATTGACTTTTCCCCCTCGTCGGCGTTTAATGTAATTGGCGGTGCGCGGGACCCCATCTAACTCGAGACGCCCTGAGACGGAGATTGGGTTTCTCTCCTCTCCGCCGCATTTCATTACGTTATTTATATATATTTTTTCGTTTTCTCACTGCTTCGACCCAAGCAGGTTCCACCACCACCACAGCCGACCCGCGAGCTCAACTCTTTTCGTTAAGCGAAAGCTGCGTTGCCTTGTCGTCTGCTACACGCACAGACCAGGGAGCTTATCATGAATTTTTACGGTTGCGAGAAAGTGGGTGTAACTCTCGATTTACGAATAAAATATTTTCGGTCGCGGTAAAAACTTTTTACGGTCGCGAAAAAACGTTTTTTCGGTCGCGCAAGCTTTTTTTTCGGTCGCTAGATGGCGTTGTTTGTTTTACCGGTTGTGATCACACTTTACGTGAGGCGAAAAACTTTTTCTCGCTCACGTTAAAATTTTACATTGATCAAATGGAAGTGATTTTTACGGCTGCTCTCAGCAGACGAAAATTTTGAACCGTAAAAAAGCTGATCATTGCCAATAGCTTTGAAGTTTGAAGTGAGGTTTCTATGAATAATTAAATAGGTAGATCATACATTGTGCTAATTTTATGTGATTGATTTATTAAAAAACAAATTGTGTCCCTCCAAATTAGTTAAAAATTAAGGGAAAGATATTTATAATGCAATTTAATGTGAAAAACCGTGACCTATGCTTCAAACCAGTCGCTATAATTTCTTTTAATCCACGGCCGGGCCGATGATATAAGGAGAATAGCATATTAAATTGATCCAAATTTAATATTTCATCAATTTACTAACCAAATTATTGGGCAAATTAAACAAAACTTTGATTTTTTCCGTTTCTATTCCACTTCCACGATCAAAACAAACCCACGCGACACACGCCCCCTAGCGCCACCGTAAAAACTGTTTTCACAACCGAAAAAGATTTACTCGCAAGTGAAAAAGTTTTCCCAAACGTAAATTTTTAGCTCCTCCCACCGAAAATATTTTTCCTGACCGAAAATTCTAGCTCCACCCAACGAAAAAAGTTTTATCGCAACCGAAAATTCTCGCGACCGTAAAAAAATCATGATAAGCTCCCAGACAAGCACACGAGAGGAAAAGTGAGTTGGTGTTTTTTTTTTTAATTCAGTCAGTTGACCGTCGGCACGCGGAGAAAACGCACCGGTGTCAAATAATTCGTTAACTCTGCTCGGTGGCCGCGGAATTTCAACGCCCGTTGCTCTCGATGCTTTTTCGACGGCGCCGCGGCAGCGATCCTTCGACAAGGGAAGCGGCGGACCTTTCGCATCTCATCACCAGCACCGATTCGGCCCTCTTGGGCTCCAGGGACAATGGTACGTTTATTGCAACAACACACACACACCTTTTTGTATGTGTGCAAAACGAGACGCAAACGATCTCGCGGTGGTGCTCGTTTTATGGAGTGCGTGGTTTGACGCGTTTATTTTTATGTGTCGCTGCCTTTTCCAGCTTTCAAAAGCCAGACGCTTTTGTATTATTGTTTCTACCGCGTTCGTTTACCAGATTTCTCGACCTTAACTTTACTACATCGCGATAAGCGAAAGCGCCGCGTTTGTTTACTCTTTATAAGCAATTAAAATACACTTTGCGTCAATTACTATTGATTTGTTATTTGATTATTGATATTCTATTTTTTCTAGACTCGCCAGACTATGTATATTATCTTTATTTGATGGTTTTTAAATATCTCTGTGTTGAATTGTTAAATTTTATTAGAGTTATTAATTTTTAACTTTTTAAATTTAATTTACCTTCTATGACTGTTTTTCTAAATAATTTAAATTTTAAAGAAAATAAAAATTTGATCAAAATTATTTTGTCTATGAAATTCAGTATAATTTTTTTTTTAATCTTACGGCTAATTTGTTCAGATAAAAAAAAAGTAATTAGATTTTTTTTGTCAGGAGTTCTTTAACTTAATATTAATTGTAAAGTTTACTATGGATATCTATTTTACTGAAAACCTAAACTATAAAAATAAAATAATCAGTTTGTCGCTTTTCTCTCCTTTTTTTATTTGACAATTAAACAAATAAACGTTTTCTTTTAGATTTTTTCCCCTGTGTAATTTAAACAATATTTTAATTGACTTTATCTTTTGGTTAAGTAAGTTGCTAAATTTTGCAAAATTATTGCAGTATCGTGCTAATTCAACGATCAATTAAGCATGAATCAATATTTTTCATTGTATTTGAATGGAGAATGTATAATAAATATTGACTTTCTAAATTTAAATTAGTTTTAAATAATTTAATAATTATGCTTTTTTTCATAAAACGCGGCAAGTTCATGATCTTGAATTATAATTCCATAAAAATAATTTATTATGCGTTTTTACTTTTTTTAAATAATTACTTGCCGCTGAATGCATGGTAAAAAAAAACACAATTTTTCAGAGCACTTTTTTTTTACATAATTTGTAACTTTTACTTCATTTTATCAAAAATAAACCCACATACACCATAATTAGACAAAAAATTCTGCGTGATAATTTCCCGTCCGCCCTTTGCTGATGCTAATGAGCACCCTGGGGACGAACAATAATGACCTCGTCTCTCTTAACTTTCGCGCATTTTTTTTCCGAAAAGCGAAATGGTCACGTTTCCACGCGCGCTCTCGGCGGGCCGGCGAACTCGCCCCTCGCGTGATCGCCGCAAGGGTGGTTTTGTGCGGCGCTCGGTGGTGCGGTGTGTTATTTTGGTGCGCATGACAAGGGGCATTTTTACGTCACGTTTCACTCGCTGGTCGATCTAGCAGCAGGCCCGGCAATGAGGGTTGGAGAGTCAGAGAGGCATGGGCGTTCTCAAGCACAGGGACATGCAGTCCTCGTCCCTGAGCAAGTCCTCGGCCCAGGGTCCGTCCTTCCACCCTGAAACTTCCCCCGGCTGACCCTTTTTAATTTTTGCCCTTGTTTTTTTCCAGCCGCGTTCCAGCAGGTGCGCGAAAGTCTGAACGATCTCGACGAGATCGCCGAGGCCAAGGACACTGACCTCATCTTCCTGAGGGGGTTGATGGACAGTCCGGTTGTCTGCACGCTTGTCAAGGTGAGCAGACTATCTTTGTGTGTTTTGGCGCCGCCACACCATGGCAACGACACCGCGTGCGCTTGATTAATTTGTATGCGTTCCCCGTTTTATTCTCTCTGTATGGAAATTTGCGTCGGCTGGATCGACAAAGCCGTGGGTAAAAATTGTGCCGGCTTGTGCGGAATGTTTGTTTGTCAAGGCGGAGGATGAGACGAAAGAAGGACACGCGCGGATGTGACAAATGATAATCAGGAAGGAGCAAATGTTTGGATTTTAAATTTTAAAGAGCAAACTGCGACGCTGGCCTCATTATAAACAAAACTCCCTAGAGTCTCTAGAGAATACATTAATATTTCAACTTAAACTACGCGTAGTTCCACAAAAATTAAATTTAATAGTTTTTGCTAATTTGTTGTTTCCCATAAAATTTTAGCGTTTTGTTTAAAATCCAATAATTTGCTTAGAATCTGTAATTCTGAACAGCTTGTTATCGTCAAATTTTTGTTATGGCATAAAATTCTGATCACAAAGTTGTAATTCCTCATGCATAGTTTCAGTAAAAAGCGTTCATAAAATATTAACAAATATCCACAAATTATATTCATGGCTTCCATTTTTTCTATTTTCTCTAGCTTTTTATTAATTTATTTTAAATAATTAAATTAAAGTATGTAAAATATTCAGCCTTCGGACACAATTTTTATCTATTCTCCATTCCATAAAAATCTTTATTGAAAATAGAAAAATTAAAGGCATGCTAAAAAAAATGTAAATAATCCAGATCTCCTTATTGTTTTTGCCATTTTTTTTTCTATCGAACATATTCCTTTTTTTTTATTAATTTTTAATAAATCATCGTTTTCAAAATAAATTGAAATCTCTTTATAAAGAACCCTTTTCTTGTTGAAGATAAACTGAAAGTGAAGAGGAAGTTTTCATTTTTTAAATTGCTAGACGGCTTAAAATTTTTGGCTTAGGTTGCTCAATTAAGGAAGTTCAATGTCGGGTCAAATATTTTCATTGATCTTGCAACTTGCAAGCTGAGCATAATATTATTCAGCTTGTTTTGCTGATGATGCTGCGCGCCTCACCACGGGCAGTACTAAATTAGTAGCAATGAAGCTCTTACGAGCGCATGACATCATTTAATTTATCACTTTTTGGATCGTATTAAATTTAAAGCTCCTGTTTAAATTTAATATCAAGATATCAGCAGTATTACAGTTTAGATTAAATATCATAGCAGGAAGTTATATTATTTACGAGCATTTCATAATTAAATTTAATACAATGAGGCCTATTATTAAGGTAGTTTAATGGAAACGGCACCTGTTTCGCAACAGCAGGGAACTGCTTAGCGTTTTCTCGTTAGCGCCGTGCGAAATTTTGAGTCCTTGTGGTAACAAATAATGTGAAACAAAATCCCCCTCGGAACACAATGCCAGGTTCGGGCAACAGGTCGCTCTCAATCCTTTCTTCTCACCTCCCTCCACTTGCCGACCCTGGTGACGTCACTCCGCAGGTGACGTCGACTTTCAGTTATTAGCGCAGGGAGTGGCTCTCGGCGCTTGGTCTGATAGAGGCGTCTGCTCTCTCATTTTTATTTTGCTGCCGACGCTTCATTATAGATATTTGTTGTTGTTGCTCAGACGCAGGACAAACTCGAGTCGCCCATCGAAGCCCCGAAGCCCGTGCTGCCCAACAGCTCGCGTCTCATCCACGACCTGACGCGCCGCTGCGACCCTAGCCAAGAGGCGCTCGAACTCCGCAGGATCATCTCCAAGCCGCACTTCCAGGCGTTGATCGAGACGCACGACGAGGTCGCCAACCTCAAGGATCTGCCCAGGTCGAATTCCTCCGCGTCAGAGTCTCCTTCCGAGGACGCCATGATCGAGGAGTCCATTCCCTTGGACGCCGTCCGCATGGTCGGACTCCGAAAAAGCGCCAACGAGCCTTTGGTAAGTTTCTCTTTCAGGAATGTTTATGTTTTCTTAATTTTTTATTCTATTCAAATTTTAATTTAATAATAATATTAAATATATAGAAAATCTGCTTTTTGTTTGCATTTTTTGTTATTATAAAAAAAAATTATTTGATATGTATTTAGAAATACACAGCAGTTGCATCAAGGTGTCGCTACAGGTGTATAGCGGTTTTGAAGCACCTGTTATGTTTCATTATTTAATTAACACTTTTTAAAAACTTTGCTTCTATTTTCTCTAAAACATTAATTATTATATAATATTTTATTTTATATTGCACAAGACTTTTTTAAAGTGTGGCCTTAAATTTGTTTTAATAACAATTATTTTTATTTAATAATATAATTTAATTCATTCTATTTCTTTCTGGTAATTGCAGAATAGGCATCTGGATTATTTCAGGCCAATTTTTCTAACCCCTTTTTGCACTTTTGCTGTTTTTTCTTTAAGAGAAGCTATCCAGGCGCCAGTTGCTGACATTAGAAAGAAAGAAATCTAAATATACAGCGGCTGGTGAGAAAGATGTGGCCATTTGGTCTGGTAGAGGCTCTTTATATATTGCGCTTTGCGTTGATAAAATTCAGTGCTTGGTGCACCAATAAGCCATGAGTGTCTATACACATTCAAAGCGTCGGAATAGGACGACTAGAAATTTCTTTGCTGTTAAGTTTTCGTCACTCTCTTTAAAACCCTTGAAATTATTGTAACCAAGGACCCTTATGGACTTTGAAAGCATCTGTTAACGCCGTTAATAAAGTAGATGAGTTGCGAATGCGAAGGGTCTGAAAATAGATGGATGACTGATGAAGATTGATTGGTTATCTATGAATAGAATTTATTATTTTAAATGGAAACTAAAAATATTAATGCTATCAAGGAAGAGGAAATAATTAAAAAAAAGAAAAGTAAGCAAATAAGTCATTTTATTATTTAAATAAAATTATCGAATACATTTAAGTGTTTAAAAAAAAATTAAAATTTTAAGAGACCAGAAATTAATTATTTTAAAATAAAAAATTAAAACATAAATAATTTTATTTATTTCAATTTTATATCTAATAATGATTAAATTTATTTTACATTTGCTAAGATTAATATCAACATTTGTATATTAAAATGAAGTTTATTTCTTTGTTTGCCTCAGGGTCTGACGATCCAAACAGATGCCAACGGCAATCTAGTGATCGCTCGCATCCTAGCTGGAGGGATGATCGATCGGCAGGGTCTGTTGCACGCCGGTGACATCATCAGGGAGGTGAACGGCGTTGGAGTTCGCTCCCCCGAGGAATTGCAAGCAGAGATCGCAAGGGCGCGCGAGTCAGTGACCCTGAAGGTAGTGCCCAGCGTGGACCCCGAGGTGTCAGCGAAAGGCCAGGTAAAGAAGGCGCCGTCCGCGTCGCTCACCCTTCACGATGGCACCACCACCCTGGTGAGTTCACCCTCAGAGCCAAGTTTCTTTTCCTGGCAACAGCAGTGGCTATGGTGGCTTCTCTTCTACTTGACCTTTTTGAAAGTTTTAGGCAGAGAGAGTGGTGTGCACTTGCACAAACACGTTTTACAACACGTTTTTCTAAAAATGGTCCTTAAAATATCCTGAAATTTCCCGTTTGAAACTAATTCCTTATTTTGTGGCTTTCTCGTTTAAATTAAAATTTAAGGATTTTAAATCATCCTCATAATAATATCATGGAAATCATACTACATTTGTTTCCTAATTAACCACACGCACTTTCGTGATCAACGTAGACCATCCTCATTATCTGATAACATATATTGCACAATCAAGTGAGTAAAATTTGCAAGAAAAGAGACTCTTCTCTGACACATAGAACTTTGGCCTCTTGAGCTGTTTCATAAAATTGCATGGGTGGTGGCTGCTTTTTCGCTTGAGGTAAAAAACCAGAGCAAGTCTTGCGAAAGGCTTTCTGCTCTTCATTTTTAACATTCTCCTTTGTATTCAAGTGTTACATGAGGGCCCTCTTCGACTACGACCCCAAAGAAGACACCCTGTTGCCTTGCTCTGATATTGGCCTTGAATTTCAACACGGCGACATACTCCAGGTGAGAATCACTCTTTGCCTCTTTTGCTTTCAAGCTGAATTTTTAAATTTGTGCAGATTTTGAACCAAAATGACCCCAACTGGTGGCAGGCGAAAAAGGTCGGCAGCAGCGGACACGCAGGTCTGATCCCCTCTCAGGAACTGGAAGAGCGGCGCAAAGCTTTTGTCGACCCCGACAAGGACTATTGTCACACGATAGGCATTTGCGGAACCAGAGTAAGTGAAAAGAAGTACTTCTCATTTTTCCACGTTATTCTAATTTCAAGAAAGTTGCATGCATTGTATGTTTTCTTTGCAAAAACTGTATATCCCTCAGATCATAAAAGTTTTACCCTCTGCAAACACTGCACTTTTTTTACTGTTCCTGCGATGTCTATTTAAACGTCTTTGTTATTCTAAAGATCTCTAAGAAGAAGAAGACTTTGATGTACCAGTCAAAGCAAAACGCCGACTTTGACAAGGCGGAGCTGTCCATGTACGAGGAAGTGACACGAATGCCTCCCTTTCGTAGGAAAACTCTTGCGCTGGTCGGCTGTCACGGGGTTGGTAGGCGCACCCTCAAAAATAGACTTATCAACTCTGACCCAGAAAAATTTGCTGCCGTCATACCTTGTAAGTATGCAAGTTAAATTGGAAAATAATGTTACCAAAAATTAAGTAATATGAGCCAATTTAATTAAAAATTTGCTTTACGACTACTCTTTACCCAAGTTCTACTCAAGAAAATTTAACTTCTTCCGTTGTTTGGAATGCCAAGTAATCCAGTTTGCTGTTGACATAAACAGGCCAGATTAATAGTGGTCGAGTACCCATTGAATGGCTGGTGAGAAAATCTTTGTTGGCAAAGAAGCCATTCTTGCGCCATGTAAAAGGCAGGCCTTCTAAAAATACCTATTATTGTTAGCCGGATTGTTTTGCAAGCGAGAATGAAGGAACTGAAAACAAACACTGAGGCTAACAGCCTAGCTTGTGCATTGGCTCACTGGCTTTACCTTGTAATTCCAGTATTTGGATCTTTTTTATCTCAATCAAAACTTTCAGACACGTCAAGGCCTCAGAGAGACGAGCTTGAGGAAAACGGCAAGAGCTATTGGTTCCAGGACAGAGCGTCCTTTGAAAAGGAGGTCAGGGAGCACCAATTCTTGGAGTACGGAGAGCACAACGGCCACCTGTATGGCACCAAACTGGAGTCGATTCGATCGGTTATCCGCTCTGGCAAGATGTGTGTTCTTGACTGCAGCCCAGCAGCTTTAAAAATTTTGCACAACTCACAAGAGTTCATGCCTTATGTAGTATTCATCGCAAGCCCTGGCATGGAGGAGCTCAGAAACATCCATGAATATGGTGCTAATCCTTACGCAAGCAGAAATTTGGCCGTGAGTATTTTCATTTTAAAAACCATTTTGGCTCTAAAAACTATGATTTGACAGTTTGAGCGCGCCAGCTCTATTCGGTACAGCTCGCGGAGAGCAAGGACCTTGGAATCTTTGGCATCCCTTTATGAGGTAAAATTTCATCAGAGTTTTACAATAAGTTAAAAATGTCAATAATTATCAATTCTTCAGGAGGAAGATTTGAAGAGAACTTTGGAGGAGAGCTCGTTCTTACAGCGAAATTACGAGAAGTACATTGACCAAGTAATCATCAACGAAGATTTTGACGTAACCTTCCGAAAGGTTGCTGAACTCTTGGACAACATGACCACTGAGCATCAGTGGGTGCCCGTTTCCTGGGTCTATTAATCAAATACTGCCAAAGGTTATTACTTTGTCCCCCCAATAATGATATTACATCTCCTGCCACACAAAGCGTGCGACACATACTCCCATGAAATCTAAAATGGAATGGCTTCTAAAATGAATTGAAAAGCTTTATATTTAATAAGAATCTCAAGGGAAATATTCATAGAATCTGATAAAGTGCTGGGTCATGCATATCTTTTTTGAAAATCCTTGTAAATTTGCGATTTTGTGAAAATTGAATGTAACATTCCACTCAGAACCCTGCTATTCCATGGGATATGTAGCATACCCAACCAGTATACTATCAACCAAAACAATCATTCAATTTTTATGCTCATTGTATTATTCTGGCACCGATTCAAAATAATTATATCTGAAGTTTGTCATTACCTCTTCGATTGAATATTGAGTACTGAAAATTAATATTAAAAAAGCATCTTGGTGCTGATGTGGCGTGGATTATGACTTTTCGGAATGTTTGAAAGTACCACGCAGAAAGATGAAAGAATGAAAACGAAAGAGCTTGGCATGTCTGTGTTAAATTTCTCTCACTGACTTCGACATTTGATGAAAAATAAAATCATTCCTATATCATATATTTCTCATTACTTAACGAATTGAAACTAATCATTCACAATAAGCGTGAAGGAAAAGCCGTCCAAGTGTAAGCATTGATATTTTAAATGAAGATTAATAATTTTGCTGAATTTTATTTGTGTAAGACTTTCGAAATATTGTTTTAAGAAATAATTTTTAAATTTAAAGCTAGTGCTATTTGAGCGCAAGTGTTGAAATTTTAAGTTTGTAAAGCGTCTGAATAAGTGCAAAAAGCACTGAGGTTGTTTGTCTATTTAGTTGGATTGAAATTTGAATTAAACCATTTATGTTGCATTATTAAAAAAATTGTGTTATTTTAAATCACCTGAGCTTTGTTTAAAGATAACAATCAGTCTGAAGAGAGCAGGCTGCCATCCTTAAGGGCCTTTTCCTTGGGCTCCAATCCCAAAATGATCAATGCAGCCAGGGCTGCTCCTTGTTCTGCGAAGCGCTTGTTCTTCTCCCTGTAATATTTGTTCATTAAAAATTCTGCTGAAGTAATATCCACAGTAAGCCTTTTACCAATAAGATGAGGAATATTTAACATTATCAACCTCTATCACAGAACAAAAAAGTTTCTCCACCTGAGTGGTGGTGTAAACAGGTTGCTTAAAATTGTTCTGTCGAGACCACATTAAGAGGCGAGTTTTGGGCAATTCTGCATCCCTGTTAACATAAATTCCTCGTTGGAAAACAACGGGCAAAGCAGTGACCTATAAAATTTCAAATAATCAATTAAACTTATGCATATAGTTTTAAAATATATTTTCTCCTTACATCACTACTGACAACTTCAATGTGCTCATGCTTTCTCCTCTTGGCCATTCTCTCGCCTTCGATGGTCTCAGGTTTTTCCTCACCGACACCATTACATGCATTTCGACGCTCCTCTTGCATTTTGCTGCAGAAATCGCCTAAACCCCACAGAGAGCTGCAATTCATTTAATTAATTATGTTTGCTTTTCCCTTGAATGATTTACACACCAAATGCCCTGGACACTCTGAGCAGCTAAAAAAAGCTTCCCTCTCGGAGATTCTTGCAGTTCCCGTAACATTGACTGCACACAGTACTTGGTGTTTCCCACGCTGCTGTCATATTGGACGGCTAGTTTGAGGTACTCGACGATGACCTCGTCCAAAGGCAGTGCACCTTCCTTTCGGAATATAGACACATTCCAGAGTGCCACCCTGGCCAACATTACGCTGTTGACACCGCAAGCGACACGAAATTTGTCAATGTCTTCGTGTGTTTCAATTTCTTTTGATCCACCACTGGCAGGAAAAAATAATAAATTCTGAAAAATTAGTTGAATATTACAGAAAATACTTTGCGATAACAGGTACGTCAAGTTCTTTGGCCAGAGCTGCAATTGCTTCATTATTGTTAGCATGTCTTGGCCTTTGCTCCTTTGTGCGACCGTGAACTCCGATGGCTGCAACTCCGCAAGCCTGAAGCATTTTACAAAATGCCAATGTGTCCTCAGGTTTAGGGAGAAGCCTGATTTTAGCCGTGATGGGTAACGTGCACCCTTTTACAAGAGTGGTGATGATGTTCTTGACCTTCTCTGGTTGTGTCAACAGGGCTGCTCCCATTCCGCCTTTGAGGGAAAATTCCTTTGGACAGCCCATGTTTATATCGATTGCGGCAACGTCATTTTCTCTGTTAACAGATTCAAAATTTAAATATTAGGGTTTTCTTCTATCCAAAGAATAATGTTACAATTTCTTGGCCACTTGCAGGGCTCTGTCTGCATTGCAAGTTCCTAGCTGGAGAACCACCCTGCTTTTTTCACTGTCACACGTCCTGAAGACTACAGATCCGTCAGATTCGTCAATAAAGTCAACAGTTCCAAGTAAAGCTATTAAAATTTGAGAAAAGTTATTGGTACGACAAAAACTAAAGTGATAAAAAAAATATATGTATTGTACCATTTTCTCTTCGAACGGAACGCAGTAATTTCCAGTCAATCAATTCTTCGCAATAAACGAGATCCGCACCATACCGAAGGGCTAAAAGTCTTAGCGGCAAAGTGCCTGCCTTGACCATAGGCGCCAAAATATTTTTGTTCCTGTAATCAATTCGCGGTTTTGACATTTTTTTACCTAAATTATTTATATACTGCACTCCTCGACAAGGTAAATAAACCAGCATGGCATGGACCAAAAAGTGGGCGTGCAGCGGTTTTTAGAATTTGTTTGTCGCTGAAAATTGATGGCGCTCTGGCGCTGCAGTCGTCATAAACACGAATCGGTGATTTGGGTTCGGCTTTTACACGACACGTGTTTTAAAAGCTGGAAAAGTGACCAAATATTTACGCCTAACCTTATTAAACTAGGCCAATTTTTATTCAAATTGAGAAATGAGTTCCAAGATGAGTGGCTTACGGGGTGCAAGACGAGGAGTGGTGCCGGACGACTGCCCGATCAATGTCGTGCAGATCAGCGGCTTGGTACGCAATTATTTTCCAATATTTTCCATCTAATTGTTAAAAATACATTAAATTTTCCCTAATGCGACTCGTAAAATTATAGCCTATGATGAAAATGATCAAACACTGCCACGAGGAAGGGTCTGGCGCCGTCGATGTGGCTCAGGGCGCCCTTCTTGGGCTGGTCGTCGACAAGCGTTTGGAGATCACAAATTGCTTTCCTTTCCCTAAGCAAGATGACGCAGCCGATGAAGGTGCTTGACTTATTTCACAATGTTTATTAAATTCAGGATTATGATTTTAATTTTTCTATTAATATTCAGGTCTAGATGACCAGTATCAGCTGGCAATGATGAGAAAGTTGAGGAGAGTGAATGTCGACCACTTGCACGTTGGATGGTACCAGAGTGCTGATGTTGGCAATTTCATCAGCCTTCCCTTGCTGGAGTCTCAGTATCATTATCAGAATTCCATCGATGAGTCTGTGGTCTTAATTTATGGTAAAACTAGCTCTGCATGAAGGGAAATATTTATGAAATGTAATTCAACTTCAGACACACAAAAGACTGCCCGAGGTTTCCTTTCCGTGAAGGCCTACCGACTCACCCCTCAAGCCATAGCCATGTACAAGGAAGAAGGCTTCACTCCTGACGCCCTAAGGAATTTGAAAGTTGGCTACGAATCCTTGTTTATCGAGGTGCCTGTCATCATGAAGAACTCGACGTTGTCCAACATTCTTCTTAACCAACTGTCCGATATGGTGCCTGAGGAGGATGGACTTGGTTTCCTCGATCTTGGAACCTCGTAAGTTTATATTATTATATGGTTGTTGCAAAATTAAGTTATGAATTTTTAGTTCTGTTTTGGAGAGCCACATGAGGAGTATGATGGAGCGAGTGGATGAATTGAACCAGGAAGCCATCAAGTTCAACCGATACCAGCAGCAGGTGCTCCGCCAGCAGCAAGACAAATATAGATATATGCAGAAAAGGGTAATTTTTTATCAGTTCCTGATGTAATACTTAAATTGTTTGTATTTTGATTCAGGCGCAAGAAAATGCAGCCAGGCAAGCTAAGGATGAGCCTCCTCTGCCGGACGAGGACATCAACAAGCTCTTCCGTCCGATTCCAACTCCGCACAGGCTGAACCCTATGATTGTTGCTGGACAGGTCAACGCCTACAGCTCCCATGTGGCCCAGTTCTGTTCTCAAGCTATGGCTAAGTTGTTTGTCACACAGTCTCTGCAGAAGGCTAAGGAAGTCACTGGAACCTCCAAATCTGCACAGTAAAGGTATAATAGCAACTCAAAATTGAAATTTGTATTGCTTTAAATATAATTCGGTATTAATAATGAAATTTTGATTTGTAATTGTATGTTATTGACCAGAAGCAAATGAATTTAGAAGCATCAGTTTTTTTTACAAAACGGTGTGTAGTTTATTCCAATCGTGATTATAATAATACATCAACTTTTCACACAAGGTCCCAATGCAAGTTTTGCAATTCACAAAACGTAAAACAAGTTAATTACAATTTTTTTCACAGGCTCATTCAACTAGCATTTTTCAATCAATTCACAATTTTCAATCCAATCAACAAGGGGTAATTTTAAATTGCACATTTTCGGCCTTCCTGCTATCAACTTCTATGTCGATACAGAACTTAATATATAGACACATGTATATAGTTTAACCACAATTCTAAAAATAAGCACAAAAACCAACATCATTCAACGTAGATAAAACTTAAAAGTGAGATTAGTTACAAGTAAATGCAAACAGAGCAATTCAAGCTGGGGTGTAAATTGCCAGGAATAAATTCAGCATCAAATTAACAAAAGATGACTAGTAAAAAATGATAGTTGCTAGAAGTTTTAATTTTTGAATCCTGAGTTTGCATACTGGCAACAACAAATTCTAAAAAAAGAACACAGCCTGTACAGTTCAAACATAATTTTTGTAAAGTCCTGATTGTTAAATATTGTAAAATATAAGCACACTAATCAGTTCAAAATGGAATGCAAACTTTTTGAAATGATATTTCCGACTAGAGGATGATAAGAAAGAAAACTTTGAAGAATCACTAGCTAAACATTAGCTATGGCACGAATATTTTCACGGGGCTTCTGACTAGATAGTTCAGCCTCCTATAAATAACTCATTAATTAGACACAATTTATCAATTTTGCATTTGCTCCTCCTCTTATCAGTTCATTTTCTCAGAATTTTCTATTCGAAACACTGATTTCCATCTGCGAGGAAGATCAATTTTGAGCTTTCAATTTTGTATCAATTTTTCAATTTCTCGCTTTACTTTCCGAAAAATCAGTATTTCTTTTTTTACTTAAGTCTTGTAGTTTCTGCCCAGTCTAGGATTGGTGCAGAGGGTGTTCATCAAATTTCCATTGATTTTGACTACGACTCGTGTTTTAACCTCTGTAACAAGAGGGAGAGCCGTGCCAACTTGAGATCAGTTTGAAAGCTTATTACGAAAAGTTGGACCAAAAAACACAAACGAAATTATCTCTCATTGACGAGAGTGCGAGTGCCTAATCTTTGAGTTCAGCAGCGATTGGAGGGTGTGAGTCGGGGGCTGGACTCGTGGTGCCACTTGCGGGAGAAGGACTCAGTCATTTTATGGTGCACTGACATGTTCAGCGTCTCGGCCAGATACCCTTTCAGAGAGGAGGGCAGCGTCAGCTGCTCGAGGGGTTCGCCGAATGCAGCTGCCGTGTTATTTATCGCCTTATCGTCCTGCTCGGGAAACTCTGGCGTGCAGTTTATCGAGTCCAGGATCTTTGTCACAATCACAGCTCTGCACCGATCCTATTAACAAAATTCCAAAATTAATCAGTAGCGATATAATTGCTGTTTTTAATTTTTTTGCTATTTAATACCTGCAAACTAACAAAATCTCTCTTCATTATCGAGAGCGTCATTTCGGTCTTGGCCGCAGTGGAGCACACGATGGGGAACAGGGGCTCTGCCACCTTGTCGAGCCCCTGAAACGCCACCCCCAAGTACCGTCCGTCCTTGTAGTAGCTCAGGGTGCCCGCGACGCCATCAAACAAAATTCCCACGGTTGTCGGTTCGTTTTCTCTGAACGGCTTTGTGTACGGGGACCATCGACCTCCGTGCCACAAGAGGCCTTTGTGGCTCAACCCCCACCCTTGCTCGTCCTCCCCTGCAATTAATTACATCAAAATATAAAATACATTAACTTCATTATTATTTTTTAGCAAAATAAAAAAGTAGAAAAAATTAAATCCAATTTTAATGAAATCTTTTTATTTTGTCTTGATGGTTTAATTTTGTTTTTTTACTTACCAAGAAGGTTGATGAATCGGTCGGCGTGCAATCTGGCTCTGGCCGTGCCAATTCCAACCATCATGCTAGTGCCGAAAATCCTGTGTGAAAGCCGAACCTCCCAATAGTAGCGCCCGTTGTTAAGAACTCGACAGCCGCGCACCCCCGCCGTTCCGCTGCTCCAGTTGGGGTGGAACAGCACCACTCGGTTGCCTGGCCCGTGGAGCCGGATCTTCAAAAAATATAATTAAATCAATCTAGTTGATTAGAATTTGAGTAAATCACCTCGTGGCTAGCGTCTTGCTTGTTCCACGTCCAGTGATCTTCGCAACCGTGACTCATAGGAGCCTGTGATGGGTCCAGCAAAGGGCCCACCATCTCCTCCATCGTCTCCTTACTGACCGCTCTGCCCGACAAGCATCACATCTGCAACACAGAGTGATCGTCTTAAATTAATAAAAATCCTCCACGGCTGCAGAGAAAATAATTATAAAGATTGATTTTTTTTATCCGATGCAAAACTTTCCAAGTACAAAGTGATGACAAGACAGGTGCATCTTTCTTTATTTATAAAACATTTAAAAACCTCCCCTGCTCGTCAACACAACCACCCTGGCCCTGGAAAAAATCAGTGGTTTTTGCTAACTTGGTAATTGTAGCTAAATAATGAAAAGTAGAAAAAATTGAGGCTTACCGTCGGCGGTCGCGGTGTCTATCAGGTTGGAAGAGAGACGAGAGTGACTCAATATTTAAAGGGGGAGACTAGCGACCCTTGCCGAGAAGTGACTCACCCCCTTGCTACAGCTGAACAAGTGAACATGAACGCCCCACCCCGAGCGAGTATTGATTTTCTGGCACGCATAATATGCATGAGGCCTATGCTCTCCCGTCCGGCTGCTGCGCTCGACGACTACCCCCTTCGGCTAGCTATAGTAGTGCTGATGAGCACGTTCTTCGAGCAACGCTGTCTCCTACGATCGATAATGTTATGTTATCGCGAATGAAAATACTTTGTATACAAAAAAAAAATTACATATCATGAATATTTCAAACGTTTTCATATTTTAAATATTATAACAAAATAATTCAAATCTTTTTATTCTATTACTTTTTTAGATTTTCTTTCAAAAAAAAAAAAAATAGGAAGAATATTGATTCGGTCAAATATCGTTTGAATCAATTCGGATTTGTAATTTGCAGGGAATTAAATTGATGAAATTCTGCTTTAATTTTAATATTATTATTTTTAAATGCGTTGCTTTAATTCATTTTTTGTTCATAATTATAAAAAATAACTATTAACCCGTCATTTAGATCCTTACAAAAATTTCATAAATAAAAAAGTAGCTAAAGTTTTTCCCGTTTTTCCTATCAAAAAGAATTCACAACTTTTTTTAGCTTCATTAATCATTTATTTATTTACTAAACCTCAATCATCTATTATTGGCTATTTGTAGTGTAATAAACAGGTCATTTTTATCTGTAAAAAAGTTATTTAAAAAAAATTGTGTTAATATGTTAGAGAATATAAGAGATAGAGAGTTGAAAACGCAAAAATTCCTAGCATAATCATGGTTGCAATTAAACGTGGGTTTCGCGCCACTATTTGAAAGGTAAAGCGAATCCTTTTATGAGAAGCTCTTTGACTTGCTCCAAGGAGTTTTGCCCATTTTGCTCTCATTTCACCTGAGCTCCACCACTTCTCGCCGCTGCTCAACTCCGACCAGCAGGAAAATTTCGCAGCTTGATTTTTGCATAGGTTAAAAATGGCCGAACCGGACCTCTACAACATTCTAGGAGTCAAACGAAATGCCGCCGATCCAGAAATCAAGAAGGTGAGCACGAATTCCCGACATTCGGACCTGCACCGAACTTTTCGAGTTCAAATTCTGCTCGTCCTCCGATCTTTGGCACCGCGTGTTGTGATGGCAAACGGAGCGTGCCAATGGAGTTTGTACCTCCACGATGAAGCAAGAAAGTCTAATTAATACGCGTCTTGGTAATTTAGGCCGAAACAATCCGGCTGAATCTATCGGTCACCGGCCGAATTCACTTCTGACATTTTTCTAACTTCGCAACTCTCTTATGTACATAATTGGCACTTTGTGTCTTTTCTCTTTTCCGTTACCTTAGGTAGATGTGTGTCACCTTGTTAACCTTGCTTGCTTGCAATTCTTTCAGGCGTATCGGAAGCTTGCGATGGAATTCCATCCGGACAAGAACCCCGAAGCAGGCGACCGCTTCAAAGAAATTTCGTACGCCTACGAAATCCTGTCGGACCCAAGGAAGCGTGAAGTTTATGACAGACACGGCCTTAAGGGTATCCAAGAAGGGGCCCACGAACACGGGGGCATGGGGGCCGATGACATTTTTTCGCACATCTTTGGAGGAGGAGGTCTCTTCGGCATGCCAGGAATGGGCGGCATGCGAGGCCGTCGCAGGGCCAGAGGCGAGGATACCGTTCACCCCCTGAAGTAGACGTTTCTAAAAAATGAATTCAAATTTTATTTTAACATATTTTGATGGTTTCAGAGTGTCCTTAGAGGATCTTTACAAAGGAAAAACTTCCAAACTGCAGATAAGCAAGAGTGTCATTTGCAAGGCCTGTGATGGGTGAGTAAGGTTTTTTTATCAGGAAAATGACTATGCATAAATATGCCAACTTGTAGAAAGTCTCACCATCATGTAATATACAATAATGCTAGGATAACTATTATAGTTTGGTTGGTATCCATGATTAATGAAAATTGTTCACTGTTGGTTAATATTACAGATTTTAATTAAATTTATAAGTGTTCGCAATTAATAACTAAAATTTTGTGCAAAGATTAAGACTAAAATCAATTTGCCCTGCATTATTTCTAAATTTCAAAGAAAACGGCTCTTAAAATTAATTTCTTGGAAACTGTGATTTTCCCTTATCTTTTTATCTATTTTCTTTTGAATTCAAGATAAAATTTAATTGCAGGAGGGGAGGAAGTGGTGGGGCGCAAACGTGCAGGGGATGCCGTGGATGTGGGCGAAAGGTGACCTTCCGGCAGCTGGGGCCAGGCATGACCCAGCAGATGCAGAGCATATGTACTGATTGCGGTGGTGAAGGAGAAACCATTGCTGAAAAGGATAGGTGTCAGACCTGCCGTGGCAAGAAGGTCATCAACGAGTCCAAGGTATAAAGATAATTTTTTTTTTTAACTTCTGAAATTTACTTGCAAGTTTTGCATTTAACAATTAAATGTTTTTATCCAAGCATAAAGATCCGAGGAAGAAAATTATTATTATTGTTTTTCCTTTCTCAGGTTATTGAGGCCCACGTGGACAAGGGTATGCGCGATGGCCAGAAGATCTACCTGCGCGGGGAGGGTGACCAGCAGCCTGGTGTCGAGCCTGGAGATGTGATCATTGTGCTGCAGATGAAGCCGCACGAGAAATTCCAGCGGACAAACGACGACCTTTTCATGACTCACACAATCACCATCACCGAAGCCCTCTGCGGCTTCATTCTCGTCGTCAAGCATCTTGATGGCAGGGAATTGGTTGTCAGACAACCTGCCGGAGAAGTTGTCAAGCCAGGTGAATTATCCCTCTTAAAGCTTCAAAAACTTGACTAACCTTTTCAACTCTCAGGTGACTTTAAGGGAATTAAGGGTGAAGGAATGCCTCAGTACAGAAACCCGTTTGAAAAAGGAGTCCTCTTCATTAAGTTTGACGTCACATTCCCCAGTAATAATTTTGCTGACGAAGCTAAGCTGAAGGTTGGATTTGTCCGCTTTGGTTAAAAATGTGTTATAAAAAAAATTCGCTCCATTTACAGATGCTTGAAACGTTGTTACCCAACAGACCACCAGAGCCAATTCCCTCTGGGGACGCTGAAGAAGTGGTGCTAACTGACTACGACCCATATGAACGAAGTGAGCGTGGTGGCCGCTCTGAAGCCTATGAAGATGATGACGAAGACGGCCACTCTGGTCCAGGGGGCATACAGTGCGCGCAGCAGTAGCCCTCCAACTTTCTGCCCCCTACTTTATAATTAATTCAAGGACACTTAAACACAATGCTATGTTGTGTGGCTCTCAAGTTATTATAATTACCCAGGCCAGATGTTCATGATTTTTAATTTATTAGTTACTCATGGCCCGTGATTTTGAAATTATTATTTAGTCCTTGTCGGAAATAAAAACCATCACAAGATCGGTTGTGGAAATGAAGAGATCGGGCTTTTCCTCATAGATCGGTTGTTGTGTATTTCCGCATGTGATTCTATCAAGCAGATTTAGGCATTCAGATGTGTGAGAATTGGATTTTGATTATTTTTATAAATGTCGTGGCTGGATTCAAAATTGTTTCCTGTGTTCTTTTGGAGGAATCAAAATTCTGTCTTCATATTAAATAAATAAAAAGAGAAGAAAACTAGATTGGATTACATGTTTCCAATTTACAAAGGCCATTTTAAAATCAAATCGGGAAGTTTTAAATTCTGCATGGTCCACTGGAAATCTAACAAATTTATAACCTCTGGTCTAGAGTCAATCGCAAATCGGAGCTTAGGGAGTTGAATTGATTCATTAATAAGTAAAATGATAAAATTTTGATTTATTCTTCATTTATGGATTATTGGACCAATTTATAATTAAATTATATTACTTTGACAGCTTAATATAATGTATGGTTTTTGCCATTGTTTTATTTTAAAACATTCATAAAAACAAGCATACTGAAATTATTAACATCTTCAGCATTTCGACTTGTGGAATGGCGCTTGAAAAATATCAATTTGTCAAAACTGAAAGATTTTTATTCCAGACCATCAAAAATTTAATACTAGAAAATAAATTTGAAATTTTTTCTAGGATGAGGGAAAAAATCTTTAATAATTGGAGACTTTTAATTCTTTAATTTTACGAAACAATTATTGACAAATATCAAAGACCTTCTTCACAAGTGGAGTGACTATAATTTTGTTGATATCAAGCTGAAGACCGCGATTAAGCATTATTGGAGGCCGTGTGTGTCGCGCCTTCGATAATGTTTGCTACACTTGTTGCGAGAGAGACGACCAGGGTGTGCGTGTGTTTGCTGCGGCGAGAGAGTGTGGCGAGGAGAGAGCAGGATGATGGCCCCTCGGCTGCCTGCTTATCCGCCGCGGCCGCTGCAGCAGCAGCAGGAAAGGGAACGCCGCGCATCAATATCGTCGGTGACGTCACACAGTGGCTGGCCTGCAGACCTCGAGCGGCCTGGCTGCGTAGGTCTGCAACACCGAACGCCCTCTTCAGTTGGCCACGACTCGCGAGCAGCGACCGACCGACGCCTCTCGCGCTCGAGACGCCCACACCCGGTAAGTGCAGAATCGGCGCCCTTTCGACGCCCGCCGCCCTTCGGCACCTTCGGCCTCTTGGAAGGTTCTTGTGCCGGTGAGAGACTCGCGAGTCGCAGTGTTTTCGTTCGTTGGCGGCTCTACCGGCAGCGCAACAGCGCGCGCCGCGAGCCCCCATTCGAAATTTCCGTTCTCTCTTTTTCTCCTCACGTCAACATGCCATGCCGCGCGGGGAACTTTTAAGGTGAAAATCGCTCCGTTCGAGTGGCCGTGCTCGAGAGTTAAGACCTCTGTCTCTGTGAGTTTGGATTTTTTGGACACGGCCTGCGGTCGATTGGTAAAGCTGATTTCACGCAATGTGGAGTGTGGTACTTATCAGAAGAAAAAAATAATATAGTCGCGGGTCGAGGAATGCCACAAAAAGATAACACACCGCTTTAGCAGGGGACATTATTTTTTAACCTGATCACTGAAACCAACACCCATAATAAATTGAATCTAGTCTTTTTGGAAAAAAAATAATGATAATTGTTAAATCCGGTTCAATCAATTTTTTGTATTAATTAATTTTCCACAAATATTTTCAATTAACTAAAATTTTAATTGATTGAAGAACTTCTTGAAGTTTTTATAAAATTGGATAATTTTATATTAAATTTGACATTCAGAGATTATAGAAATGTAAGAAAAAGAACACAATCTAATAAAATATAATTTAACAAGGGCGTTTTGCCCATGATCTTATATATTTTTGTTAAAATATTTATTTAAAAAAATTCGGAGGAAAATTTTTGAAATTCCTGATTATTTAAAAAAAAAAAATATGATAATATTAAGTAAGTTTTTGTAAGTGTTTTAAATTTTATTTTGTGAAATGCGCCAAAAGCGCAACCCTTTTTAGGTTAATTAAGTCCTTGATTCACAATTTCACACGAAAAAGATATTTATTTGCAGCGAATTAAGGGTTGAACCAGGAAATTAATCAACTGTGGATAGTGTGGATATATAAATAAACTAGCCGCTTTTTAAAATCTCCAACTCTCAAAAATTAAAAATTATAAAATACTGCTGGAGCAAGTTTTTGAATTATTTTGGTTTTGCAAATTTTGTCATGCGAATTTTTTAATTATTTTTTTTTAAATTTAGCCAGCAATATTATTATATATGTAATTTAAAAATTTTATATCAATGAAAACTTAAAAATTATTATATGATAATTTTTTGTAGTTAATTTTTAATTATATATCCCAAAAAAATTTGCAAAATATATTCTTGCTGTTTATTTCTGAAAAAATTTTCATTGTCAATCACAGTTACATTTTCTTCTTCCTGTTTTTAATGAGTTAACTTTAATTCAGTCTTTTCAAACATTTTGACTAAAATATTTTTATTTTTAATTTCAAATTAGATTTCATAATTTTTTTACAGCAATAATTTTATCACGTCTTGTGATTGAACTTGCTTTTGATTGAAACTGCACGATCGATTGACCGGTAGTTCCGTCAGAATTTGCGGTCATTGAAGTGCTAAACGTGCTCTTGTTTGTGCATTGGTACATTTATTGCTCCGGGTCTATAATGTATTAAATGTATGCGCCATCAGTTCGAGAGTGATGTGTCGTGGGTCGGGATAATATTTGGAAAGGACCGAGCTCGGAAACAGGTCGCGCGCGAGTCAAAAGAAGGCCGCGGTCATCAGCCCTGGTGATTCGGTAGTGCAGATGACTCGGCGCGGGGACGACGAGGAGCGGCCGACGACGGGGGCAGGGTTTTGTGTCGAGCCGGGTACTTGGGTGGAGGGAAAGAGCGAGTAGGAGGTGAGGTCTGCGCTGCTTGCTGTCGAGCGGCCGATCCTCTTGAAGCCACCGTCGTCCTCGTTCCTCGTCCACCGAGGCTGAAACGGGGGTAGGTTGCGAGGAGTCGGCGCGTGCGCCCTTTGCCCCGAACAGAGAAAGAAGAAAAAGCGTCTGGCAGGCAGGAGGGTATATTTTCGAGGCGCAAAACTATAACGTCCCATCGAGAAGGTGACGCCCGGGGGTGAACCGGCTGCCTCGATCCACCCCCGTATAAAAGAAAAGTTTCGCCTCCACATCGGAATTTGGTTTTCAATCAATTTGTCTCTTCAATGGAAAATTATATTTAATTTTTCCTCTGGCCAAACTTGATTTTTTTTTATCTTCTGGAGGATTTTTTTCTTTTGAACTGATGGTGGAGCAGGTCAAATATGCTTCGCGGGGGCTCCTAGGGGATGATGACGCCGGTCGATAAAAGGGTCTCTCAAGGGTTTCTCTGGTAACGACGCCGCCGCCGCTGGTGCTCTTTCGCCCTATATGGATGGGGCGCACGCAGCGTCCGTTCAGCGGAGCGACGAGCAAGCGAGGCATCGCTTTTCTGTCATGAGCATCACGTGCAGGGTCAACTTCTTCGTAAAGTTAAAGTGCCAAATTTTGGCAAGCCTTACTCAACACGCCAAAATTTGATTGACTTAAAAACAAATTACCAGACCTTTCAAGAAATTGGTTGCATAAAGTAATTCTAACAAATATTTGCTTATTTTGTTACTCCAAGAATTTTAAATAATCTCAAATCCTTACACTTATTACGTGGAACGTTTTTTGAGTTGTTTATTAATTTTTTAAGAAAGAAAAAACAATGTTCCGGCTGCGGGCTGCAACCATAATTCATGAGCTGTGAAATCATTTTGACAATCTATAAAAATATTTTTCTTTCAAATTAAACTTTTACCTGAAAACTGAAAAACCAACCCAAAAATAATTTAGGTACGCTCAAGACACACGTTTCAATGTTCTGACCAAAATTATTATAAAAATTAATTTGTAAATTTTTTTATTCAATTGTCAAATTTTGTGTTACAAATTATTGTGTGTAAAACTTTAACTGAATAATTTTTTACAAAAAAATGTTTACTTAAAAGAAAAATCTTTAGATCAATTTATGCAGCAATTTTTCTCAAAATAATAATTTCACAGCTCATGAATTATGGCTGCAGCCCGCAGCTGTAACATGTAGAGCAGGATATTGTTATAAACGACTTACAAAACCCGTCGAGGAAAAGCCGATTTTAAATTCATATCACCATGAATCAACCCTTGATCGAGAAATTCAACCACAAAATATTTTACTGTTACTTGCGAAGTTTCCATATGTACTAAAATAAGGGAGACCGATGTTGCAATACGTTTTAAAACTCCTTTGGAAACTGCAAGTTATTTAATTCTTGGTTCTGAATTAACTTATATATTAACCTGATTAATTATATCAATTTTTGAAAGAAAAGAAAAATCTTAATATTTTAGCAGATTATCGATTTTCAAAATTCTTTTAGGAACAGTTTCATAATTCCAAATTTATTTTGAATTCTATAATAAACTATAAATTTGTGTTATTCTGAAAATTCCATTGCATTTCCTTAACAATTGTCTCTATTATACTTTTTAACTTCAGGATAATGAAATGATTGTGTTATTTTTGGTGAATTTTATTTTTAAAGTCAACTTTTCCTCTTTCTTTTATTTGAAGTCCTTTATTTCTTCATCCGGTTTCATGCTATAATATACTCCTCTAAATTTGTTCCTGGTGTTTGTAATAAAACATTAAATGAATCAAAACCTTTTTTTAGGAAAAGCCATCTTTAAATTCAATTATTAGGTCTTTGTTAATTAATGTTTCCTTCTCCTGTTTATCTATTCTTTTTAAAATCACTCTCCTTGTAAGTCATCTTACTGATTTTCCAACATGATGAGCAAAAATATAATTAAAACTGGAAAATTTGACCGGATCGAAGTATTGACTTTGGCTTGACCTTTACGAAGACCTGTTCGTGTCCAGCCCGCAGCGGTGCATGGCGGACGGAGTCCTTCTTTTTTCGCAAGAGTGACAGCCGTCGTCGCGAGTGCTTCTCGTCTCTCTTGTACATTCGAGATCCGATTAGCCGCGCCTACAGCAGCAAAGTCGGCCTGGCCGCCGAGCCAGCATTGCAGCCACCGGGCGCTGCTGACGGAGTACGAGGAGATTTTGCCCAGCCACCGACAGCTGCGGTGGCGGCGGCGGTCGCTCCACGTTGCCAGCACCAGGCGACATTATTTAGCGCGGCCGAGGATTTTTTTATTTAATGATTCCGATTCTGGAGAAAAGAGATAAAATCTTCAAAAGGGCAGAGAGTGATTTTGAAAGAGATGAAAAAAACAACTCAAATTAGAGTCGGCGAAGAGCCTCGAGAGGAAATTTTTAGTTTCCTTTAATTAAACAATTTTGAATATACATGTAATTTTATGCAAATTCTCTCTATTTAGAATTAAAAACGATTATTAAATTTGAATTTTGCGAATTTTGTGCATTATTTTTTGATTACGGATTTACAAAAAAAACTTTGATATTCTTTTCAGGCATTGACGGAACAAAAAACTTGCAAGAATTTTAAAATCTTATCTCTTTCCTTTATTTTTCTATTTAATTTTCCGCGAGACTTTTCACCGGAGATTCAGCAATAATTAATCTCTCTTTCGCATCTGCTGGTGGGAACTGGCGTCGATTATTTTCGAGCTCATGCGGACAGATGCCCTGGTAGCCCCTGACCTGGTGGGGCCTCGGCCTCGCCCGTATCGAGTAACCGGCGCGGGTGTGCGAACGAATAAAGTAAAGAGCTGCCAGGTCGGTCGGGCACCGATCGAAGCAAAGCAAGCAAGAGTCGTCGCTGGAATAGGAATAAGAAAGAAGAAGAAGAAGCCATGCCATCCGAGTGTCTGCTCGTAATTGACTCGGTGGTACGCCCTTGTCCCTTGCTCCGTGACGTCACGCCGCCGCGGCGGCGAGTGGATGCCAGAAGTGAAGGGGCCGCCTATAGTTGCACTGCAGAGAGCTGCCGTAGCTGCGCGAGCAGAGCAAACCGCTTGGCCGTGTCCATCGAGCAGCTCGGCGGCGGCAGCAGCAGGCGGGCGGGCAGGGCCCAGCCATCTTGTTCTTGCACCATCGGCAGTGTCGACTCGGCCGCGCTCGAGCCAAGGTGACGCCCAGGCAGCCGCTCCGCACCGCTCGCAGCCCCTGACGACCCCAATTAAGGTGGTATACTTTTCTCTCACCCCCTGTTTACCAACTTGGACCCTTCGGAGAAAAATAATTCAAAAATAATTTCTTCTTTAAAATATAATTTCCGGCGAAACCGGAAGGTTTGGTTGGGCGTTAATTTGCCGTTGGGGTGCGGCCTTCCGCAGGGTGCGGCCTGACCCTGAAGACGGTCGTGAATTGAAAATCATTTTTTTATTTTTAATTCTTCCGCCGGTGGATTTTAATAACTGCATTTTATTTTTTTGGAGAATTTCTAATTTTGTACCGTGGCCTCGGACCTCGCGTGCAGGGAAAGTGCGCAGTTTGCGTCCCTGAGTGTGACGCGACTCTTGCCTGCGCCTCTAGAAATTTTTATACGTGGAGGCATATCTCGAGCTTTAGGTCATGGATGACTTATAAACTAGCTCTCAGCTATTCTGAGGGTTTCTGTTGATGCAGCAGCTCTGGCCGTCGCGCATCTCCCCCATCGCTGCGCGTCTGCCTGCCTGTGCCGCCGGCCTCGTCGCCTCGCACCTGCAGGTTGAAAAACACAGCCTGCAAAGGTGGCACGTATAATACTCTAAGCACGCCGGTCGGCGGATGTGCACGTTTTTTCCTCGCCGGACTCGAATAATAAAATTTTTGTCCAATTTCCAATTACAAAGCCTGGAAATAATATTTAAGTAAATTGAAGTATTTTAATTAAGGATATTTGAAATCTGGATTTTTCTTTTTTTTTAAAGAAAATCTTCCGCTCTCGTATGGTATCAGCAGCGACGTATCTTAACTGTAGAGGTTTGCCGTGCCAGCCAGCAGCAGCCAGTTGGCTGCGGTCGTTATTGATAAGGCCGGGGCCGCCGGTCGACAGCGTCACGTGTTCCGACCGCCACGGCCTCCTGGGGAAGCGCCAGAGCTAGAGAGCGACGACATCTTTCTGCCCTCTATCCACCACCCTCTGCAGCGGCTCGAGGACGATTTTCTTCCTCGCTGCCCGCACCCCTCTCCCCCTCGGTCCGTCTCATTGTTGCTTTCTCTCTTTTTTCATGCATTCTCCAAGTAGAAGTTTCAAAGGCTTTCCGAGAAGAGGACTTTGGGAAATAATAAAGTCTTGTTCGCGCAGCGCCACAAAGGCTGTTGGCAGGGATCATGGTCTCGATACGTGGGCGCTTCAAACCTGAAGAACTAGGTCATCATGGGCGTCACAAAATTTACAAAAAAAAAAAAAAAAAAAAATTGCGAGAGATAATTTCATTTTCATTATTTTTATGTCATGAAAAAATGTGGCTGAATTTTTAAATTTTTTTATTCCGCTGGAATTTTTTCCGTTCAAAAGGACGAAGAATATCCCGCCGGCCTAAAGCGAGTCGGAGTTTGTATGTTGGCGCGGCTCGCGCACCAGCAGGAGGCTTCTGGGGAGCACGGCCTTGAGTGCCTAAGGGACTGTCGCACACTGTGAGGTTATGGATGGGCAATTCAGCGAGTAGAGAGTGCTGCTGACTCTTGCCGCCGGTCTCGCATCAAACAACTTTTAAACCTGAAAAATGTACACAGAATTCAAAGGCTTGAAGCATAATTGAAGTCGAAAATATAATTTGATTTTCACGCATTTTTTTATTTTTATTTTTGAGAAACAAAATTTGACGGAAGTTTTCAACTTGCCCAAATATTTATGCCAGGGTCTGCTGGGCGCTGCAATTTGAAAAGGAAAACTCCACGCGAAAATATTTATATCAGCCAGCAAGCAGACCCCAGTGGCGGGCGACCTCAATATCAAAATCCGCAGCCGTCACATGCGCCTGCTGGTGCTTGATGGCATCACCTCTTCCGTCTCTTCTACACCAACTCTGATGTTGATAGGAGGGAATCAAGCGTTGAAAACCAAAACCTCCAGTGGGGCTAAAAATTCAAATAATTAATTTTTTACCCACAATTGTAAGAGATAATTTGTGGAAGTTTTTTAAATCTATTCGGTCGGTTGAGTGCACTTCATATATGATATAATCCAATATATTTATTAAAATAATATTAATTGAAAAAAAATATACAATTTTTTTTACTCAATATTTTAAATAGTTCTTTTAAAATTGATCGTCAAGTAGCACGTCTGACTTTTTTATCCTCCTCTGCCCGCAGATAATTAACCGGCGCAATGAGCCGCCGCGACTACATGGACGCAGGCCCCTCTCTCGGCTACGACGGCGAAGATCAGGAGGAGCTGGACGCCGAGGAGGATCTGCCGCAGTGCAAAATCAAGCGCAACTATGCGTGCGCCCAGTGCGACTTTTTCACGCAGAACCCGCGCACCTACTTGTACCATTTGCGCGACGACCACCAGGCGCGCATCAAGGTTTACGAATGCCCCAAGTGCGTGTACGCCAGCAAGCACAGCCAAAAGTTGCAGCGCCACATCCACATGGTGCACGTCCTTGGCCGACAACGCCAGCAGCAGCAACAACAACAGACCAGAAAGCCATCGCCGCCGCCTCCTGTGCTGCAGCCCCAGCAGGAGATGTATGAAGAAGGTCAGTAGATCGATTTTTATTTTTAATAATTATATTTCATTTTTTTTATCTTAATAAATATTTTAGTTTGTTCTGAATTGGATTTTTTTTCTTAATTAAAATAATCTTTAATTCAACCTCTGTTCAATTTATAAATATTTTGGTCCTTCAAATTTATTATGTATAAGCAACATCGCGTCCTCTACTTCCCTTGTTACTCGCGTTCTTGGCGACTCTCGCAGCAAGAGAGTTCATTTCTCCCCGCGTGAGCCACCGGAGCCAAAAATAACAACTGGCTCTCAAGCAAAACTCGCCGCTTTTGTTTCAGAAGACGAGAGCGACGGTGAGATGCCGATGGACGGCGAGGACGCCGAGATGGAAGACATGGACATGCCTGAAGAGGAGCCTGGTCTGGCTGACGGAGAACAGCAAGTCTTCCAGTGCTCAGTGTGTCCGTTCAAGTCGTACAGCGTCACTTTAGTGCAGCGCCACGAGCAGATAGCCCATCTGAAGAAGAAGTTCTTCCGTTGCACCAAGTGCAACTACGTGACACACCTCAAGGCGCGCTTCACCAAGCACGTCAAGTACCACTCGATGCCCATGATCAAATGCGACTTGTGCGACTTCCGCACGCCGTATAAGTGGAACCTTGATCGTCACTATCGCAACCACCAGGGCGACGGCGAGTTCAAGTGTCCGCTCTGCAACTTCCGCGCGGACATCAAACAGAGTCTCACCGTTCACGTCCAGAACCACCACCTTACACCTCAACAGAAGGCCCTCAGAGGCGTCAACCGAAGAAATAAGGTAAGAAAAGTTAGGACACAATTTGAATTTTTCATTAATTTTATATATGTCAATACTAAATTTTGTTGAAATTAATTTTTTATGATATATTTTAAATTTAACAAAAACTTAATTAAACCAATAGAAATCATGATCGAATAAAAATTTATAAATAAATTTTTCGTCACAGGTTGGTGGAAGTGATGCTCCTTCAACTGAACTTCGAATGTCTGATGTTGGGTTGGTTGGAACAAACCCTGACTACTCTGATGAAGATGAAGAAGAATTTGAGAAAAGCGCTGAACTTGCAGCAATCAACGTAAAAGATTATCAACTGTCATTTTTTTTAAATAATTTACAATTTATCGCCGCAGGTTTCCCAGTATTCAACTAATCCGGTTCCGTCAACCAGTGGAATAAATAATAAGAAAAAGTCGCCTCCTGCACAGGCGGCCAAAGCCAAATACCAAGGTCACCAGAAAGGTTTTGGAGGAACCTCTGATTTTGTTCACCCCGACGACGTTCTTCACAAAAATGGAAAGGTTTACCACAGGAATATCAAGTGCAACTTTTGTTCCTATAAGGTAGGGGGTAGGCTTGTTTAAAGTTTAAAATAATATTTATTTTTATTTTTACAATTTTGTAGGCGTTTTTCCAAGGCGATCTTGCCAGGCATGAGGCCAAGCATCACGGAATGCCCATGCCGACACCTCAGAGCAAGCAAGTCAAGAAGAGACCAATCCCCAATTTGATTCCTCTGCAGCAAACATCCCCCACGCCATCTGACTCTGAAATGATGGCTGCAAATATTCTCTCTGGCGGCCACTCTATTTTTGGTGGCCCTTCGATCATTGCTCAGTCGGACGACGAGCAAGATAGTTTTGCCAACCGCAGTGCTAACACAACCGAAGAGTTTGACGAATCTGAAGAGCCTGAGGAGGAAGAAAAGGCTGAAGAGCAAGAGGACGAACCTATGGTTTCTGTAGACTCTTCAGCCGTAAAAGTTGAATTAGAGGAGCCACAGGACCTCAAATGTGATGTTTGTGGCCACGAGAGCAAGAGTATTGATGACGCCCTTACCCATCAGAAGTCGCACAAAAATGAGGAAGCAGCGCAAAGGAGCTTCCTAGGCAGTGTGGGTCTTTCTTCCACAAGATGCCAGAACTGTGGGTTAGTATCATTTAATTTCAAAATGTGCTTTATTCAAATATTTGTATTGATGAATCGCTTTTTATTTATTTCAGAATAAGATGCAAAGACAGCTCTGAACTGAATGTCCACCTGCGGACTTGCTCTAAAAAGATGGGTGGTCAAAATAATGGCAACGGTTTAGCAGAAGACTCGTCTGGTGACAATCAAAAGTCTTCCGACGATCACTCTGACGAAGAAATTGCTGGCCTGCAGTGTGCAAGTTGTAGGCAGCCCTTTGACGATCTAGAAGAGCTAAAAAACCACTTAGAGCACTGCAAAGCTCGCATGATGGAACTCACGCCAGAGGTGTCCATCACAGAAGTGAGAGGTGCCGAGTTCCATCCTGTTGAAAACAAAGGTTTCACTTGGGATCAAGGACAAGGCAATGAGCCGTCTGGCTCTAAAGAAATCAAACCAGCTCTTACAATTGAAAGGTATGGAAAATTTAATTTTGTTTTTATTTTAGTTTGATTTTTTTGTCTCTAGGATTTCATCTGCGAACAATATCAACAGCGAGGAAGACGAGTCAAAAATGGACTCTGATGACGATGAAATGGAGCCAAGGAAAATGAACTTTGGAGAAGTTTTCATTGGTATTGAGACAGCTCCAGGGTATGGCTTTGTTACAGAAGAGAAGGTTCAAAATCCTCAAGAGGCAAAATTGCAACTTACAAAAGTAATCTAATTTCAAAATTGTTAGACTTTTACCAATTTTGTTTTGGTTTTTTTTCAGGTGTACAAATGTCCCCAGTGCAACTTCTGGGCGAGTGCAGCTTCTCGCTTCCACATACACTTGGTGGGCCACCTGAACAGCAAGCCTTTCGGATGTTCGCAGTGTGACTACCGTTCTAACTGGCGCTGGGACGTGGCAAAGCACATAAGGCTAAAGGGCGCAAGAGACCCTCTGCACGCCCCTAATGCTCGGCCGCGCGTACTTGTCACTGACGATGACACCAGCAGGCGAAACTACTCCAAATATGCAAAGTACGTCTTGTACCTGGTAGTGCAACCTGGTCCGGAGATGGAAGCACTGGCACACAACTCTGCTGCAGTCAGTCGGGTCTCACCAAGTGTTACGTCCAAGCAGGTTTCACATCCGCAAATGCCAGTTCTCCAACACCAAGGGTCTTCGCAACTGTCTATTTCAAGAACACCCCAAGATGTATAACATGCGTCAATGAAATTATTTATTGTAAAACTAATTTTTTTCCACTTTTAGCAAATGAGGCGCCCTTTGAAAAGACCTGCTCAGCCGGAACCTCAGCAGTCTAAGGCGCCCACTGGACTGCCTCAGAACAAGAAGCTTCTCTGGAGGTGCAAAAAATGCAACTATAGAGGTGCCAACAAAGAGCAAGTTTTGGAGCATGTTCGAGGACACTATACCAACCAAAACCAGCAGCAGCAACAGCAGCAAGTTAAGGTGAATTAAATTGCTTTTTTTTAAATAAAAACTTTAATTTTTATTTTATTGGTGTAGAAATTTACTTGTGAGAAGTGCCCCTTTACTGGCAAAATGAATGAAGTTGAAATGCACAAGAGCCACCACCAGCCTCAACCAGGTGCAAATTTCAAGTGCTACATTTGCCCATTCTTTGTCAGCACCAAAAAGTAAGGATAAAAAATTTATATTATGTTTAAGTGATTTCTAAATATTAATTTGTTTAGGGAGCTTTATACTCATATGGCAGTACATGGAGTCAGCGACCCCGAAGAATTTTTGAATAAGATGCAGTCTGGCGCATTTTCTCTCTCCGTCACTTCGTCTACTGCTTCGGAGTCGAAGCCTCCTCAGCTCAAGCCGAATTTGCCAGACACTTCAAATATGAAAGACGTTCCTCTCGTCTGGGCCTGCAAATCAGGGAAATTCAGGAAAATGTTCAAGTGCAGACATTGCCCCCACATCAACACCCGCAAAGTGAACATAGTGGAGCACGAAAAGATGCACTCGAGCAGACAGGTGTGGAGCTCACCTGACTACCCTACCGTCTTCCACACCTGCACTCACTGCAACTACACCTGCAACAATGCTGGAGTTCTTTCAGCCCACTTTAAGGTTAGTTTTTGATAATGGTTGAAAAATTTAAGATCCATTTTAATTACATCAAAATTAGGTTCATCAAGATTGGTATCCTAAGGCTCACGCCTTGGTAGACCCTTCCCGGTCAGACATTGATCAGGTCAAGGATTTGGGCGGAAGTGAAGTTTCTCTGGACAACCAAGACAGTCTGGACAGTCGAGAGGGAAGTCCATCTGTACAGTCTGACAGTAAGTTAAAAATTAATTCCTTCGTGAACAATTATCATTTTTTTTTCATCTGACTGAGAAAAGTAAACAGTAGATCAAATACAGAGAATGTGACGTAACATTTATTTTTCATATTTCAGATGACAATGTGGACATGAATGCCCTAAATGGCGTTCAGGTAAATCTGGATGAAAAAGAGGAAGACGATCGTCTGCTTTACTTCTGCTCTCAGTGCCCAGCTCGCTTCTTGTTCTCTCGCGAGCTGGCCATTCACAAGCGCTTCCACAGGGTGAAGCTGGCCTTCCACTGCAGCCACTGCAACTACACTGCCCGCCAGCCACAGCACCTGGCCGCCCACAACAAAGTCCACTGTTCTGAGTACCAAGACCGCACAGCCCTTCTGCTCATGAGCCACCAGGAGAGCCTCGAGTATCCAAAACCATCTCTTGTGGTCAAGGATGATACTTGGGTGGTCAACGACTTGGAGGATACCAACTTGCCCATCCTGAAGCAGCAGCAGTCGCCCTCAACCACAGGCCAGCCACAGACCAAGCAGCACTGCTGCCACTTGTGTCCTGCGCGTTTCTTCAAGGCTGTCGCTCTGCAGTACCACGTCACCTTGCATGGCGGCAGCGGGCCCTACAAGTGCTCTAAGTGTGATTATGCAGTCAAGATGTACGGAAACTTGGTGCGGCACGAGGTGGTGCATGATGAGAAGGAAAACGAGGACATTCGAGACGAGCCACCTAACATCACTCCTGCGGTCCAAATCACCTCCCCGCCACCCTCGATGAGACCGATGCCCCAGTTGCAGCCTCAGGTTCCTCATCCTCCAATTTCGCTCCCGCCAGACCCTGTATTTGGCACCCTGATGCACGGAAGCCCTGAATTTATCTACCCCACTTACTGGAAGAACGGAAAGTTGAAGGTGAGGAATTAATTCAAAAAAATGATCATGACAACTTAATCACAACTGGTTTTTTAATTGCTTATTATTAAATTAAAAATTATTTTTCAGGAGAAGAGGTACAAATGCCACAAGTGTCCGTCAGCCTTCGAGAAGCGAGAGCAGTACAAGGTGCACCTGGGTCTGCATGGCTCTCGGCAGAAGTACAAGTGTGACCGGTGTGACTATTCAGTGAAGTACTACGCAAACTTCATCCAGCACTCAAAGAAGCACGAGATGAACGACCAGGCGCGCCAGCAACGGCAAGAGCAGTATGAACAGGAAAAAGAGCAGCAGCAACAACAGATGATGGCTATGAAGCCAGAGATGATGGACATCGGCGACGAGGAGGAAGATGATGATGACGATGACGCGCTGAAGGTCCTCCACGAACCGGAAGTTCTTTTGCAAGTGACCAAGCCGGCTGTGAAGATGTTGCCAGGCGTGAGTTCTGTGCAGAAGCAGCAGCAGATGATGGTGCTGGAGCGCCGGAAGCAGCAGCAGACCGACTCGGCTTGCGCCGCAGAACAGCTGGTGACCTCGACCCCGACCTTCTGGTGCTCGTCCTGTCCTTACAACAACCAGCGACGCGATCTGGTAGAAATGCACCTGAAAAGACACCAGCAGAACGCAGACACCAAGGGCATGCATTCTTGTTGTTACTGTGACTTGAAGGTGCCGCAACCCCAGCAACTCAAGGAGCACATGCTTCTGCACTTCCGCATCAGGCCGCTGCCCAACAGCAGGCGCGCCGTCACCTTCACCAGTTACGATGACGTCGAAATCTGGGCCACTAAGTTGGATCAAGATGAAGACGATGAGAGCCAACTCGTCTTACAGAAATTCAGCCAAGGGCACCAGGAGGTCGAAGAAAGCAATGAGGAGGAGGAGGATGATGAGGTGCAGTTCATTGATCTCAGGACTGGCGAGGTTGTCAAGAACGAACCAAGAACTTCTTCAGTCAAAGACGAGTAATGAGACTGCCACCCACATTTTTTTTCTGTCATTCATGCTTTATAATTTTGTTCGGAGATGAAAACCTGATTTGTCTGATTTGAACTGTTTCTCCTTTTATGCATTTTCCTCACAGAGACCAATGTTATAATATATGCTCTATTATATGCTCATTACAAAAATGCAACTCTGGTCAACTTACAAAACCTAGCCCCAAATAATATTAATTTTTCCCCTTGATGGGTTTTCAAGAAGCACTTCACTTCGTTACCTGCATCCAAGTTGTAATAAGACCTTAATAATGGCAGTGTTCAAATAATTTCCTCTTGTTTAACAGCAATTAAACTAATTTTATTGACTACTTGTTAAACAAACAATTTACGATAATATTTTTTATATCATTTGATTTGTGTAAAACAAGCCAATGTATATAATTATAAAAATAAAATTGAGACCAATTGAGACTTAAATCAATATTGTTAAATAAGAAATTTAATCCTTTCCGTTCCGCAAAGATTTCGTCAGTGCCGCTGTGAAACAAATTACTTATATATCTTATTAAAAAGTGAGTGAAAGAGAACAAACATTAATTTAGTTTATTTGGCAGAAATTGCCTTCTGAAACAATCAATTTTAAGACTCTTTGCAACTATAACATTTATTAATCTTGTGCAGTAATAAAATGTACTATAGAAATTTAATTTTCATTTTAATTGAAGTCACGTGTGTTCAGTACAAAAAAAGATAAAATTCGATGAATTTCGCCTATAATATCATTAAATTTTATTTTTAAGCAAGCGCGTTCAGTAAAATTTGTAAAGTTCATTTCAGCTTGTGAATTGAATATAATAAAAATTTAAAAATTTTAAAAAACAATACAGAATAATTATTTTAAAATTGTAGTGCATATCGCGCCTCTACCGGATGTGCCACTCCCCCTTCCTTTCATTATCTCTAAAGTCCAAGCGTCACCACGAGGTCCACGAGCACGAACAACGGAAGGTCCTCAGTGTCCTCACTCGCTCTCTAATTAATTCTAATCGTCATTCATTAGCATAATTTGCATAGGTAAGCCCTAAATTCCTTCGATAACAAAAAGTATAGAAACGTTGTCGTCTTATATGTATGTATATCATCAGCATTCGTTGGACGAAATACAAACCCTCCTTTGGGACAAAGTGTCATGAGAAATGACATCGTTTTCAAAAACCACCCGAACGAGGCCATATTGTTGCGCTAAAATTGACGTTTTCGACGGCCCACCACGGGGCCCTGGCCGACCGGGGGCCCAGAATGGGTAATCGGGTGCACTTAGCGAGAGCTCGGCGGGCCGCGGCCCCCGTGAGCCGCTTAATAAACGACCACTAAACGGGGCTTTGCGGGCCGCGGATAAAGTCCGCGGGCCATCTTTGATGTACTTTCGCGCTTGTGTGTCGGATTGGCAGTCGGGCCCCCAGAAAGGACTTCGGCCCCCACGATGCCGGTGGCCCGCTTTTAGGATTTTACATAAAAAAAAGTATTTTTTTTACGAAGACACAGTCGCCAAATTTCTTCTTGCATCGTGTTTTTTTTTTCAATTAAAAAAAATTTTTGTCTATTGCTTTGCTGCCAAAAAATTGAATCATTTATGCTGCAAACAGCTTAAACACGTTGATCAATTTATATCTGATAAATTTTGATATATAAATACATATCATCAAAAGACCTGATTTTGCACAGCTTATAGATTTGATATTGCAATAATTAAATTAAGTTCTATGAAATTTTGATTCTTAAAATGATGTTTTCTCTCACATGGATCATTAAAGCAATAAAATAATAAATCTTAATTCATATAAAATCAATATTAAAATAAGTTGAAACAAATTAATTTTTTATTTTTTTTATTCTTTTTCTGAAGCTATGATCTAAAAAAATTTCCTCAGACATGGAAGACTTCCACATTCGCAATAGTCGTGTCCTTGGTGGTCGCCTCAGCTTGGTGGTCAACTACCATAGAGACGGAAATCGCATTCAGATGGCGAAGTTGCTGAAGAAACCAGTAGCAGCGGTCTTTGGCCGCTGGAATGGTCATGCGGTTACTTTCCAAGGCGGCCGTAAGTAAACATTCCATTTTTACCGCGCTTTAAACTTAATTCGGGAATTTTGGCATGGGTAATGGTGGAGTGAGCGCACCAAAGATCCTTGGAGCGCACAGTGCTGGAGAAGTGCGCATTATTTTTTTTTTATTGCCACAGTTTGTAATTTGGGATAGAAATTCTGCTAAAAAAATTAAGTACGTTGTAAATGAAAGTTGATGTATATATAGCAATGTTTCAATTAATGTTTGATTATTTTAGCTGGAAATTCTATTGCACCCTGAAGGTGGCAGTTTTGGACCATCTCATGAGTGCCCAGCGACTCATTATTCACAGACCCGGTGTCCATGAGGGGGACGACATGGACAATTTGCCACCTGAAATCTTATCAGGCCTTGGTAGCTTGGAGAATATGGGCGAGCGCAAGCTGGTTGTCCTGTTGGACTGCATGCATGAGGAGTTTGGAGTCTTTGATGGTAAATAGTATTTTTTTTTTTTTATTATTAAATTATTTGATCTTGATCATAATTGTTTCAGATCCAGATGTCCTCACTCTCCGAGGTGTTGCCCAAAATGGAATGATGACTAGATTCCCTGTTCTTTAAGAAGCCGCCCATGCAGCGGCCAACATGCAACCCGCCTTGCCTGCGGCCCAGGCCTTGAACCAGCAACCCGCGCTGCCCGCTGCGCAGGTGGCTGCCTTGAACCAGCAGACATTACGGAGACATTCTCCTACACTGTGGAAGATGAAACTTTTTTTTTGCCGAAAAGAGTCAACGTAAACGAGGTAAAAGGGCTTAGTTTTGTGTTGGAAAGTGGTTTTTCCCTTGAGATTAGTGAGCAAATTTCGCTGATATTGACTGAGTCGGTCGTCAAGTTGGCCTTTAACTGATAAGCAGACTTATATCTTGGGCCAAAACCTACTTGTCTGAATAACTGATTAATGATATCCCATTTATGTGATTGAAAATCCGTAACCTGCTGTTAAGCTATTAAATTAAGTTGAATTTAGTGTGAGGTAATTAATATAAAAATGAAAAATTGTTCCATTTTTTTTTTCATTTGTGAAAATTAGTAATAAATTACAATTGAAAACAATGTAAATTAAAAAAAAAAATGTTGTTTCCTTCATTTTCCAACCTTTTAAAAGAAAAGCACTAAACTTTTAGCCTATCAGTTGAAATAGCTTTATTAAAAAAAGTTACATGAGTTCTTTTATTATATATTATATCGTTTGTTATACATTTTCAATTTTCTTTGAAATAATTTTTTGTACTCTTTGATGCGATGTGTCTGTCTGCTTTCTGCAATTTTTGTTTTTTGGCTGCTTGAAGTGTTCCAAAGGCGCCTGCAAGTAGCTGCTCTGGGTGAGAAGACGTCTCCAGTTGACACTTGTTCGCCTTCAACCAGGCCTCGTCATCTCGGGCCAAATCTGTTGAGAATAAATCTTAATTTGATTGTAAAAAAACCTAGATATTCAAAATGATCTTCATACCAGCCGCTCAATTTGTGTGAAATGCATTGGCTTCTCTTGGAGAGAGTTGCGTGATTTTGTGTATGCCCTCTTCATCCCACTGTCAGAAGGCGCAGAAGCTCCGCTGTGAATCGCTAATCAGAGAAATTTCAACAACCTCGGTCCAGACAAAGTTGTTTTCAAAGTGATAAACTTATGTACTTGGTTTTTTTCCTGGACTGGGTATGGGCTAAAGTTTACCCAGTTTTTAAAATTTTATGAATTAAAAATTTACAGGAAAGAATAAAGAAAAGTATTGCTAACCAATTCAAGACGCATGTTTTGTACACATACTTTGTTTTGTTTATAGCATTTATTTTATTTACTAGAAAATTAAATTATTAGGTCCATGGATTGATAGATAGGTCCAAGAGGGGGCGGGGCATTACTTCACCCGACGTATGTACACACCCATGTCCACACTCCTGTCTGCTCCTGTCACAACACGACCTCGAAGTCTCTCCTCGATTGTATTTTTTCGTGCTGTAAATAATTAAACAATGTTGTAGCCGTCAATTTCAATCTGATTTTTTTTAGGAGATGTATTGCTGAGTTAATTAATTTTGCAACGCACTAGATTAGAACTACCTTTGCCAAAAACGCTGAACTCAACCAGTGCGAAGATGGACCCCAAAGGTCATACTTTTTATTTTATTTGTCCCGGAAACAAAGAAATCCATGTACATATACGTATTTATGTATTTTTTCTATACAGATAATCCTTTGAGTGTGTCTTGGCACGACAGCAACTGGATTCCAATGCTGAATCCAGCAAATATCATGGACTACTTTTCGGAGCGCTCAAACCCTTTCTACGACAGAAACTGTAACAACGAAATCGTCAAAATGCAGCGTCTCAATCCTGACCAACTCGTGTAAGAATTTTACTAATTGAATCATCGTGCTTAGGAGAAAATAATTTGAATATATTTGTTTGAAGAAATATGACTGGAACAGAGTATATTTTATTACACGTCCAGGAGCCTATTTTGTACGTGATTCGAAAGCAGCACCGACACTCCCCGGCTCAGGCAACACCGATGGCCGATTACTACATCATAGCTGGTGTGGTCTATCAGGCACCTGACCTGGGTTCAGTTTTCAGCTCCAGAGTGGTAATTTAAAGCAAAAATAATTTCGGCACATTTTTTTTATAGCTTTTCTTTAAAAATAACAAATCAATTGATCATAAAATAGAAAAATTGGTCTTCACCGGACCTTGCATTTAATAAAAGAATATTAAATCGTATCATAAATTTCTAGCTGTCAGCAGTGCACAATCTTCAAGGCGCCTTCGACGAAGCCCTGTCTTACTCGCGGTACCACCCGTCAAAAGGCTACTCGTGGGACTTCAAGGACAAAAACCAGAAGGCAGCAATGACCGTGAGCACAGCCAAGAAGAGCAGCGAGAGGGAGGAGACAAGTTCACTTTTCCAGAGACAGCGAGTAGACATGCTGTTGAGGGAACTGACCAACAAGTACCCACCAAAAGTCATTCAGCCTGTGCCCGTTGCGACCGCTGAACAAGCAAAATCCACGCCAGCAGGTATTTAAGAGGCCATTTTTCTAAAAATTTGTATAACAAATTTTTCTTGCTGTAGATGAAATTAAAACTGAACCCAGGTCGGAAAAAACAGACACACCATTGCCGCAAGGAAGAATGCGACCGCCCCCGGAAAAGAAGCCAAGATTAAATTAATGAAGAGTAACTTACTGATCTCTGCTGAATTGTAAGTTTGTGTTTGTTTGTCGAATGGGATAACTTTTTAATAAATTCTTCAGTAATTTAAGACAACAAAAATTAGAAAATTGAATTTTTCTCCTTAAAATGAAGTGGTTGGATAAATGAAAAACGTGAAATGTATTTATATCTTTTAAAGCTTGAGCATTATATTTGTGAACTTTATTTATTTCTTATGCAAAACTGATTGTGCAACAAGATAAGCAAAAGGGAAGAAGTTTGACTCTAAATGTTTAGGCTATTATGTAAGATAGCTTTAACCTTAAACCCTTTCGGCTTCTATTTTATAAATTTTAATTAAGGCAATAAGAATTTTGAGGAAAATTCATTGATAACATTCTTATTCCTATCTCAAATTTAATATCACTTTAAAGCATGCAAACTTTCTTTGAGCTCCCGAATGAGAGTGAGTAAAAGTTAACCCTAGATATCCTTGATTTAAATCATTCAGGTATAACAGGACTCTGGCATTCTGTCTCACCAGCGTCCTCTAGTTGGAATAAAACCGCATCGTCTTCATAAGTGGGAAAAAAGTACCTGCAAGTAATAATTGATTACAAAAAAATAATAAGGGAATGTTAGATTTCTTACTGAGGTTGATCAAAAAGAGATTCCTCCGGCAAGGTGTAATGTCTTTCAGACTGCAAGTGTTCGACAAGTTTGATTTTACTTGGAAATTGTTCGTTGCACACTGGGCAGGCATTCATATGCACTTGTCGTCTAATGTAATTGACTAGTTTGACCTTAAAAAATTTTGTTATTTTTTATCTAAACTCAAAATCCGAATAATCTTACTTGCAAGTAAAATGAAAGATTGATATTTTCCAAGCTGAACCCATCATGCTGCACTTGCGAATGACAGTTGAGAGCCTGCAAGTGCTTGGCCTGGTGATCACAGAACAAGCAGGTAAGCTTTGCGGCTTCGTCTTCCTCACACCAGTCCGACCAAGACTCCTCCTCAGCCCCTGTTGGTCCATCTTGCTCCTCCTAAAAAGAGTTTCTTAAATCTTTTTAGGGAAAATGCTTTGAATATTTACCTCGACTTCTTTCCAAGTTTTTCCAATTTCTAAATAATTGACAATATAGTATTTGTCAAATTCGGTATCGTTTGGGTTGATGCACTTGTGCTGCTTTTTGCGCATGTGTTCCCGAAGAATGTGCCTTTCGAGGAAAAGATTGTTGCAGAATAGGCAGCGTAGATTTTCTAGTCTTGTGTGGATTTTTTCTAAAAGCTCGTCGATGAAAACCTATTCAAATTTAGCTCATGACGTGATTTTCAGCCTAAAAGAAAAATTTGACACTCACAAGATTGTCTGGCCTTCCCAAGTTTAGGTTATGTTTGTCTGACAAGTGTTTGAGAGCATCGGCTCTGGTGCTTCCGAGTTTGAAACGGCAAAAAAGACAGTCTCTGGAATAGCTTTGGTCCTCACGCTCAAACTTCTGTCTTTCGAGTATTGCGTTCAGTCGTTTCTCCTGAAGTCCCTCCCTAAGTAGTTTGTCCTCAGGGAGAATGTCGGAGAGCAAGAAGTAGGTTTCGTCTTTGCTTGGCTGGCCGTCGGGGGTCACGTCCATCTTCATCACGCTGCAGAATTCTTCCAGGGGCCCAGACCTCATGCGCACTTTCCAGAAGTTCACATAACTACAGAAATAAATTAATAAATTACTCATTTTTGAAATAGACAAATTATTTCCTAAAAATTAAATTACTTCTCTATAAAGACAGTCTTTAAAAAATATTGTCATTGTATATTTAACGTGCCTTTTGAGGCTGGCAACGTGACTGACGTCCCCAATCACCAGTCGATGATCAACAAATAAATGGTGCAAAAAGGCCTGCTGGTCAATCTGCATTTTAAACTCTTTGCAGCACAGCATGCACTCGACCGTCTCATCGTCCAGATTGAAAAGATCAGCCGTGTTTTTTGATGTCTGCTGTGGAAACGTCAAAGGCACCAGTACATTTTTCTCTGCGCTCGATTCAGCGCCAGAATCGCCTGCGATTGCTACTTCCTCGAGATGTTCATTTTCTAAAGAAAATTATTAAAATGAGATTCAAGATTACTGAATTCAAATTGGGAAAAACTGCTTGCTTACCAGACATGTTTTCAAAACTTCAAATATTTCATAACTACTTATACGACATCAAACCTTCTCAAAACAAAATGAATAATTTAGAGAAATCAAAAATCAATCTTCGCAGTCTGTGGGGGGCGTGTCCGGGTAGAAATCGAAATTCGAAAAAGTCCCATCCTAGATGGCTCTGCCGTCAGTTCTTGAGCCTGCGCCGTCTTTTTTTCTTCAAAAACCGGACAGGAGCAAGATGGCGATCGGTGACTACCCTGCCGAATATAATCCTAAGGTCCACGGACCGTACGACCCAGCCCGCTTCTATGGCAAAGGTAACTCTTGAATATAATTGTCTCCACTCTTTGGTCTTTAAAATGACACCAAAATTGCAGCTATCGGTTAAGAACTCGTGTTCAAAAAAGCAAAACATATTTGCCATTTATTTTTTCTTGATCCAAATTTTTGGTGTTTGACCCCGATCACCCTTGAAACTTGAAAGAATTTAATTTGCCAGCGTTTTAATCAAGCGATTCTATTACTTCAGCGGACACCCCTTTCTCCCAGGTGAAGGTTGGTGAGGTCGGCTCCTGGTTGGCCCGCAGAAACAAGTCGCCAAGTGCCCTTGCCGGAGCTTTCAGCCGGGGTAAGAAAATTATTTTGAGAATAAAAATTGCCAAATAAATTAAAAAAAAAAGCCTTTAAATAATATTTATACGAAAATAGAATTTTTATATACAAATATTTCAAATTTTATTAATCACTGAAAGACTGAAAGCCTTTTGCAAACTAATTCAATTTTCATGAAAAAAATTATGAATGTGTGCTTTTGACAATTCAGGTTATAATAAAAAAAAATTGATATTTATTGCAGCATTCTGGCGCTGGCAGCATAAATATGTTCAGCCAAAGAGGACAGGCATTGCGCCTTTCTTCCAGTTTACTTTTGCTTCGATGCTCTTCTTCTATGTCATCAACTACGGAAAGCTGAGTAAGAATTTGCCATAGAATTGTTTTTCATATAAATAACCAAATTTTTTTTCTTTTGCAGAGCACCACCGCAACCAAAAGTACCACTGGTAAACGATTTCCAATTATTTAGTGTTTTCGGGTCTCTTCAGCCATGGAAGTCCCCTGTTGTTCAGATGTATAATAGAAATGAAAAGAATGCTCTTTCAAGAGGTTCTTAATAAAAGATCCCGCAGTTAAATCTGATATTTTCATTTCTTCTCGAATAATATCTTCCTCATTTGTATCTTTTCATATTACATTGGAATTATATTTTGCAATCAACTATTTCGAAGTTGTATCCCAAATTTAATTTTTCTTAATATAAACATACTCAAAATTAATAATCCATAATATAGATTTAGTAAGTTTTTTTAAATAGTTGTAACCAACATGGTTACAGAAAGATTAGAGGCTATATGGGCCAAAATAATGAAGAGGATGGGAGAGCAGTGGGGAGAAACTGCAATAAAAGGCGCGCAAGCAACGTGCGCCTGAGGGCCAAGGAATTTCACACGATCCTTACGAAATAATGCATTTTTTGGCAATCACTGAAGCCGTAGTAAAAATTCTATTCATTATTCCTACGCCAAATTTTGGTGTCAAATACTACATTTGAATAAACGAGTTTCTCACCATAAAATTTAATGAGAAAAACCTGCTAGCAAAACCCCATTTGACTTAATAGATGTTAAGAGTGTAGTTTTCCTTTTATTTGTTTCTCCAGAGTCGAAGAAGCTGTTTTGCTAGTTAGGCGGATCAAGTAAACGCACGATTTCAATGTCAATGACATACAGTTAAATTATAAATGATCACTCTCACTTTGCGACGACGCTCCCGATAGTCCTCAGGACCTGTCCGGCAGGTTGGATCCTCGCACTCAGCAGTCAGGTTGAACGCGCCGAGCCGTCAAGATGCGTGCCACGCTTTCTCCGTTTTACTGCTGCCTTATTTTTTTATTCGCCCAAAACGTGCTCTCAGTAGAAATTACAAAAAGTGAGTACAAACCTTTATTTTTCTTCAACAACACACCTCATAAAATTTACAGCTGTATATAATTTATACTCACAGATATAATAATTATCTTGGACTGATCTTTGATTTAATTATTTGTAATCATTAAAATATTTTAATTAATTTTTTCATTTAAAAAAATTCAGTCAATTTTAGTCAAAACGCAAAAGAGTCACTCAATGGAGCACATTGTTTTAGTGCGCGTGTAGATTGTTAAATTATTGTTGTTTTGTAACGGGATCGGATTTCAAAAAACTAGGTTAACGCCTGGAGCTTTAAAAAGAATCACTTAAAAGAAGTCGTGACAAGTTTCCATTCGAACAGGAACGTCGCAAGTACAAAAAATACACAAAACTTACGTCAAGTGGGCAGATGTGCTGGTTTATGTTGAACGTGCAGAACAACTTCATTAATGAACTGTCAATGTATGTGTCCAGCGCATCTTTCGCAAAAGAGAGGAAAGCAAACCTGTGGAATCTTTTAAAACTGGAGCACATAATTTGTTCCATAAAAAAATTATACATTTCTTTGTACTTAAAAATTTCTAATTTTTTTTTATATCATGCTTCCAAATTGTTTCTAGAACGAATTAGTTTATTTCATCACAATTACACGTCCATTGAAGGCTTAATAATTGTACCTTTTAAATTCAATTTGTGCTAGAAAGCGAAAAAGTTCATCAATCATAATATAATCATTGGAAAATTTTAATCGGAGCTTTCTGATTTAATTTTCTACTGCTTCCAGTTAAGCGAGGCGTGGACTGCTTAGAAGATGGTCGATTTTATAGAAATCCCGAGAGGAATATGAACCAGGCGTGGACGAACTTTGAGTGCTCCAAGTACTACCTCTGTCTAGGTGAGATAAAAGTGAAAACGCAGCAAGTTGAAAAAAAGCGAGATCAAAGACACCAGCTTAATCAGACAAACAATCGAAAAGCATTGTAAAAATCAGTCACGCTTCTCGCGAAAGGAAACCAAATTTCTCGCCAATCAAAAATAATTACACCATACTTTCTCAATTGTCTTTCTTTCTTGATTGAGCAACGACTTAAAAATTGATTTCGATCAAATTCTAGACGGTGAAGTTTTTGAGTTTCGCTGTTCGGAAGGTCTGCTGTTCGACGTGACGCGGCAGATCTGCGACTTTCGCGCAAAGGTGACCGACTGCGACTTGCACGCGGCCGAACCGCGGCCGCCAAAGCCCCTGTTGGAGGCCGCGGGCTGCGGCGCCGGAATGCTCGGTTGTGCCGACGCCAACTGCCTGCCGAGGGACCTTTTCTGCGACGGCACCGTCGACTGCATCGACGGGTCCGACGAAGGGTGGTGCGGTAAGAAACTTTCAGCTTTTTAGAAATCGACTTGAATTATAAATTTTAAATCAAGATGTGGAGAATGATCCGAATGCGGCTCCTTCATGCAATACGGCGGCGTGCCAATTACCCGATTGTTACTGCTCTCGAGACGGAACCATTATTCCTGGATTCCTTGAGCCAAAAGAAGTGAGTTGAGGTTTTTTTTTAAATTTATCTGAATAATAAAAAATCAAAGCAAATAAAATATATTGAACAAAATTTTGCTTAACTAATCTATACTTGCTTGAATTACACAAGTTCCAATTTCAGTGCAATTCACTTTTGTGTAATAAATTGCAAAACCGCCTGTGCAATTCTGCTCCCACTTTATTCTCAACTGATTGCGTGTTCATTTGAAAAGGTGTTATTATTTTTTTTTCGTAGACGCCTCAGATGCTGATCATCACGTTCGACGACGCCATCAACCCTGACAACATGAATCTATACACCGAGCTGCTCTTCCCCAAAAACAAAACCAACCCAAACGGCTGCCCTTGGAGGGCCACCTACTTCCTTTCCCATGAGTACACGCATTACCAGCATGTGCAGCAATTGTGGAATCAGGGCCACGAAATCGCCGTACACTCAATCACGTAAAAAATTATACTTTGAAAAATGAGAAAATAAATTTAATAAAAATCCATCAATAGGCACAGAAGCCCTGAGAACTGGTGGTCGAGAAACGCAACGATTGAGGATTGGTTTGACGAGATGGTGGGTCAGGCCAATGTTGTCAACAAATTCGGCGGAGTCAGGTTGGAGGAGGTCAGGGGTCTAAGGGCACCCTTCCTCAGGTCTGGTGGCAACAGACAATTTGCCATGATGAGGGAATTTGGTTTTCTGTACGACGCCTCGTTAGTGGCGCCAATTTCTGACCCGCCGCTTTGGCCCTACACTCTGGACTACCGCATTCCTCACAGGTACCCTGAACCCTGAGCGTTTTGAATGTTAAATTAAATTACTTTGGTTTGATCAAAGGTGTTCTGGAAACAACCAAAATTGCCCTTCGAGGTCTTTCCCCGGGGTCTGGGAGATGGTCATGAACCAGCTGCAGTACGAGGCAAGTTAAAAGTGCAAATTTTGTCCGCAAATTTTAATTTGCCTTTCTGTAGGGCTACACATGCGGAATGGTGGACAGTTGTCCGCCCAATCTGAACGGAGAGGACATCTACCGAATGCTGATTCACAATTTCTACAGGCACTACAACACCAATAGGGCACCCCTTGGGCTCTACTTCCACTCGACCTGGTTTAAAAAGGAGGAGTACATTAAAGCCTTCCAGGTATAAACAATTTTATTTCAGTCCCCTCGGTACTAAACGTTTTGGGTACAGAGATTTTTGAATGAAGTCACCGCCAATCCCGACGTTTGGGTGGTGACCAACTACCAGGCCATCCAATGGATGAGAAAACCTAGACCGGTTTCACAGCTGCACCAGTTCGCAGAGTGGAAATGCGAAAAAAGGGTAAATTTGAATCGTACTTTTACTAAAAGCAAATTATAAAACTTGAATTATTATAAAATGTAGTTGGACCCTGAAGAAATGGCATGCAACATTCCTAAAAGCTGCAGGCTGCAATCGAGACCTCACAAGGCAGAGCGCTACCTCTACACATGTGCCGAGTGCCCGAAACAGTACCCCTGGTTACGAAATGAGTTTGGCGTCGACTTTTAATTATTTAGGCACCACCTCTATTTATTTTAAGCATCACTTTTGCTTAAACTGTCGACTTATGTGTGAACTGAGATTTAATTATAAACATGATTATTTTTTCGTAAATTTTAGCATTTCATTTTTTCTTTTTTCATTCAACGGCTATTTACAGAGACTAAACGGTGATTTTACAGGACATTTTTCTACTTTCCAGGAGAAAACAATAACATGTGGTATGCTAAATTGAATGTGCTTCTGACCTAGCATACCATCTAAATAACGGACCACCTGCGTCAGAATCAGAAGCTAGTTACTTCTGAGAGTAAGCATAAACAAAGCTCCCTCAAATTTTCTTAGAAAGAAAAAAAGCGCTGCTATTCGTATTATTTGTTCATATATCTTGCAGGTGGTCCAATCTTTATAACATTCGATCAGTAGGGCCTTTGTTTATTATTTTGTCAATTGTGAAATTTAGAGGGGCGAAAAATCCTATGTACTTTTCCCACATACTGGGCTTAAAAAAACATTATTTAGCTGTCCACTATAAATTAACAGTTGGCCCATGAAACAAATTGCCAGAACAAATTGCCAATTGTTTTAAATGCGCTTATATTACTTGTTTGAATCAATCCGGCATGGGCTAACAAATAATTTAAATACGGACTCGAGGAGTGCAATAACAAAAAAAGGGCAGTTCAAACCTTATAACAGCATCGACGTCGGGTTTTCAAGGTAACCCTTGAAGGCTTGAAGCCACTGCGCACCCACTGCACCGTCCACTGTTCTGTGGTCACAGCTCAATGTAACACTCATGTAATCAGCAGAGGAGTATCTAAAGAAATTTAAAAATTAGGTTTCAAGAGGAATCTATTTAGAAATACTAACCCTGATTGGGTGGTGCTGTCGGGGACTACCCTTGATTCTGTTGTGCCAACAGCTAAAATGCATGATTGAGGAGGGTTGATAATGGCACAGAAGTTCTTCACTCCAAACATTCCCAGATTTGAGATCGAGAAAGTGCCACCCTAAAATAATTAGAGAAATAATTTATTTTGTTTTATTTTGGGATTTAATTTTTCTCGCCTGGAATTCGTGTGGCTGCAACTTTCCTTCTCGGGCTCTACCAGCTAGTTCTTTTACTTCTCTGGAAATATCAACTAGGCCCTTTGTTTCAGCAGCGAACACGATTGGTGTGATTAGACCCTTGTCTGTGCTGACAGCAACACTGACGTCACACGATGTGTATCTTGAAACAATCAATTTAGTTAGCTTACAATATATTTACTGAAGAAGCTCACTGTCTAATAACAGAGTCCAGCCAGGAGGAATTGGCTTCTGGGACTTTCTTGCAGGCCAAGGCAGTGGCCTTGATGATAAAGTCATTGACGCTAAGTTTGACGGATTCGCCTTTGAGCTGATCGTTGAACTGTTTGCGGAGAGCCAGAATCTTTCCAACATTGATGTCCACACTCAAATAATAATGAGGGATGGTCTGTTTTGACTGCAGCAATCTTTTGGCGATGACTCCACGAATATTGGAAACTGGCAAATCAACATAGGTTGCTCCAACAGCGGCAGCGCCAGGGGCTGGGACACCTGCTGAAGGCGCTTTGGCTGCAGCTCGCTCCAAATCAGCCACAGTCACGGAACCAAAGACTCCTGTGCCTTTCACCGACTGAAAATATAGGACTTTTTATTATATAGAATGATGATGAATTTAGACATCATTTACATTAATGTCGAGGCCCTTCTCCAAGGCTATCCTCTGAGCAAGAGGACTGGCAAAAACTCTTCCTTCTGAAGGAGAAGCCGAAAATGAAACTGGAGCGGCGGCTGGAGCAGCTGAAGGTGGGGGTGGAGGAGGAGTTGCAGCTGTTGAGGCAGCAGCAGGAGCCGCTGGAGCTGGTGCTGCAGGTGCAGGGGCAGGGGCGGCCTTGCCATCGTCAACATAGCTCTTAAAAGCGGCAACATCATCCTGAGACTCTACAATAATGCAGACAAGCTGAAATTGTTTGAAGTAGGTCTTTAGTATTTATGTACAGTTTTATTTCATATACCAAACCTTTCCAATGGGAACATCTTTTGACCCTGCGGGGATGAGGATTTTGGCAAGATAGCCCTCCTCAGGTGTTTCAAAGCCCATTGTGGCCTTGTCTGTTTCAATTTCGGCAAGCAAATCTCCTTCGTTTAGCTGGTCACCTATAAAAAAAATTTACTTGCCATTTCTTTTAATTGACACTGGGTTAAAATTTGAAACCTTCTTTCTTTTCCCAGCTGACAATTGTGCCGGACTCCATGGTTGGCGAAAGCGCGGGCAGTAAAACCTTCTTGTGACTGGGAAGATTCCCTGAACTGTAGAACCTCACGCATTTTGTATCCAACACATTAAAAACTGGCTTCTGAAGGCGGTTGGAACTACAAAAAAATGCAAGTGACAAATTATTTTTATGTCGTGTGCCGCTGCGAATGTACAAAATTACATATGTAATTTTAAAATACAAGCCAGAGACGATTGAATTGAATAAAAAAAGAAACCAATGGAATTAAAGACAAAAAGCCGATTATGTAACTCAAAAGAAGATGACATAAAATGCGAATTTCCAATGAAAAAATCGGTCAAATGACACCAACGACCTTACAAAAATCGCTCACCAATTTTGTAATCGCTGCTTGGCCACTTGTGTAACACAACACCGGACGGCGTTTCCCTGAAGAAATCGTCTGACTGTAAATTTGACGAGCCCATGCCGCAATTCGCAGGTCGTTCGCAACATTTTGTACAGCTAAAAGTCCGAAATTTCCCAAAATTTCAACGGGCTGACGTCCTGCAGCTGAAAGATGTCCTAAGGTCACCGAACAACAGTGTTGCCAACCAAAACATGTCACACGCACTTTTCACGTGGTCTCGTACGCAGTGTACCCAAAGATCCTTGAGTGTACCACACTTGACAGCCGTAAACTTCAAACATTTTGTTATTGTTTACATTTAAAAATGCATGGGACATGAGATTACATTACAGCAATTATTATGTATTATTGAAAATGGTTCGCTATTGCGGCGTCAAGTACTGTAACAACAGCTCAAGTAACTTCCCGGGGATGAGATTTTTTAGTGTACCTTTGGTGAAAATGCGTCAAGGAGAGCGGGACAGAGATCTTTCGTGGCGTCGACGATTAGCGTGGATTTCTGCCTTAGAGCGGACTGAAGAAACTACAACCAAAGAAGCAAAAGTCTTTGTCTGTGAGGAGCATTTTGTAAAAAGTTCGTATGATTATGAATAAAAAAAAGAACAAGAATATTAAAAAAGAAAAAAAATTAGCAAAAAAATCTAACCTGATAATTTTTTACAGAAGAGCCAGCATATTTTCGAAATTTAAACGATGTGGACTGGGCTCCTACTCTGAAGCTGGGAAAAATAGCAGACTTGGAAGAAGGTCGTCAAGAGACGGGTATTGTGAAAAAAACCAAACGCAAACGAGCAGCTAATGCAAAAGAAGCAACATCATGTGTACCTGTGATAGGTGAGAAAGTTATTAGGATTGTGGAGGAATCGAGTAGTGCATCTGATGAAAGAACTGTGGAGAATTCAAATGAAACTGATTCGGTCTGTTGTGTCCATTGTGGAAATAACCCTTTTGTGCTCCTTCAGCCAGACGGCATAAGTTCCTGCCAAATCAAAAAAGAGTCCGAAGACGTACCCTCGCATACCGACACTGATTTGTTGAGAAAACAAAACTCTATGCTTAAAACTCAAGTGAAACATCTTACTGAAGCTTTGCTCTATTGCAAAAATTCTGGAAAAGTTAATGTGATTTCGATTAAAAAGGTTTTATGAGACAATTATTAATGGTTGCAGAGCACTGCACTTTATTTCATCTGTACTAAATTATTGAAGGAATGAAGATGATAAAATTAGGCAACAGATTGTGCATTTTTATAATTACAATCTAAAACATTCTAAAAAGCAGATGTTCCTGTAAAAAATACAATGAAATAATTTTAACGGAAATTTCAATTTATTTTCAATAGTTCCATGATAGTGACAATTTACTTTTAAAACTGATCACAATATATATTTTTAATCAAGTCAACAATGTGTTCTGGTGTGTTTAAATGTGTGTGGTGGGTGCCCTCAACTTCGTAATATTCCATTTTCTTGGCGTTCTGTTTTATTATGTCTATAGTTTGCCGGTAGTAAGATCTTTTCTCGTAGTACATTCCACCTTTGGCTTTGATGTTGTAAACTTCGCACCTGATTCTAGACGCAAGTTCATTTAAATGTTCGTGAGGCAAGGAGTGCAAAAAAGTCACTTTGAGTCGAACATCACGGCGCAAACCAACCAGGCCTGGATTTTTCTCCGACTGGTAGGCGCCTCGTTCCAGGAGCAGGCGCGAAGATTCCAGTGTAACTGACTTCTCTGAGCCTTCGTGTTGACGCTGGACCAGGTCTTCCACCGACGTCTCGGGTGGTTCTTTTGTGCTGAGCACTGTTTCAATAAATTTGTCAATGTGAAGGCCACCGATCTGGACATATTTTTCAGGATCGAATGCAAAAGGCCTCAGGATGTCAATTCCAACTAGTTTCTCCACCTCGTTGGGAAAAATAGAGGCGTAGAGGAAGGAGTAGGTGCTTCCCATGGAATGCGACAGGAAGGAGATCTTCTTCCACCCAAAGTGTTTCACAACCCTCCTGATGCATATAATGTCCTCGGTTGAATGGTGTGGAATTCCTTTGGGGTAGTGAGAGGATTTTCCATGGCCTGGCAGGTCCAAAGAGAGGAGGCTAAAGGTTGGCGGCAGGAGTTTCATCAAAGGGTCAAAAGTGCCTGCGTTGTCCAGCCAGCCGTGCATAGCCAAAACGGGTTGTTTTGTTTGAGGGCCCCACCACTTCCCTGAAGAACAAACAAATTAAAAACTTAACTCCTCAGAAAATTCTTAACTATTGGCGCGACATTTTCGGGGTTATTCAAGTGGCCGTGGTGTGAGCCGTCGACTTCGTGATATTCCAGTCTCTTTGCATTATTCCGAATAATTTCAAGAATTCCATTGCAATATTTGGGGTCCTCGTAATAGGGCGCCTGCTTAAATTTTATGCTCAAAACCTCGCAACTTATTCTGCGGGCCATTTCCTGTATATGCTCGTATGGTAGAGTAGACAAAAGGGACACCATTTGCCTGATATCCCTACGAAATCCAAAGTGACCCTCTTTAGTCAATGACTTGTAGGCGCCCCTCTGCAGGAGTAATTTGGTTGACTCAATTGTCAGTGACTCGGAGGACCCCTTGCGCTGTCTTTCAACAATATTGTCCCAGGGATATTCGGGGCTGAAGTCCGGATTGGCAATGAACCTGAGGAACCTGTCGATGGCGCCTCCGGTCTCTTTGATAAACTTATCATTGTTGATGTTGGTCGGTTTGATGTTGTCAAAGCCGATGTACTTTTCCACTTCATTGGGGAATGCTGAAGAGTAGGTGAAGGAATAAATGCTGCCCAAAGAGTGGCCCATCAACACCAATTTGTCGCGCCAGTCGAAGTGTTTCACGATCCGTCGAAGGACGACAATGTCCTCAGTCGAGTGGTACACCATACCAGCTGGGTACCGGGAGGACAGGCCGTGTCCTGGAAGGTCAATGGCCAGGAATGAAAGGTCGGAGGGAAGCAGTCCGATGAGCGGGTCAAAGGTGTTGGCGTTGTCCATCCAGCCGTGAATGGCAAGAATCGGCTGGCGACTTCGAGGACCCCACCATTTTCCTACACAATCATTTATTTTTGAAATCAGTTAATTTATTTTTGAAAGAATAATTATAAAAAAAAACAATCAAATCTAGTTGTAAAAATTAAAAACTGCTAAATAGCTGAATTTAATTTACAATACAGTTTGAAGACATTTAAAGAATAATTTTTACTAAAATTAATATTGAAATCAGGACAGCATGAAATCATTTATAATCGGGGCAACTCGCTCAGGGTTATTCAGGTGGACATGGTGAGTGCCTGACACCTCATGGCACTCTAATCTTGACGTAGAGGTTTTCAAAACCTCTATGCTCTCTTCGTATTCCTTTTCAAGTTTGCAGCTCATCCCTGGATTGGCGTGGATATTCAGAACCTGGCATTTAATATTCCTCCCCAGGGCGAGTAAAGTCTCTGGAGTGAAGCGTTTGAAGGAGTCAAGCCGCACCCTGGGGTCAAAGGTGAAGACAAACTTATCAGGATCACATTTTGAAGGTTGAGCGCCTCTTCGGAGCAAGATCTGCGTCGACTTGATACTGGGACTCATGAAGGCACCTTTTTGCTGGCGCTCGACCAGTTCGCTGTAGGTGTACTCGGGCGACTTCTGATGGACAAGTTTCTCCTCGAGGCTCAGCAGACTGTCCACCGTCGCCCCCCACGAGTCTGCCAGATCCTTGGGGTGACACAAAATCCTTGCTCGGCCGCACTCGATGCTTACGAATTTTTCCACCTCTTCCGGATACAGTCCAGCGTACGCATAGCCGATGGAGCTGCCCAGCGAGTGTCCCAGAATTGAGATTTTGCTGAAACCGAAGTGCTTGACGATAAGTCTGAGGGTCACCATTGAGTCCGGGTAGTGTGCGTGCATGCCAATTGGCACATGGGATGAGAGGCCGTGCCCGGGCAAGTCGATCGAGAGGAAATTGAATTTGAGCAGGGGGGCTAAAGTGTCAAAAGTTCCAGCGTTATCGCGCCACCCATGAATCGCAATCACCGGAATTTCTTCTGGCTCACCCCACTTTTTGCCTGAAATTTTGAATCCCCCATCAAAAACATCGCTGCCAATCAATTGAGATGTCAAAAAAATATTTAAATAATTTTCTAATAAAAAATAAAGAGGATTAAATAAAATTTAAAAACAGTTAAAAAAAATGTTACCAGCAATATGTCCCCATGGCACAGGTATTCGGACTTCTTCCCATTTTCTTTCCGGCTGCTCTTGGCTAGAGCCAACTTGGCTTAGCTGTCTATATTGAATTTTTTGTAAAGTCCTAACGGACTTCAATTGCCTCCACGTTCTCAGGCCATTGGCAGACTGTAAAAATTAATTATTTTAAAATTAAAAATATTTTAACTCTTATTTTTAATACAAACCAAACATCTCTGGATCATTTTATTATAAGTGGACTTGAGACTTCCCTCCTAGAAAAATTTTCAAAATGTGACCCACATTTAGAAAATGGCAAGTAGTGCGTTTTTATGGCGAAAGAATTCGTGTGTAGACTCGCAAACCATAGATAACTGGAACGGAATTAAAGATAATGGGCGTTTAGAAAAATATCAAAGTTCAATGTTTTGCAACCCACCTGGCTCACTCATTCATTCAGGACCGGGTGATGGAGCTCTAAAGTGGAGCACACAAGTTACAGCTGGTGCTCATTATTCTTTGCGTCACAATTCACCTCTTTTAATTGATCACAGATGTCACTACCTGTTTTGAAAAGGACTCGAGTTGCGGAGAGGGAGCAAAAAAAATTCAAACGTAAATGGTTGGTTCATTTTGAGCTGGTGGGGCTGGTAATTTTTGATTTTGTGGCGCAGAGGCGGCGTGCGCGGGGAGCGCTCAAGTGTGCACGCAAGGGAGGAATTCCTAATTTTCCCTTTTTGCGTTAAATGTTCCCTCCTAACCGCAGGCGAAACCGCCGGGTTTCTTGGGGGTTGTGCAAATATAGCGCGTCAAGGAGCACAAATTTGCCTAAAATGAATTTCGAGTAAATTTTCACTACCATCTGTCAAACGTGATTTTAATACGCATCGGAGCTTCTTCTCCGTACAAAAGTTTCCTGTCAGAGCAATCTCAGGACGAGGCAAAGTTATACAAATAATGTGACACCTTTGTGAGCACCCATCGAACCGTCGGATACGCTTGTTTTGTATTTATGACAATTTAATATATCACCAGAGAGTCTCACAATCAGTCAAACTAGACATAAAACACGCGCACATGAGATTTTGCATAAATATTCTTGTAACAAATTATGATTATTAGGAGCCGACAGAATTTTCGGGATTTTCTATGAAACCAAAATTTGTTAGAATCAGCCTATCGAATTTAAAAGTTCTTATCAAGAATGTAATTCTATAATTTTGATCTGAAAAATATATATAAATTATTGGACAAAAAAATAATTTAAAGAATATTGCTAAAATTATTGCAGTTGGTGATAAATCAAACAAGACGTGACTTCAATTATTTATCTTTAACGAAGCCCATCCGCTTGAAATGAGATTAATGCAGAGATGATTAATTAAGAGAAAGTCTGTTGTAATCTACTGCCATTCTTTTGAAACAACAGACGACGAGCCCATCCAATATATGACATCCGTGGAGTTTTATAACCATGGAGGTCCGATAAAATGTAATGCCCCGTTATATCGAAATGAAAAAAGAGGTAAATAGCGTTGGCAGCGTTATAGAGAGAGAGTGTATGTATATTGATTTGCCATTATTTGTGAAACACGACCAGCACAGCATATCAAAGCTGCCAATCCATTTCGCACCTGTGTAGTGTGGGTGGCGGCGGACACGAGGGTACGTTTAATTATCGCGTCCGTGAGCACCGTGGCAACCCTTTGATTTATGGCTGGTGCTCAAAAAGCAAAGCCACCGTGGAAAAATAAACATTGCAAGCCTCTCTATCCCCTGGAAAATGAGCGAGTTGAAGACCCTTAATCGACAGCTTTATTCACCGGGTTTGATTTAATTAAAATTTTATTTGTTCACGCTTGATTGAATGCGCTTATATAACGTTGGCCGCTATTTGTATGAAACATTTTTCAAAATTGCTTTTTGCAGAGAAATTTAACCTTACGCTTTGCAAGTTTTGAAAAATTTCCGTTTTTTGATTGCAGCATTCAAATAAAATAGTGAAAATACTTTTATTCATTTAAATTAACTTTATTATTATTTCTTTTCTGCTACTTTTTAGAAATTATAAAATTTTTGAATTTATTTTTATTTTTCTGCCAAATATTTTGAGGCTGAGAATTTAAGCAAAATATAAAAGTGCGTTGTTAAAAATAAAAAAATTGTAATTGTTGAAATTAGCATAACCATTGACAACATAAATAATTATTTACATTCCAGTGGGTTGTCCTTTCAATGAGTTTGATACATAATTATCTCTTCTTGCAGGAAAAATGTGTAATAATTGTGCAAACAGAAAAGTCGACAGTCAAGCGAAGATAGATTTGTGAACAAAGAATTGAAAAATAACCAGGAATCCACTTTTATCCTCTTGAAATTTTGTTGTTGGAAAAACTCCTTTCCAATTTTGTGCTGGCCACAGACTATTCCTTTTCCGCGAGATAAATATATGTGCATAATAAACAAGAGAGAACAATTAATCAGAAAATTTGAGATAAAGATAATAAAACACGTCGTTGCCATGCAATGATAAAAAATATCAAAACAGTAAAAGTTTTTCATGAAAAATTCAAAACCGTTTAAAACAAATAGAATTTTAAGTGAAAGTAAGCGAACTTTCTTTTATTTTAGCGTAGATGCCGTAGATAATGATGCAGAAAGGGTAAATGGTATATAAATTTGTTATTATATTATAGAATTTGAAAACAGACGCGTACCCTAAAAAGATATAGTTTGCAATAGGATACAAAATAATTAGCTTCACAGTTATGTTAGTGAGTGTTTATTTGTTATTTTTGTCTTTCAAATAATTTAAATTTCTTAAGTAAAATATTTTTCTTTATTTTCAGCAATGTTTATCTACCTTCATGCCAAAAAATTTAAACTGCCAATTACTTTTTGCCATTCAAAAAAATTGTAACTTTTTGTGCTATTAAGGATTTATTATGAACCTAAAGATGTGCATTTAAATAAAATTCCAGTTTAATAAACACTAAGAGGCAACTTAAAACAATTGAGGCTCACTTCAAAATCTCTTAAAATGCAAATCCGCAAAAACGCACTCTGCCAAATGAGGCAGGCGACGAGCATGTATAATAAAATTAAACGTACGCAAATGAATGAAAATCGATTCGTTAGCGAGAGAGAGCAACAGAGAAAAATAAAAGGGACTTTTGCGGCTGGCTGGCGGCGACAACGTATATATTATGAAAAGCGAAAGAAAGACAAAAACGCGAAAAAGCGAAAGGCTGGAAGCAATACATATAGTGTGTGTGTGCAAGTGTGCATAAAATTGTACAAAGGGATGAAAGGGGACGTGTAGAGGGGGCTGGCGTTGGTGCGACAAGTGCGATGGGCTGCTGCGGGGAGCTCTTGCGCTACTTTGGCTTTCTGTTCTCCGCTAGTCGCGCGCGCTCTGGGCTGCTCTCTGCCTGCAGCTGATGCTGCTCAATTGGCCGGCTCGCCAACTCGAGTCCAGTCGGTCGCCGAGCTCCCACTCGGCACTTTCGTTCGTCCTTCACGCGAGCGAGGAAGACCGGTTCCTCCGACTTGGTACCTGCCGCTCCGACCCACTCGGAAAACATCCGCCGATTTCAGCGTCAGGTGAGTTCAAACAAACTTAACTCGATTAATTATATATTCCACTCGGATTGTCTTCGCGGTTTGGCTCGCGGCCGAATTGAAACAGAAAATAGAGTTGCCAAAGGACGGACGACCTTGTTACAGTTTTTTTTTTATTGTTCAATTCCGTGCGAATTTTGCATTTGTAAAAAATACTCGTTTGGCTTTTGTAGCGAAAGTATTCGAAGCGCGGCGCCGTAGCCGAACGAATATTTGCGCTCAGCCCATGGACCCGGGGCACATTGTTCGGCGTATTTGGAGCGAATTATTTAACGTGCAGAAAAATTCGATTGTATAGGACATTCCGACGCGTGAATAGCGCGCGACATGAGCTGCAGGTGCTGTTTTTCGGAGCCCTTTTTTTTATTTTTTCCACTTCCGGCAGAGCGAAAAATCATTTTCACGCAATATTTTTTTTCTGCTCACGTAGACACGCAGCAGTTTGTTTTGTTACAATTTTTCTCTGCCCTCGAGTCGGTCTGGTCGACGGAGGAGGGAATAAATTACGATTAGGGAGCTAACTAAGTGGGTTTGTGTGGCGACGAAGAAAGATGAGTTATCCCTCGAGCAGATTCCCGCCGGCACCTTCTTCTTATTCGCCACCCTTGGTATTATAATTTATATAATACGGTCGCGCGGCGGTAAAGAACATTATGCTAATCTGCAATTAAAATTCGCAGGACGTCGTCCTTGTTGCTTTGTTGTTTAACTCTATTATTGTCCGCGTATGAAAATCACACACGCCCATATTCTCGCCTAGAGCTCACGATTTTATCTGTAGGCAAGAAGTGAGCTGTAATATATATATATTAATATTTTATTGAGAATGAGACTGTATGGGCGGATCAAAGGCTGATTTAATCATCAAGTCTTTCATAAAATAATGTAGAAATAATTGAGAATGCATAGCAACATTGGAGTTTATGAAATCGCACCTCCTCTGCAATGTAATTAGACATTAATTGCATGCATTTATTTATTCATTTTACATCATCTTAATAAAAAAAATTATTAACGTTAGTTTTTGTTCGAGTAATAACGCTTTGGAGACATCTTCGTGCATCTTGAAATTCTAGAATGTCTCTTTAAGTTCCTTCTCTCCAATTTTGTTTTCTTAAAATGTGAGAAATTAATTGAAACGTTTGCTTTGTGTTAAGAGAAATTTTTTCTGAAAATTTTAAATCGCAATCAATAAAAGTTTTGTAAATTTTCCTATTTAAAATTCAACTAATAATATTAGCAAAAATTTTGATTGTCGTTTTAAATTTCAATTTTTTTTCGGCCTCAATTGACTTATATTTGAGCCCGAATAATATTCAATGATTGAAAAATTTTCCAATATTTTGTCTAAAAAATCAAAAATCCTTCAACCTTGGCATTTTATATTTTGTCTGATTGCGAAGCAGAAATAGCTTTTTTCGCTCAATTCTCAATCCTTCTAGTACCGCCAGTTTGATAAAATATTTTTTACGTTTTCGTTGCATACTTGAAAGCTTGGCAAATTGACGTGTTTCCCCAGCAACAATGAGTGAACACAAAAAACGGCGACATGCCCAAAAAATGAATTACAAATTGATGCGGGCTCCTGACGCTACGCTGGAGACAAAAAGCAAAAACCAGCGAGTAGGAAATGCTTCGTCGGTGTGCCTGAATGTCGCAATTCACCTTGATGCCGATTATTTATAACTCTCGGCGCGCGTCTGGCAGTGACAACTTTTCAGCACGCGAGAGCTGAAAAACAACGAGGATAATTTTCAGAGCCGATATTTTATATTTGTTCGTCTTTTCCACTCGGAATGAAAAGTGCGCTTGAAAGCAACACACCACATTCGCGGCGCATCTGCCGCTGAAACAAGCGAGAACCCCTTTTTTGCACTCCCCGCCCAGAACATAATGTGAAAAAAATATATATAAATGTAACTGGCAGAAAAAGCCTCTCTCGTGTATCGTCATTTGGATCTCTTTCTGACGACGAACGGCCTCGACGCGGCCGAGAGAAGACGAGCGTCTTCATCTGGCAGAAATGATTACAGCCAGCTTAATTTTTACGAACTGCTAACTCGGCGGCGGCCAACTTTTCACTTCTGCCCACAATGAGTTGACAGAATTTTCGCCTCTCTCATAAACACGTTGCTTTTTATGCGAGCGTTCGGGGTCAATTAATCGGTCAAGGTGTCGATGCAGTAGCTCTGATTGGGTCACACGCGGTCCTGGTTTTTTTATGAGTTTTTTTCTCGGCTGCTGGGACTAACAATAAAACAACAACTCTTTATTTCTCAGGGGTTCGTTAAGAACTGTCGAGATTATTTTCGTTGTCTCGCTATTCAATCGCTTTGGCAAGTCAGCAGCCAGAGAATTCGGCCAAATTTGTGGCTCGGATTCATTCAGAAAAGTTCCTTGGTTACTTTCCAACTCCGAAGACTGTCCTGTTGCACATCGCTTTTGTTTATGGCCAAAAGAGATAAAGCAACTCTCTTCTCTGTTTTGTTAAGTCTCGGTGCCAGAAACGAAAACACTAGTTTTAGTTGGATTTTTTTCTCAGAGCTTGTTATTATATAAAAATTATAGAATAAGGCAATGTGAATGAAGAGAAATAATAATAATATAAAGTAAAAATACAAAAAATGAATAAAATAAAAGGACTTCTAAGGCAATTGTAAATTACTTTACCTTTTCCTGATCTCGCAAGCCTGCAATTGAGCTAAGATGAAAAAGTTTTAGTTTTATAACGTTGCGATGCTGGAATAACAAGCGCTAAAAAAAATCAGAATAAGCAGCATAAAATCTTTCATACAAATCCCATGACTGATTCAGACGTGATTGAAGGGTAATTTAAAAAAAATTCGATTAATATTTGTTTTTTCCGTGGAAAAAAATGTGATTTTTTGTAAAAGTTATACTGAAATTAATTTCTTATAAATTAAATGGCGCTTACATTTTGACATTTATTTGACTTTTATCTGACGCTGTGAGATTAGGCGGATACGCCCATGAAAGCCTAAAATAATAATGTCGTGATTTTATATTAACAGGAATCACATTTGAGTTTTGAAATCCAATATATACGTCGCCCTCAGCGCAGCGGAAACTTATTCTCGTCATCGCACTTCTCGTATTATTCAAACTTGCCAAGAGGCAAGTAATAAACTTTTGATGGAGAAGGCTGGTAAGGACAAATCAAATCTGTCCTCCTTCACGATGACGAAAGTCTATTCATTGTTTCTTCTTATTGGAAGTAGAAAACACACTTCTCTGGTACATATGTATGTATAAAAGTTGATCTAATCCCGCCGTTTCCGTCACCGCCATGGGAGCGGCGCGTGCATTTGATTGATCAGAAAGTAAACTTTTTACTTTAACCAACCACCGGCAGTAGTAACGAGAAAAGTTTCCGCTGGAAAAATAAGTGATTTCCGTCATTTCCGCCACGAACGTTATAATGATCTCTTCAAAGTGAGAGGTGTTTAGTGCTGAACAAGCAGCAATAATTGTCTTTTCACAATCAATCACCAGCACTTATTAATTGTTGGAACCTGTTGTTCTCGAGAAGCATTTTCGTGTTTTTCCTCCTTGTTGATTAATTCGATATTGACTTTTATGCAAGCTGGAACTTCCCTCCCTCTCTATTGTACAAAAAGTGGCGCAAACAACGAGCGACCTGTTGCGAATCTACGGGCAGATTGATTGCCCCACCGGTAGTAAATTTTTGTCAAATTTATTCGGCAGCGTTTTAGGATAAATCGATGATCCCCTCATGCATTCTGCATCCCCTCTGGCGGCCAATTGAGAGCATGGCAATAATTTTTATCGCTCACGCACTAAAACAAACTTTTATTGGCACCGACAAATTCCTATCTTTTATTCAGACCAGTTTATTTTTTATCTCTCTCGTGACGACTCGAGCCTGAGAAAAAAATTGCCAAACTTTTTCGCACGAGACCGCCTTAAGAGTCCAACAGTTGCTTCTCGTCTCCTCCTCTGGCGTTTAACACCAGTTTTTTTCTTCAGACCTGCTGTTTGTTTGTTTGTTCGAATGTCGCCCTTGCTAACGTTTGTAGGAAAGTTTCTCTCTTGCTGCATCACTCAATGTCACACACCTGCGCCCACATACTGCAGCATCCAAGAGGAGTAGCGAAAAAGGCTTACGCATCCCTCATGATTAATTGCGATTCATAAATCCAGAGCTCTGCGCCCCGATTTGTTTTAATTCCGAAATTTATACTTCTTTGCGGGAGTTATGTAACCGCAGGGCTGGCGAAAAGTCACAATAGCTAAAAGAAAAAGTAAAATACATTTTGTGAAACAATAACTTAAGTTTTTTGGCAAAAGTTCTGTTTTGACAAAGTGACCACCAAAGACCGCCTCTGAAAGTAAAACTGCGGCCGCATTGTGCGGTGGATGCGGTCGGCACGTTTCGAGCCAAAACACTTGTCTCCTTGCAACATGAGAAGCCAGAGAGGTTTAATGAGAATTATCACTGAAACAATGCAATTTAATCCTCCTCTTTTCAAATACCTGACTAAAATTAAAAATAATTAAAATAATTTTTAAAAAGTTGAAGAATTAATTTGTTACTTTCCATGAAGGTTTGTAAGCGTATTTAAAATGTAAGTGAATTTTGCCACACAATGGGCTTTTCAAATGTAAATTTGGTCTCCTGTTGTTAGTTTAAAACAAATGCATGGCATGTTCCTTGTCATGTACTTCGTATCAAATTGTACAGAAGCAGCAGAAGGAGCGCATATGTATAATCTGGGAGTTTTGCTGTGCTCGAACAAGAGGTCCAAATTGCCCCGATTCTCTGCAGCGAGACGCTCAAGAAAGCACGAAATTCTTTTCGGCAAATCTCTCGGAGAGAAGGCAAAGATTCTCCAATCTTCAGCTTCATTTTTCCATGCAAATCAGGACAATTTAGACAGCTGCTTTTGCGACACGATTGCTGCCCCAGGCCCCACTCATTCTGGCCATCGATCGGGCAGCTA